AACACAGTCTCCGCGGCGAACTCTTTTTGTTTTCAGAGGCACATTGCTGTCAGCCGAAAACCATGCGATTCCAGCTGATCCGGTTTAGGGCAGACCGGAAAATTTTCCCCCAGACAGACACTCTGGTTTCTCTTCACATCGAGTAAATCTTTCGCCTTTTACTAAAGATTTCCGTGGAGAGGAGCATTATAATGAGTCTTAGAAGACTATTTTTCACGCCCTACGCTGTAGGGTGAATATTTCCAATGTAAACATGAGTGGGTGACTACATAATTTGTTTTTTTTAACCCTGGGATAGAAAATGAACCCTGCCGTTGGGAGGTTTCGTTTCCTTTGGCACGTTTTTCCGTGGCCTTGGACGGAACCGGACAACTCTTGTCCGATGGCCATGCATAATTAGTGAGTACATAAATCAAAAAAGATTTCAAATACGTCTAGGTTCAGTGCCGAAGAACCAAATCAAAACCAACTACTGTTCTGTCTAGACTTTATTATTATTATTTTATTTTTTTTAAACAACTCACTCGTTTCGATTCCAACAAACAACAGTTCAGACTGCTGGCAGAACGACAACAGTCGGTCACGCGCCTCAAAGCAATGGCGTCATTTTATTTTTTGTTAGTTGGGTGACGTGTACTTCCCCTAACAGTTTAGTCTCAAGAAAGCTAGGCGGCCCGCCATCGCATAATTTCAAAGGTACATGGGAGCTAAGTTGGATTGGTATTAAAGGGAGACAATCTTCTGTCATCGTCGGATAGGTTTGTAAGCGTTTGTCCACGGGTGGAATGCGCTCGCGGAGAAGGGAAACGTTGTCCACCGGACAGGTCTGAGTTCTGAACGATGTAGCCTAGCCTTCAGTACGACCAACACAGTCTCCGCGGCGAACTCTTTTTGTTTTCAGAGGCACATTGCTGTCAGCCGAAAACCATGCGATTTCAGCTGATCCGGTTTAGGGCAGACCGGAAAATTTTCCGCCAGACAGACACTCTGGTTTCTCTTCACATCGAGTAAATCTTTCGCCTTTTACTAAAGATTTCCGTGGAGAGGAGCATTATAATGAGTCTTAGAAGACTATTTTTCACGCCCTACGCTGTAGGGTGAATATTTCCAATGTAAACATGAGTGGGTGACTACATAATTTGTTTTTTTTAACCCTGGGATAGAAAATGAACCCTGCCGTTGGGAGGTTTCGTTTCCTTTGGCACGTTTTTCCGTGGCCTTGGACGGAACCGGACAACTCTTGTCCGATGGCCATGCATAATTAGTGAGTACATAAATCAAAAAAGATTTCAAATACGTCTAGGTTCAGTGCCGAAGAACCAAATCAAAACCAACTACTGTTCTGTCTAGACTTTATTATTATTATTTTATTTTTTTTAAACAACTCACTCGTTTCGATTCCAACAAACAACAGTTCAGACTGCTGGCAGAACGACAACAGTCGGTCACGCGCCTCAAAGCAATGGCGTCATTTTATTTTTTGTTAGTTGGGTGACGTGTACTTCCCCTAACAGTTTAGTCTCAAGAAAGCTAGGCGGCCCGCCATCGCATAATTTCAAAGGTACATGGGAGCTAAGTTGGATTGGTATTAAAGGGAGACAATCTTCTGTCATCGTCGGATTGGTTTGTAAGCGTTTGTCCACGGGTGGAATGCGCTCGCGGAGAAGGGAAACGTTGTCCACCGGACAGGTCTGAGTTCTGAACGATGTAGCCTAGCCTTCAGTACGACCAACACAGTCTCCGCGGCGAACTCTTTTTGTTTTCAGAGGCACATTGCTGTCAGCCGAAAACCATGCGATTCCAGCTGATCCGGTTTAGGGCAGACCGGAAAATTTTCCCCCAGACAGACACTCTGGTTTCTCTTCACATCGAGTAAATCTTTCGCCTTTTACTAAAGATTTCCGTGGAGAGGAGCATTATAATGAGTCTTAGAAGACTATTTTTCACGCCCTACGCTGTAGGGTGAATATTTCCAATGTAAACATGAGTGGGTGACTACATCATTTGTTTTTTTTAACCCTGGGATAGAAAATGAACCCTGCCGTTGGGAGGTTTCGTTTCCTTTGGCACGTTTTTCCGTGGCCTTGGACGGAACCGGACAACTCTTGTCCGATGGCCATGCATAATTAGTGAGTACATAAATCAAAAAAGATTTCAAATACGTCTAGGTTCAGTGCCGAAGAACCAAATCAAAACCAACTACTGTTCTGTCTAGACTTTATTATTATTATTATTTTTTTTAAACAACTCACTCGTTTCGATTCCAACAAACAACAGTTCAGACTGCTGGCAGAACGACAACAGTCGGTCACGCGCCTCAAAGCAATGGCGTCATTTTATTTTTTGTTAGTTGGGTGACGTGTACTTCCCCTAACAGTTTAGTCTCAAGAAAGCTAGGCGGCCCGCCATCGCATAATTTCAAAGGTACATGGGAGCTAAGTTGGATTGGTATTAAAGGGAGACAATCTTCTGTCATCGTCGGACATACCACTGGAGGATGACCCAACCACTGGAGGATGACCCAACAGAAAAAACAACAACGATAGCAAAAACAACGCATCAGACAACCCCAAAACCAGCACCACGTTCAACTGCAAAATCAACAACGCCTATTACAACAGGGATCGCAATACAGCCAGTCAACTCCGTTCCCCAAAGCCCAGTCATGGACACATTTGAATCAAGGGTCTTGAGAACGCCAACATTGGACACACCTGAATCAACGGTCTTGAAGACGCCAACATCTGACCATGGCGAAGCAGAACAATAGCCAATAACAAGCATGTATGCAGTCACCACCCTGATCTTGACACCACAGATAGAAACTTCCGGCGCTCAAATAATCTCACAACAACAAACAATCGTGGAAACACCAATAACCAAAAGGAAGAAAGATGACAGCCCAGAATCAGAGACAACATCAGAAGCAGCTATAGTCAATGAAGGTGACAACAAGTCAGCAACCACCGCCCCGTCCAAAACACCAATTGAAAACCTACTCAACTATTGCCTACTATGCTCTTTTTTTTTCTTCGGACCTCGGTGTGACCATATTTTGGTCAAGGAACACCTCGACACCCTAAATTGTCGCATCTGTAAACATACAATGGAGGAAAACATGCTCAAACATTTTGCAACAAAACGCCCAAAAGCCCTAACATACAAATGTTCATATTGTGAGGATGCAGAATCCATATTTACCACAAACAAACAGCTAAAAACGCGCCTCAAACCTGGCATCCAGACAACGATGCAGCATACAACGAAGTTTATTGCAGACAAGACTCAAACAACGAAGTAACATATGTCTACAGAGACGAAGAGGACTAGTCCAAACAACAATGAAATATAACTGCAATGTTTCAAATGACAACCAACACCATAAGAACTTTAATAATCGTAAACTTTAGTATACTTAGCAAACTTTTAATTTTTAGCGCAATTTCCATTCTGGAGAATTGCGTTTATTAACCCGTCATTTCTGGATGTATGAATGTATGAATGGATGTGTGTCCGCAGCTTTAAGTCGTATCTCCTCCTCAACGAAGCAATATTGAGGACTAGTTCCAAAAGCAATTATTTTAAGCAAGTTACGAGGATGAACATAGGTCAAAAAAATTCCGGGTTTCTTTCATGGATTTCCCGGAAAAGCTAAAAAAACTCGAAAAAATGCAATTTTTGGCCCATATCTCGGCAACCAGACCACTTAGTGACTTGAAACATGTACCAATCGATTCCTGCCATAATTTAGAACAATATTGCCGAAGAAAGTTTTCAAAAATATCCTTTCGTTCGGTCACAAATTTTTTTTTATTAATTAAAATTTGGACCGAATTATTAGGCATTTTTACCCAACCACACCACACGCGTCATCACGTTCAACGGCTGCGACATCACGTTCAATGGCTGCGACATCACGTTCGGTAGCTAGGCGCGCAATGGTTTTTAGTCATGTAACTCTATTGTAAATAAAACATGTAAAATACTGAAAAAAATTTAATAAAAAACGTTTTAATAACTAATTAACTAACCAATGGTTTTACTAACCCTGCTCTTGATTTACGCTACGACAGAGCTATTTTTAGATAACGACATAAGGAAATTGCGCTAGAATTGTCACTAGACTTTTTAATTACCTTGTTTTTTATCTGGTTAAAAAACAATTAAAATGAACTATAGGCCTATATATATATATATATATATATATATATATATATATATATATATATATATATATATAGCCTATAGGCCCCTATAGTTAAATAATAGTAAAAATTAGTAGATCTTGGCCTATGGTATTTTAAATGTGCCTTACTAAATTGTAAATACTAAATGTAATGGGATACTTTTTTTCGGTTATTACACGGACCACTTACGGTTTGTAAACATTATTGATTAGAACAAGATCTCTAGAAGACAGAAGTAGATCTAGTCTAGATCTAGATTCTAGTCGCCAAGTAACTAAAGTACTAAACATAATAAATAATAACAAAACACCAGTTAAAAAAAAAAACTTGAAAATTTCACACAAGTCAGATTCTGGATCAAATTTTTATAGGGCATAGGGCAAGACTTCAACTTCAAGGTAGGCCGTTCGAATTCACAGCTTCCGGGTTTGTTGTTTTGAAGCCATCTCACGGCTCATGCGCTTACCAAAAATGGCGACCAGTTTCGCTTTCACTAATGGGTAGAGGGATAAAACTAATGATTACGAAGCCATCGTTAATTTTAGACATCGGAACTATCCGTTTCTATTTAAGTCTGTTGTTTAAGAATTGTCGGATCTACTTTTGGCCTAATTTCTTTGTTTGTATTTAACGAGGCCGTCGAGAGAAAGTCACGCTTATTTAGCTTGCGTTTCAAGTCGAATTAACTAAAGCAGGTGCGCTCGACAATAACTTTTTTATTTTTTACAATTTTTATAACATCTTTACTATCAAATAAAAATTGAATTGTTTAATGAAATTAGGGTGAAAACAATACATTTGAGGGTGTAAGTGATCACCCCTCAATAATGCCATTTTATTATATTCTTGTTTGGTGAAAACGAGGCGCGGGAAAATGTGTGCCGCGCAAGAATCCAATCATTTGGCTAGATTTATGACTGTTTTTTATGTCATACCTAAAAATAGAATGTTTACGCTTTCTTCGTTGATGATCGTTTTTATTATTTTTTAAATTGAAAGTATGAATTATTAGTTAGATTGCGGATTTTGTAACTTGGTATACTTACCTTTTATCAATTTAAAAAACATAGCATGCTAATTGTGAACAAATATAGTCATAAAACACAGAAATATAAAGTTATAATTGCGATGTGCCACACCCGGGCCACACCCCCTCAAGAAAGCATGTGTTTATTAAGCTGTTTATCTCACTTTACAACAGTAATTAAAATTAATTTTCAAATTTTTATCACTTATTGGGTAAGATTAAGCACATGTTTACCAAAAATAAAAATAAAACAAAAGCAAATTCTGTTTTAATGAAGGTCACGGGTGAAGTTTTTTTTTCCTTCTGTCACGTTCAGTGGAGGGTGCCACAGGCTGACCTGACTTTGGAATTTTTTTCAGTAATAATGACTTTGCACAGAAAGTTAAAATATGCTAAATTAGCTTAGTTTACTAGTGTTCTAGCTATTATTGATACATTTTTAATAAAAAAATCATTCTGTAATTCTCATTAAACAGCCTACTTCAAGGCAACTCGTAAGTTAAGTCGTAACTCGTAAACACTAAACACTAGTAAACAGTAAACTACGTAAACCATTTTAAATAATAGTGAATAAATAGATTCTAGTTTAGTTAGCCTATCCCTAGACCTAGTAAATAAATAAAATAGGGCGGTATTCTATAGTCTATCTATAGGCCTACTAAATATCTATATACTATATATAATATATAATTCTCTTCTGGGAGACGCTAGAAAACAAGCTGTAAACGTGCTCCCTACCACCCCCACCCCTACATGGTCTGTTGAGCTGTGGTTCACTCTAAATGTTTACAAACAGAGCCGGGTTTTGTGACGACTATTAGGGGCAGATAATTTAGTTTGAAACGATTTTTAACGTAGGGGGGGGGGGGGGGGTAACTAAGTGGAGTTTATTTTAACGGAGGGGGGAGAAGGAGTGGGGGGTTATCGTCCTTAACGAGCTACTTATAGTGTTTTAAAGAAATATTTTCAGTGGCAGCGTTGGTAGTGTCGAATTCACAAATTATGAATAACTGAAAAGTAGAAAAAACGACAACTAAATAGCGGTGTATGATATGCCGCGGGTCGGCTCGTAATTAACTATTGTTTTAGGGTACGTAAAATTGCCCGTGACTAGTAATGTGAAAAACAGGTGACTCCTTAAATTTTAATAATTATTTCACATTTTGAGGAGGATTTATGTTTTGAAAAATACAAAAATGTTTCCTTGTTTTTCTTCTTCTTCTTCTTCTTCGTTCTTAATTGAGAATATGGTGGAGGATTCAGACAATAAGTCCAACTTCATGAACAAACCGGACTGTGGTCTCCAGTTTCCTTGTTTAATTTTAATAATTTATGTAGGCCTACCTGTTTTTAAACAATTGAATTTAAACTTTTCAGTAATAAATGATGATTAGCGATGTTTCCAACAATGCAACCATGCTCATTTACTATATCAGCCATCATGTTTAAGTTTTTTTTTTTTTGTAAACTTATATTCTAGCTCGAGATTCAGGGGAAGCCAATCTATTTTACAAATGGCTGCTGTTTATATCAAATCTTGCTCTCAAACATTGCTGTTTAAAGTTAATTTCTGGCCTATAATAATATTGATATATTTAACCATTAATTTAGGTTTATTATTCATTTATCTATAATATTTGACACAAATATGTCACAATATACTTCTATAAAGCCTTAACAATGAGGCAGCTTTTTCGCACATTACTAGCCTCTGCCGATTTTATGCACCTAAAACGATAGATTACCATATTCTATATAAAATATAGGCACATATATATATTTTATATATATATATATATATATATATATATATATATATATATATATATATATATATATATATATATATATTATCTTTTTCTGTCTGTGCAAATTACTGTTTTTACATTTTTCAGGGAACTTTATTTTGGTATTGGTAAACCTAGCATAGTAATAAAATACTAATGAGTTTGGCACTATTGCCCTTTAGGCTATTATAGAAGAAGCATTTTAGTAATTTAAATTAAAAGCTAATTTTAAAAATAATTTGCTAATAATATTTTGTTTATTGTTTCAGATACCATTTTAAAAAATGCCACTTTTCATTCAAGAGCTTGAGGTGAAACCGGAAATGTCAATAGAAAACTTCATCAAAAAGTTTTCACATTTTAAAGTATGCTAAAATTCTAATTTGTTGAATTAAATATCATTTCACTGTCAATCTACTTTTATGCATCATTTTCCATCTCCATAAAGATCTATGCTATTTAATGATTATACAGAAAATTTAATTACACAGTAGTATGACTAATATGGCAGTTTTATCAAATATTTCAGCTCTTACAAATAAAATGTTGACATTTAGTAGATAAACTGAATTTTTGGCAAATTTTTAATTTATTTTTTACCTCAAGGAATCCTCAAGACAACTTCAGCAACAGCAGATCAGGGTTGTTGGCCCAAAACATCTTTTGTACATTGGTCAACGAGAAGTAGGAGGGACTTGTCCTACAGATAGTTTGTACTTAAATTGACATCATTCACTAAAATATCACATTAAAAGAATATGAATAACAGTTATGTAGTGTTTGAATCATCTCTCGTTTCCAATCTACATTTTTTGGGCTCAAAATGCCTTTTTTCTAAAATATATTATAAAATACATAATGAATGTGAACTGTATTGCAATCCATTTTAAATGCTTTAACTGTAACTCAGATTTTACCAATCATTAAACTTAACAGATATTTGCATTTCTGATAAACATAAGGAAATCTCATTTTCAGTCTAATGATATATTAGATTAGTCATTTAAAATAAGTTTAAAGATTACTATGTATTCACAAAAGGTGATATAACTACAAAGTACTTTCCCTATATCAGCCAGTTGAGCTCGTGTTTGCGTACAAATCTTGAGATAATTGTTACTGGTCTGATTTTAATACTACTATATTTAGTCATACAGGAAGTAGAATTATAATGAATGAATGTGTTACTGAACTTCGTCTAGATAAACCTTCAACTAGCTTATATTTTTACTAGTCTATATACAACACAGTAGAAAATAAAACAAAAAAAATCTGTTGAAGAATACATTTTTAAAAAAATAAAACTTTTTTTCTATTTATAGTTAGAGTTGCTTTTAGTATATCTAAAGAAAGAAAAGGTTTTTAAATAGTTTTAAATTTTGAAAGTTTTATTATATATTTAAAATATATGTTATTTATTTATTTATTTAGTTATATTAAGCCATGGCTTATAATCTTTTTTTTGTAACCATATAGAGACTGTATCAGTTTTGGGCTCAGAAGATGCGACAACATGTCATATTGCTGTTATGAGGCATACAGGTAGAACTAGATTTATACATTGTTTCCATAATATCAGATTTTATTTAGTAGCATAATGCATTTTTAAAAATGAATGTTGCTTTTTTTTTTAAATTAAATATAATTTCCATTTGAACTTATGTTAATAATAAGAATTCAAACAACTAATGAATTCACTGTGATGATTGTGGAAAACCATTTTTTAAAGAATCAGCCTCCATAAAAATACTGGCCTTAAATATTGTGTATTTTCAAATTATTTCAACTACAATAATTAGGTTGATTTTTTTTTTTATACTATCCTGCAGGTTCTGGTGCTACAAGCATGATACATTTTGATGGTTGTTCAACTGCTCAAGGACTTGAGGCCATGATTACAATAGTTTCCAATCTTACACAAAATATGTCCTCTGGCAGGTGAGTCCTGAAACTGACATAGCTGTACATAAATAATACAGAAAATGTTTAATTACATTTTTTTGCGTTGGCTGGAAGAATTGGAAATTAATATTTTTATTACAATTACAGCCATTTAAAAATTATTATTAGAACAAAATTGTTACTATCTGTTGCTAAAATTGCAAACTGTTTACCCCAAAATGCTAATTTGCTCAACAATATTATTTGAAAGTTGGAGATATCTATTAAAATTTATTTACCACACAGGCTTGAACTTCATCTTGTTGGTGGGTTTTTAGATGATCAGCTGAACTCTCACACAGTTTCAAACAAAATACTCAGTGAGTGAAAGATTGGCTAAATTGTTTCATTTTGTGTGTGTGTGGCTTTTAGAATTTTAGTTTTTTACTGTTCTTTTAAACAACTGGGAAAATTAGTTTAAAAAAACTGTTCTGTCATTGATTACTACTTAAGGCTAGACATTGCATCATGTAGTTATTGTTTTAAATAAGTTGTTTGATTTATTTGTTCTTTTGTCTACTAACTATTCTTTTTCCCTTTTTTATATATCTATTAGCTTTTCACAATGGTTCTTTACACCTCAGACAAATTTTCTTTCCGTTATTTCAAATGTGATTCTTCAAAGCATTGTTTGCTTGCCCAGCCTTGATTTGTACACAGACATAAGTGCTGACTTTTTTTTTGTCTGAGGTTTAGATAAGTGTTATACCCATATGTTTACTGTTCTGCAGAAGCTTTGTGTGAATGTCAACATGAGATTCATCTGGTTACAGCATGTATAACCCGTGAGTGGATATTATTATCAATTGTACTATAATTGTAAATAATTTAACCATTAAATTTAAAAGTGAGGAGTTGGTTTGGAAAGAAACTTTAATGGATATTATTTTTCAGATTTCAATACAGTATACAAGCATCACAATAAACCTTTCCCAGCTATATATGGCGTAGGTAAGATCAAATTTTCACATTTATTTCTTTTTATTTATTACATCACTAATTCTTTCTGTGGTTTGTATTTTCATTACTAGTTATTAGTTTTCATAAATAATAATTTATTTAAAATGATTTATTTAATTCATATACTTTAAATTCCCATTAATATTTTTGACAGCTGTAAACATTGAGACTGGTGAGATTTTCCCAGCAACTTTTCCAGATAAAGGTCCAGACCTTGCTTTAAGAAGTGCTCGCCATTTTACCGGTGGAAAAGATGTAGGTGGTTTTTTTTTGTGATTAATGCTTCTTTGGTTGTTTCTTACTTTAAAACTTTATTGTATGAGCTGGTCAAAAAATTATTACATTTTTAATAAAGTGGTAGTGATCTCTCCTAAACTTTCTTGAATATTCTTATATAACTCTTTGGGGGGATGGCAACTTGGGATTTAGACGACTTTAAATCCAATTTTAATTACTTAAACTTTTAAAAATAGAATAGAATCTTGTAGAAAAAAAAAGAATTGTCCACACACAGGTACACACTGACAAAATTGCAAAACTATTTTTTTCCAACTCAGGGAGGTGAAAATCTCAATTTCGATTTTTGCGCGATTACAATACTTCCTCTATACCACGTATACGAGAAAGTAAAAAGAAGTTGAGAGCAAACATTAATTTTTATAACCTTTCATTTAATTAGCATTGTCTGTGTGTTTGTGGCTTACCTTGTAACTTAACTTTAACATACTTCTGATTGCTGCAATTTCATTCAAACTTTTTATATAAGTTCGTCTTTGATGACACTGCGAGCAGATCTAATTTTTAATCTAATTATTTATTAAATTAGACATTCAAATTAAATTTTAAAAGATTACAAAATTAAACAATGAATAGGAGATAACAAGATAAAGTGCTAACCAGCTACTGTGGACTGTTTGTCACTTATGGTTGGTTTCGAACCTGAGAGCCAACTACTGACTAAGAAAGGGTAGATAATTGTCTTTTAGAGATCGTAAGCCACTAATTCGGTTTTAAAGCAAACATTCTTTGTTGTACGTTTTTTCAACTTCATTGGAAAAAACTGAATGAGAAAACAATTAACTACACCTATGCTACAAAATGTTCTTAAACAATTTTAATTTTTTAAATTTCAAATGACTAAGAAGTAGAAAATATAACTAATATATAAAAACCTTTATAATAATCTTTTAAATAAACTGAAGACAAATTAAGCATTAGTTACTCATGAAATCTCTTCTGCTTCTTAGTTTTACTTAATTTTAAAAAAGGAAAAATCATGGTAGATGAATAATTTTGGAGGAAAATTATATTTTCTTTTTTTTTAATAATTATTTTTAAATTTCATTATTTGATTTATTGAAGCAAAAATTTTGTATTTCAGAATATAATCATCTATGATCCTCACATGCATGAATTGACAATAGGGCCATTTGATTACTCTGGGATGCCAAACCTAGATTTTTTTCTATCTTTAACAAACAGAGATATTAGAAAAGTGAGAACTTTTTAAAAATAAATTGTAGTTGTTACAGTACTTTCAATTTGTAATAATAAATTCTTGGAGAATTCATAATTTACTGTGGCATTTCTGGATGGATGAAACCAAATCCTCATGATTTACAGCTAAAATGTTTTTTAAAAACTTGTATTTGTAAAGAAAATAATTCCACTTATTTGCAGCTTATATTATTTTATCCCTTTTAGTTTTTATCAACTTCTCCTGATCAAGAACCAGAGGGCTTTGAAGATAATGTGAGGACAACTCTAAAGTGGCTCAATGATTTTCCAGAACCACTAAAATCTGTATTTAAGAATGGAGCCCCTCGAAGATATGTTAAAGACCCATTTGGTGCATGGATAGCTGTAGAGTAATTGCACTTGAAAAAACCTGTCCATTGGTTTTATTGCCAAATTGTACATAATATTGTATATTAAACTTCTTTTTTTTTTTACAAAAGAAGCTATAGGTAATACCCCAAAATTCCACAATATGGAGGAAAATATTTCAATGATATTTTTTTTTAATATATAAATGTTCTACAATTTTTTTATTTTCTATACACATAGCAACATTTTACAATTGGCTGTACAAAATTAACATGCTCAGTTACAAGATATAACAGCTGTATTTTTCAAGTACTGTTTAACATTAATAAAAGTACAAAACCAGCAACCAGTTTCCTCTTTGCTTTTTATTTTGGTTTTGGCATTAATATGTTGAGCATAATAAAGATTAGGCTTGACTTATACACCACAGTAACAAAAAAGTCATAATGAATGACTCTTTTATTATGTGCCTACCAACAAGAGAGAATTTTTTCCTTAAGAAAAACACTGAAACACTAGAGAACAATAGGAGCAACTATTGCATGTGATGTTAAAATTAACATGAATTTTTAAACTGTCTACAACTCATTGATGAATGTTTTCAGAAGCAAAAGTAAAAGCATTGACTAATGCAGTTACTCAAATAACATTTGGTTGGGAATAAAACACAATGAGACTCATCCAAATATATTTAAAACAAGCATCAAAACAAAAATATAAAGCTTACATAAAAGCTCATGAATTTAATACAAGCTTGAGAATCTTATCTTTTGTTTTTTATTCTTTATTGTCTTACAGTAAAAAATGCTCAGAAAATAAATTATATGCCCAATTAAAGCAAGGTATCTAATACAATGCCCACATAACAAAACAAAATACTTAGTTTAGTTTGAATAACCATGTTTAAATCCAGGAGAAGTGCCGTATTGAAGAAAATCTGCAGGGCAGTTGACTAAAGATATGCTCACAGGATTTGTGCTTGGTATCATTTCATCATCTTCATCTGGCAAAAAGTCATCTACATCCTAAGAGAGGAGAAATTGATGAAATTGACTATTAAAGAAAGATGCAACCTTATTTCCGGTGTTCAGGAGGAATTTGTACTCCTCTAAAAAAACTATTTTTATAAATTTTAATACACATAGGGGTTCCAAAAAATTTCTGCCAGGGACACCAGGCCTGATTGTAAGGAAATGTTACAATAAAGAACAATTGAAGTTATTTTTAACATTTCTGAGTTTCAGATGTGAAAATAGGATTCCATTTAAAATACCATAAGTTTCATGTTTGATTCAGCACAATTGTTTTATATATTTTCAAATGCTTATTTTGTTTTCTGGAAATGAAATTTATTGAAAAGGAAATTTTAACATAAGAGTTGGGCTGACTCATATCAACCAGGTAAAGGTTATTACCTCATCTTCCAATTCTTCTTCTTCAGGCAGACTTCCTCTAAACTCATAGTACAAAGGTGTGATATGTGTACCAGATCTGTTATAAAAATGTTTTTTCAATAAACACATAGCTTGAGAACATTGCAGCACATACATTAAAAACACTTTTACATTTTCAATGGATCACAAAATAGTTAGAGGTTTACAGTAAAATAATGTTGAAGTTAGGTTCATCTAGTAGATGAAGTTATTAATGAACACATACCTTGGCAGTAAGTAAGGATCAAAGGGAAAATATGATTCAAGCTGTTTTGATGCTGAACTGGCAAGCTGATAGCTTGAACTGGTGATAGGTAGACTATAACGATTGTTTCTCTCAATGATAGTATCACAGAAAGCTAGCTGGTGCATTCTAAAAAAAAACATAAACCTACCCATTAACTGATGAAGAAATGGTCTTAAATTGAAACAGGCTAAAATAAGTCTTATATTTAGTTTTTCTATTTAATACAATACAAATTGAGCTTATCTTTTTAGTGATAAAAGAAATAGCAAGCCAAGACATAGGAATAAAATTTATTGTGTTAGATCAGTGGCAAAGGCTACCTGTGGCCCAGTGGATAAACAACATAGAGGCAAAGAAGGATAGAATGTGTGTGAAATTATAGCAATGACCCAATGAAAGCAATCTTGACAATGTTGAGTCTTATGACATTTATGAACACATAAAAAATTAAGTTTTTTTAAAAATTGAAGTAAGAATATTTAATGCCATGAGCTTTAAGTTACAATTTGTTTGAAATAAAGAACAGAGATAAAACCAGCATGCAGGTTCTAGAACAATCAGGAATAAAGTATTCTTATCATCTTCTTACCTGGTAGCAGAAGCAAATGTTTTAACAATGATAGGAACACACACACGAAGGGGGTTCAGCTTGCTTGTAACAACCCTCTGAAAGTTCAAAGATTCTGCCCACTTGTGACCTGAAGACAAAGTCAATGTATCTTAATCAAAGATAATTCTTTCTTACTATAAAGTAAATAAATATGTTAGCAATAGTGAACAATAGCTGCCATATAGTGTATAATCTAACCTCACTTAAAGATAAAACATCAGCATTACCTCTCTTCATCTGCATAAAGTCATTATGTTTAAAACAAAATATGTAAAAGGCACTCTGGCAGACTGAGTAGAAGGTCCCATGGTGGGCAATATCAGCATTGAGTCCCTGTTCACCGGTTTGGTCTAAATATTTATGGACCCACTTCATCATCAACTGCATCACTTCTTTTGATGTACTGTAAAAAAGAGTAACATGTAGATTAAATTAACAAAAATTAATACTCCTGCTTGGTAATTTTCTTAAAAAATAAAATTACTGAGGGAATATTGATTTTTAGCTGATAATGGGGTGTAATATACAGTACTCTAATGTGGACTGGTATTAACTAGGAGGTTTATTATATAGACCAGTTAACATAGAGATTCTCTCACTAATATTTTTGTATCATTGATTCAAGACCTCTATCAATTACATTATCGTGCAAAATGAAGTTACTCGATGTAGTTTATTCAAGAGGAAAATTAATTCAAGCTTTATTTACTGTCAGAGTTTCCTCCCTTGGAAAGGTAAACCAGATTGATGGCACTTTGTAGCTGTAACTCAAAATGGCTACTACTTAGTCTACTACATGAGCAATGAAACAAAGAGAGTAGTTGCTCATAAATTAACATAATTAACTCGCCTTACTTCTAATGTTCAGAATTTAAAACACTGCAGTGCTTTCCTTTTTTGTTAATTATTTAAAATTTACTATATAGAGATATAAGCAATAGAAAGAAATTTTAAAAACACTTACTTTAATGAAATGTATTTAGCCCTGGTGAGGAAACTACCAATGTAACAAGCTGCTGTCTGCCTGTAAATACACTGTAATGTCGGGTCTGTCACTTTTTTCCACAAGTAGTCAATAAATCCCTCTCCCAAAGGCTGAAACATCAAGTGTTTAAACATGTCAGGTATACTCGTATACATCCAACAAAAAGTTAACACATGGGCCTACAACAGTCTCATTAAACATTCTAAAAACCAAGATAGAAAATGAAGTTGTTTTTTTACATGACAATGTAAGGTTATTAAAAAGAAAGACAATAGTGTTCATTTCTTAATTAAATCCATAATTTACTTACTTCTTTGAAACTGCATATGTAAAATATTAGAAACTGTACATGGCAAGAAGCATGTGTGGGAAATATAAACTTATCAAAAACTGATAGCATTTCTCTGTACAGCTTTTTAGTGACCTCCCAGTTTAGCTTGTCTGGAAATCAAATATACAGTAACCAAAGTAAAATTAACTGCATGAAAGCAAGAGATTAATTAGCATACTTTCAATTGAGTGAATACACTTTAACTTAAATGTAAATAAAACTAGCTAAAGAATGGAAAACATAATTAAAGGACCTGATTGGGTCCTAACTAAAAGCAGACAGGTTGTCACATTTGTGACAGACCTACAAAATTGACAGACTAGGTTCACCTTCCACAAAACACTCCTCTTTGATGTACTGGAAGCAGAGTGTCATCATTGCATCAAGTGACCCTGCCATAGGTAGTGCTGTGGCTAATCTCTGTTCTACTGACCCACTTGTGTTACCTGCTGTACCGTCCTCCTATATGAGCAAATTGTTTTGTACTTATATTACCTATTTCAGTTGGTATGCATGTGTCTATGTGCAAGTATATTTGATGCAGGTGAATATGGCTACTAACCATTTCAAAAAGTGTGTCTTCTAATTCAGTGGATTCTTTCTGAGGTTCACATATCACAGTATTTATCTCAGTTCTTGATGATCTTACCTATTTTTTACATAGAAGTGTACTTATAGTTAGGGAAATCCAAAATGTTGATGACAAACTCATTCTTTACAAAAAAAATCAGATCCATTTCTTAACATAAAAAACTTTTACATTCTTTTTCAAATATCCTGAAGTAATATCATCAGTTTAAGTAATAATCAAATCACTATTGTCTAACCATTATTGAGAAAGTGAAATTCCAAAGTAAATACTTACATCTAATTTCAACATATTTTTTACAACCAATTCTAAAATATCCATTCTCAAAGGGCTCATGTACTTGCTCACAGTAAGAGCACCCAGTGTGAAGTATTCAAAGTTTGCAACTCCTTTATTTAAGTAGGGAAAATTTTCTTCCAGGATTTGCAACATGAAAAGTGTTGTCCTATAAACAAATGTGTCAATGTACTATACAAAAACTTGTAAATAGAGAAATCAGTAGCGTAAATCTAGTCTAATACAGGAATATTTTTTAAATATATGTTCAAAATGCATTCACTCACGTAGGTGCCAGCTGATAGAGTGACTTTATAAGGGAATGAATGTGTAATAAATCCTCTTTTTTCTTTGTGACCTTTTCTGACTCATCTGTTGTTTTGTCATCTTGTAATAGTTAGGCAGAATTTTTAAACATTAAGTTTAAGGAATTGAATCAATAATTTTTAGCATGAATCGAAATTCTAAAAGACAATTTTTTTAGTATACACTATCATATATAAGCTGAATTTAGCTTACCTTGTATGAATCTCCTCACCAGTACCTTTAGCATTGGTTTCAGGTGGAACATATGGGCAGATACGAGATTCAAAATGCAAGATTTAAACACACTAATTAGTTCAGGGCCTCTCTCCAACCAGTTCATGTTCTGAGAATAATTATTTACATTTTAAAACATTTGAAAAAGACACACCAAAAAAAAATCAAGGTTTCAAACAATAAAATATTTACAAACAATAGTAAATAAATTACCATAATCACTTGTACAAGAGGTCTGTGCTCATTCGTTAAAAGAGTTATATTTTCCTCAATATCTTTTAGAATATGAATAACTTTCCCAGCCTAAACCATTTAAGAAAAACAATAAAATAAACATTGGTGTAATATAAATGCAGGTAAATGTTTTAAAAAAGACTCAGCAATTCTTTAGTAACTTTAAAATTTCAAGCAAAGAAGAAATTCTAAAAATAACTATCCTTCCTCAAATAAAATAATATGTTTCTTTATTACAATTATTAACGTAGTTGCAAATATTTCCTAAACCCAACCAGTTTCATGTCATACATACCTCAGTATCTGGGTTTGATAAAGTTAATAACAAAGTGTCATATGAGTTTCCTGCTACCTATTATGAAAAAGAAAACCTTATTTAGATAGTGCAACCATTACCAATCTTTGTAGTCTTTTGAAATATTATTCCTTATTAGTAATGAGAAATAGGAAAAAAATTGGGAAAAAAGGTAAAGAATTAATACTTACACTGACATCTTTGTTCTGTGATAAAAGGACTTTTAAATCTGAATAAAAGTTTGGTGTTGAGGAGTTAAGTGGTTCCATTTTGTCTTTAGTATAGCTGTCTATCAAAAGTCATTGATGTCAAGATGCTCATCAATGATGACTAGCAACCAGGCTACTAAAACATTAACATGAAAACAATAAGTCATAAAGTTTATTTATTTATTATTAGTTTATTTCTGTCAAGGCACGACACACAACACTATGTGTGTGTGGTATGTGGCCTCACCTATTTAAATTAGATTGTTTAGGCCTATATTAGGCCTATTGTTTTGAGTTTATATTTAACTCAATGCAACAAGCCAGCCTGTTAGTTGAGGCCATGCTAGACTAGAGGTTTGTTCTGGTAGGGATAGAAATAACAAAGGGTTGACTTGAAATACCATCCCAATTATCTATAGATCTAATACTTGACACAAATATATCACAATATACTTCTATTAAAGCCTTAACAATGAGTCAACTTTGTCGCACATCTAGATCTAGCCTCGGACAATTTTGTTTACCTAGCAAAATGCTAGATTACCAAATAAATAAATAAATAGTTTATTAAATAGGCCGGATGATTAGGGTAAAGGAGGGCGTTAAGAGCCACACTTTTTAGCACCTGTACATTTTTAAAGATTTCTACTAATCTAAGAATTTTTTAGTATTGAAAATATGACAAAATTATTCTAACATATCTTACACAATGTAAAAATAATAACAAAGTGTATTAAATATACTTTAAATGGGTTTAATTGAACATTTATTGTCATACCCCCAAAATCAGCATTTGGGGTGAAAGGAGCCGGGCAATGGGGCAATAAGCATTATCTCCTAGTTTAGACTAACTCCACAATAAAAATAATTAATTTCTAACCCCAAAATAGTTAATGCTGTGTACACACACTTTAACTGATACTAGCTATCACTAGGCCCCAATGGGCCCAGTCTACAATTGATACAATTGCAGGTGTACATAGGGCCTAAGCCCTAAAGTCTAGTAATTTACAGTAGGCACATTAGTATGCCTAATGTGTAGCTAGTATACTAGTGTGTAGCTGTCCAGAGTTAACATTCTTGTATGTAAAAAGGGGTGGTACTAACTAATCTGCCTTAATGCTTTCCCCTGATAAGCCATGTGTGCTATACATTACATAACATGACATGGAGGTGAGAAATGTTGAGGGGAGAGCAGTTGTACTGGTTTCCCCTTTGTTCTCCTTGCTGGACCCTGAGGGCCATAAATTACATAAGGAGATGCTATCTCTGGTTGGCTGAGATCTAAGAACTAAGTCCATGCTACCTACAAAGAGATAAGTTTTATGGTGGGTTAGATACAGGTGGGGGCTGGGTATCATGGGGGTGAGAAATGTTGAGGGGAGAGCAGTTGTACTGGTTTCCCCTTTGTTCTCCTTGCTGGACCCTGAGGGCCATAAATTACATAAGGAGATGCTATCTCTGGTTGGCTGAGATCTAAGAACTAAGTCCATGCTACCTACAAAGAGATGAAGTTTTAGGGTGGGTTAGATACAGGTGGGGTCTGGCTATCATGGAGGTGAGAAATTGTGAGGGGAGAGCAGTGGTACTGATTCCTCTTTGGTCTCCACCCTGCTAGACCATGAAGGTCATATATTACATAACATGCCACCCCAGATTGTCTGAGATCTGTAACTGTAATCCATGTTACCTACAAAGAGATGAAGTTTTATGGTGGGCCAGAAACTGGTGGGGGCTGGGTATCATGGGGGTAAGAAATTGTAAGGGGGGGAGCAGTGGTATTAATGTGTCTGTTTACTTCCCTGCTGGACAATGAGGGTCATAAATTACATAACATACCACCCCAGATTGGCTGAGACCTAAGAGCATTTATTCCTGTTACCTACAATGAGATTAGAAGTTTTATGGTTGGTTAGAAACAGGTGGGGGCTGAGTCGGCTGTATTGCCCCTTAGGGGTAATAAGTACCTGTACCATTTTAAAAATTACCTTGCTAACATCAGATGGCTGAATTTTTACTTTTTAGCTGGTTAGAATTGTATTTCTATCATTTAGACACAAGTCTGTTTAACAATTAATACATTTTGTGTTAACTATTCCTATACCAGTGTCATATTCAGTGGTCTAATAAATGAGAAACTTGCACTTAGGGTTTCAAGAGCCACATAACAGTATCTGTTATAACTTTTCTAAACAGGCAAGCTAGTGGACAAAATTAATGTATTCATGTAGATTTAGTTATTATCTAACAAATAAAACCATTAAGGTAATGATCAGTCAAGTTTTACTCTGATAATGATAAAAACTTTATAGCATGGTAAAATGGGACAAATGTCAGCCATTTTGTTTTGGCACCAATAATCACTGTGCAAAAAAAATTCACCAAAATAAAACTATTCTAGCGATAGCTATAAAAATAGTGTTAAAATGTACAACAACCAATGCTCTAATACAGGAACAAAGAATGGGCTTGAAAAACTCATTTGGTATATTACAAAGTGAAGTTTCCCAAGTTATGTCTATTTGGAAAAAAAGTTCACAAAATGGTTTTATGGAGATGAGAAATTTTAGGGAAAGAGCAGTGGGATTAAATCCTGTCTCATCCTCTCCCTATTGGACCAAATGGGTCATAAATTACATAAAATTAATCCTCTGCTTCTCTGTTATCAAAGAACAGCAGTAGTTGTTACCTCAGAAGTAGATTAGCAGCGTTATTGGGGGTTTTGTGGGGGTGGGGTGTTGATTGGGGCTTAATACCACACGGCTCTTAACGCCCTCCTTTACCCTATAGATACCGGTGTCCGATAATGGAATCTTCTTTAAAAAAAGGGATGTTGGGTTATTTAGTAGTATTGTAATCTTGACTAATTTTATGGTTAGAAATTGAAATTAGGGTTAGGCGTATGGTTACTTAATACTTATTACTTATGGTAGGACCAGGGTTGGGGTTAGGGACAGGGTTAGTAATTGTGACGTCTCTACCTAGTACCTAACTAAGTTAGTCACGCCTTAGACTTTAGACCTTAGTGTCTCGGTTTATCAGTCACTTATCAGAAAACAGAACTAAAATCAAACTTCTAAGTAAACTTTACTTTGAAGTTTGAGTTTAGATAAAGCCAACACAACACATTGATTGATTCACATCACAAACTTAAATAAATGAAACTTTCATCATTTACTTTCACTTTCAAACTTACTCGATTTACTGATTTAGAATTTAGATTTTGTTTAGAATCTACTTCAGTCTTCTTAACTTGGTCTTCTAGATTCTAGACTCTAGATCTAGTTAAATATAAATAATAATATAAATAAATAGATAGATCTACTAGATCTAAGATGTGTTTCAAATTCAAGATCTAGAATTTATAATTTATAAGGTAGGTTATTTTACATCGTATCGTAAGTTCTCGTTAGTATCCTTCAATTTTCATGCATGAAACTATCATCCACCATGCTTTGATCCTGTTTATGTTTTTACATTCACTGTCTATCAGCACGCCGACGTCTGATAGGCCTACTGTAGTTTATACTTTTACTAGATCTAGATCTAGAAGACTAGATCTGTGGTTAGGCCTAAGGCTGTAAAATAGATCTATTCTATAGTAATAGGCTTCTATAAAGCGTTAAAAATTTTCAGAAAAAAAGTACGTACAGCATGTAGATCTAGGTTCTAAAAGAAATATTAAATCACTAGATCTATATAGGAAAAGCAATGGATGTATTAATGTATGTTTGTCTATATGTCTTTTAATAACTTTTATTACTTTTATGCATTAGGGGGTCGTCAATAAAAGACGTCAAAATCGTAGGGGGGAGGGGAGGGTCCGTAATTTTGTGACGGTGTGTGATGAGGGGGAGGGGATGGAGGGTTCAAATAAAAAAGCTATGTTAGAAAACGAGTTTTATCCGTTATTATTTCGCGTTTTAGAAAACGGTTTTAATAAATTGTAATACGAATCGATCAAAATACTCCATGTTGACAGAGTTCTGACAACATTTTGGAAAAATATCGATGTTTTAAGAAAAATTCAACAGCAATTTCGAGGAGGGGGGTGTAGGCTGAGGCGTGACGTCATTTTAGTGAGGCGTCTGGCTTTTTGTGACAACGTGTGAAGGAGGGGAGGGGGGGGGGTAAAATCGTAAAAAAAAAAGCGTGACATCATTTATGGATGACCTCTTACTTCACCTTTCATCCGATCGCCATGAAACTTTGAGAAGCTGTTGAGAACACTCCTGTGGGGGTTTCTGCGGGGAAAAAATCAAATTCGCATGGGTGGCGTACAGGCAGGGCGCGATTCGATTCTTTTCTATGTACTGTATATAAAAATAAAAATCAATTTCGGTTTGGCGCCCTGCGCTATTCTGTGAGCACTTAGACACCTACGTTAATTTTAAGGAGCACCTTACAATATTGACAAGGCGGCATTCGACATTCGATGATTAAACCAAGCCAGGGGCCGTTCGTTGGGCAATTGCGGTGTGTAATCGGGGGCTCATGAGAGCGCCCCCTACGTCCCTGACACCTGGGCGGTCGCGAAGTGTGTTCTATCTCACTATTATGGAAAGTGATTAACCCTTTATCTACTGACGGTACTTATAAGTACCACTTTAATTAAGTGCCTGTATTATTTTAAATTAAATACGAATTTTAAAAATTATTGATGTATTTTATAGTATTATCTCCCCCGAGTCGCCGGTAGTCGGAGGTATCAATGTTTTTAAAAAAGTTAATGGTGTGGCGCTTTTTCAATGTCTTGCTATATCGGTAGTTCACAATTTTTCTGTACATTTCTCACACCCGTTCCTGATTTCCTTTTGTTTTACCTTATTTTTCAAGTTTTCAACCCCAAATATTTTTATTGGCACCTTCAATAGTCAGGCAAACGCGTTTAACTTCTAGTTATACAATTTTAATCAAATTGTCTTTGTATTAGATCAATGTTTACAAGTGGACTTATAAGTACCGTCAGGGCACACGGTCATTTTTTAAGGATTTTTTAGAAAATTGCAGATTTGTTAGGTGGAGTTACATAAATATTGCCTTGATAATTACTTATCGAAATGTACTCAAAAAATGATATTTACACATTTATAAGAAGGTTTGCATATGGTTTACCTAAGAAATATTGTAATTACATGTTAATTTCTAGTAGTAAAAAAATAACAAGAATAAAGGTATCAGTTGCGGGCTCGTTTATAAGGTTTAGTATACTTCATTTGTATACCAAAGCCTAGTTCAGGTTGTAAGATTTAATTTGTTAGTTATATTTACTGCAATGAACTGTCTTGCCTACAACAAATAGCATTTACATAATGTATACCTGTAGACTAGTAATAGTCCATACTTCTGCATATAGTATAGATCTATAAGGTAAATTTTAATCAGTAAACCGAAAAGAGTAATCCACTACTTCTTCCAAAACACATTGAGCTCACTTCTATTTATGAACTTTGCACTGTAGTGTAGACTTGTCATAACATTATAGTAGGCTACAATTATATTAGTATTTCTAGTAGTTGTGTGCTGAATGACTAGGCTTTTGTTTGTTTATGCGCCTCATTGTACTAGTTATTGGAAGCTTCCAGCAAAAGCATATTCATTCCGGCAACCGTTGCTAAACTAGAAAGACCACAGACAAGATTGAGGGAGCATGACATGTCGACTACTTTTGCTGTGTTTGAGGTCTAAGATGTGTTCCGATAGAAAATCCAGTAAAAATCGTACTCAAAATATACTATTGTGCTGTATTTATGTGTGAAAATTACAAAAAGTGATTGTTATAATGATTGCCATTTTATTAGTTAATAAATTGTATCGTTTGTTCCTGTTTTGTAAAAAAAATTTTTTTGAAAAAAAATGTCCTAGTTTACTGACGGTACTTATAAGTACCAATATCTGTTTGGGCCATTAAAAATTTATGAAACGAAATTTCCTTCGATATATGCTTTGAATGTACCAAAAGCAATATAGTAACACATTGTTTAAGTAAAAATCTCATTCAGAACATAATTCCGTAAATAAAGGGTTAACGTATACTCAAAGCTTTCATAGTGCACGCCCCTGAACTGTGCTGGGTGATAGTGTGGACTAATTTGTGCCCCGACACATATGATACAAGAAATGTAGCGCAGGCATTGTTTACCTTTAAATAATTCACTTACAGAAAAGGTCTCGAGTCTAAAAATATAGGATTGGTAACGCATTGGTGAAACCCTCTTAAAATATTGCGTCTGACTTTCTTTTGCATCATATGTTTGTCTTGTATGTATTACTAAATTATTTTATTACGTACACCCAATCACCAAGAAACTTTGGGATGTTGTTGAAAATATTTCTGGGAAGGTTTCTGCAATTTAAAAAAATTTAATTCCTGAGGGAGAGAGCGTCCAGGCAGCACGGTGCGGTTTGGTGCCCAGAGCCCCCCCCCCTCCCCCAGTGTCTATCTTAGCACATGGGATATAAATAAGCAGAGTGATAATGTAAAGTATTTCTCGTTACCCTTTATCTATAGCCATTGGAGAACAACATTTATTTACACGTTAGTATTAGGGTAAAACTTACAAGTATGCATTTTAAAGTATTTGACGTCCTGCAGAGTTTCTGTCAGGCATCCCCGAAGAATTCTACCCCCCCCCTCCCCCCCCCCCCCCGCGCTCCCGAACGAAATAGACTTTTTATAGAAAACTAGCGTGCCCTTCCCCGCGCGTTGCCGCTGGATTAAAAGAAAGTCCCGGGATAGCCCGGGGCAAATTGCACCCTGCGGGGCACGGTGAGTTTTGTGAACCAATATAATACTACTTCTTATCCATATTTTATCACACTTTTTGAAACGAAAGTATGCGCCATAGCGCTACCGGGATAGCCCGGGGCGCCAAATTGCACCCTGTCGGGTGCTATCCTTGCGAAATTAAAAAAAAATCGCAGCAAACTCCCCAGGAGTATTCTCAACAACTTCCGAAAGTTTCATGGCGATCAGATGAAAGGTGTAGCAATGCATATAAGACAAATAAAATATGATGAAATATATTAGGAGGGTTTCATCAACGCTTTACCAATTCTATATTCTTAGACGCGTGACCTTGTTTTCTAAAACTGAGTTATTTAAATTTAAACAATGCCTGCGTTTGGATTATATTTATCGGGACACTGGTATACCTACACTACCGCCTTAAAAACCTTGAGTGTATGTTAATACTCAACGTAATATCACCTGTCAGGGACGTAGAGGCAGTAGCGTAGCGAGGGGGGGGGGGGGCGGGGGGGGGGGACATATGTCCCCGGGCGCCGACCTTAGGGGGCGCCAAAATGGGTTGGAAAAATAAATTGAAAGGTTGAGGGGGGTGAAAATCGAAAGTTTGAGGGGGGGGGGGCTGCTAATGGAAATCTCGAGGGGGGGGGGGCAAATCGAAAGTTTGAGGGGGGGGGGGGTGCAAATTGAAATCTCGAGGGGAGGGTGCAAATCGGAAAGTTTGTCCCCGGGCGCCGGGAAGGGTCGCTACGCCTCTGCGTAGAGGGCGCTCTCGTGAGTCGCTGATTACACTACAACAGGGCGCCTTGTACAGTCCCTGGCTCGGGTGCTCCTTGTAGGGTGCTCCTTAAAACTAACGTAGGCGCAATAGTGCTCATAGGATGGCGCCGGCGTCAAACTGCACCTTGCTTGTGTGCCGGCGGAGGAGGTGATTATGTTTAGTGACCTACTCTAAATCTCAATCGTATGCATAGTCTTAAGCAATGTTTAAAACGGATGTAGGTGCCATATCGCTCACAGGATAGCTCTAAAGATTCATGGCACTCGGATGAATGTTGTCGTACCGCATCCGACTTTTATTGTATTTTATTATTTTATATACCGTATAATTTTATAAAGAAAAATGCGCCGTTCTTGCGTAATTATTTTTTTTTCTTTTTTTGCAAAAACCTCCCCTGGAGTGTTCTAATTAACTCTCCAAAGTCTGAAGGCGATCGGATGAACGGTGTCAAACCGCAATCGATTTTTTTATATACCGTATATAGAGAAGAATCGAATCGCGTCCTGCCACCCGTACGAATTTGAATTTTTTTTAACTCAGAAATCTGCCCTGGATTATTCTCAACAACTTTCCAAAGTTTCATGGTGATCGTATGAAAGGTGTAGTAATGTATAAAAGACAGACAGGCAAAGAAACAGACAGACATACATTGATTTTAAAGATATAGATGTATACTTTTACAAGTGTTCGTTCCCCCCCCCCCCCCCCCCCCCCGAAAATTTCAAATGCCTACCTGGAGAAAAAAGCCTGAAAGAAACACTGCTGCACAGGAGGTCAGGGGTACTAGATTCACCTGTCATACTGCATCCGTCTGCGCCCCGGTGGTCCTGTGACCCGTTGCGCCCTTCATGAGCACCAATGGCGCATACATTCATTTTAAATAGCGTCATTCACTAGGGAAACGGTTGGCTATTAAAATAAATGACTAAATGAATAACTAACGTCTTCCTTTTAGTATGACCCGTGCACGCCGGGCTCCCTCATAGTACTTTGACACATCTTTGTTTTAAAGAGCGCCACTGACTATGGATTCAGCGGACTGCTATAATCGTTGACCAAATCTAACCAGACGCCTCCACCAGAGCCCCAGTTGTTGAACACCCTCTCCTCTCCCTTGAGCATTATGCCCTTACATTATCTTTAAATTCATGACTAAATTGAACAATGTGCACCCTTCCACTCCCTGAGCACATGGTGTCCGTTGTTCTGGTGCCGTGCAGAGGATGGGGGAGGTCAAGAATATTACTTGATTCAAATGTCAAAAGTCCTCCTGGAGCATCTCGGGCTCCCATATGAGCACTATGGGAATATAATTATTTTAAAGAGCACTCTACACTCTTGACACGTCAGGGTTCTACGTTTAATAACTAAATCCAACCAGTGGTCACAACCGGCGCCCCTGCTTAAACGGTAGCTCCCGATGGCAACAGCGATCCCCCTAACACCATGCCGGTCAGTAAGGAGTGTTCTATCTACATATTACATAGTGTAATAAAGTACACTCAATGCTTTCATACAACATGCCCTAGAGCATCTGGGCGGCAGTGTGGACAAATCCATTCCCCAACAACTAAGATCCAAGAAATATAGCACCGGCTTTGTTTACATTTAAAAAATAACTCATATTAAGAAAACAAGGTCACACATTTGAAAATGCACATGTTGACAAAACCCTTATGAAAAGTTTCACCACTCAGGTGTGTAGGTCTAGATCGTGGAAACACTAGTATATTAGAGTTGTTTTGGGTCTTCTCTCTTCACCAAACTATGCGATGAATGACACCAATGGACATCATGAAGAGCAGCATCCTGATCTTAGGTCAGTATGTTTACACATAAGGAGCCTTAATCATTAAGGCCAGTGGCGTAGCGAGGTTGGGTGTCACCTGGTGCGGCAACTAATGGTGTCGTCCCCCCCACCACCACCACCGTAAGAAAAAAAATTTATATATATATATATATATATATATATATATATATATATATATATATATATATATATATTCCATATACACTTGTAAGTATGTGTATATATATATTGCTTTAAACTCTGCTCAGATAATACTAACAATTTGTATCTATATTCGGTTATAAATTCAGCTGGATGTAGCATGTTTTCTTTATCATTAGCAGGTTTACTTCATGGTGTTGGAATATGTCAACTTTGCTCTTAAAAGACTATTTAATTCACTCTAATTACTCTTTTAATTAAGTGAAATTATAACTTTTCTGTATATATTTTGCTCTTTTTTGCCTTGGTGTCACCCCACCCCCCCCAAATTGTGTCACCCGGTGCGGTCCGCACCACCCACCCCCCGCTACGCTGTCATTAAGGCTTAAAGTATACCTTACCATTTGTGTTATAGAAATATTATTGTTTAAATCATTTGCAGAAACGATTTTTTAAATATAGGGAATTACACCTCAAATTCCCTACCATCACTGGAAAACATAATTAATAAATCTATTTTACATCAATAAAAATAAAAGTGAATTAAATAACAAAGAACTTTAGAAACATTTATGTCGTCTCTAAACAGAAATGAAATAATACACCTGTTACATAAAGCTGCCAGAGACAAGTTTATTTGTTTGTTTTTCCAGATTAGAGAACAAATTATAATACAAAAGTGGATATTGTTCAAACTTTTGAAAAAAAACTTGAGTCTTAAATTGTTTATCAATGTAATCTTTTATTTGCGAATACAATAGACTATAATATAATCTTACATAAACTTTTTATAGTAATCTAAATAAAATGACAATATAAAAACTAGAAGACATTGATACTTTAAAATGTAAACACATTTAACAAATGGACGGAGTTAAGGCACATATAAGATTTAAAAATTTGTTTGCACATTTTTATTTTACTATACATTTTTATTACTACATTGAGGTGCTGTAAAATCACGGACATAAAAAAAAAGTTTAAAACAAAACTTTTTAAAATGCAGCAGACTACCTGACTAACTATTGACCATTTGATTATTTTTTTTTTTGCCAGTACAACTTTTTTAATAGTCCAATAGAAAAACTAAAAAGAAAAATAAGTTTTAAAATGTATGAGCTTTGATATGATCTTTTAATAAAACATTCAACAAAAAATGAGTCATATTTTCAATTTCAATACAGTTAAAAATCTTAAATCTGTGTTTCGAAAAGTTTTCTCCATAGGACAAAAGCAAATTTATTTTTTTACCTTTTACCTCAAAATTACTATGTTATAAAACTTAACATAATCAAATCAAAAGTGAATTAGCAGAGTGATAATGTAAAGTGTTTCTTGTTACCCTTTATCTACAGCCATTGGAGAACAACATTTATTTACACATTAGTATTAGGGTAAAACTTACAAGTAAGCATGTTAACGTATTAAAAACATTTGTATGCAAAACTTTTCATGAAATACTTTTACATCTGAAATTGTAAGTAAATATGAAAATACATATCCTGTTTTCATAAAATATTAAAATTGAATCAATCTTTTTATCTTACATATATTTACTATGAAGGCTATTTTGTGAAAAAAAGGCCTCAGTGCCTACTTTTGTTACCGTAATTGAATAAATTGAATAAATAAATTACTACTCTTTTCAAGAGTTTTAATAGCAAAATAAATAAAAACCTACAAAATATATGAAATATAATATTCTAACACTGTAGGCCTATATTATTTACTCTAGGTATATATTATAAGGAAAGAAAAATGAATAATCTACCTGGCATGTTATTTAATAAAACACTATGTTTGGTTAAAATACATTATGATATTACAAAAATTTGTAAGTAGCAGTAACCCTAAATGTCTCCTCATTTTTATCCTCCTCATCATTGATAAAGACCATGATTTCTAAGACTCCAGGCTGCATCACAGGCAGAAACTGGAGGCAGATGGGGCGGGAACCCCCACCTTCTATCTCTAGCAAGGACTCTTTAAAATGGAGCAGATCAGGACGGTCACAGAGCAGCTGGAATCTTTTAGTAACAGGGTAAGGGTTTGTGTATGTGATCCTTTTAGAGCTGTTCCTCCCCCCTCCAACAGGCAGTGTCAGCTCAAAAGCTCTGGAGACAATGGGAGATCTGCAGCTGGCACAGAGGAGCCATGACCTGACCAGCTGGTGGTACTCAATGTCTACCACATTGATGTAAAAGAACTTGCTTCCAGTGCGGATGGGTCTCACAGCCACATTCAGCTCATGAACAGTTCCTGCTGCTAGGATGAAGGGTTCTTCTGGTGCTATTTTTAACTCCAGTGGGTGAGAGGTGAAACATTTCACCACCCTTGATGCTTGAGTACCTCTGTGGTTACACAAAATAATATTTTTTTATATTTCTTGAATGACAATTTTTAAATAAAACAACTGGTACAAAAGGGAGTTAAGCTACGCTTTCTTAGATAGGCTCAATAATAAATGAAAGTAAACTAAAAATGAATGACTACCTTAGGAGTAAAGCTAATCTTGAAGTCTGGCCTTCTACGCAGGTGACATCAACGCGCTGAAGCGCGTGGACATAGCACTGCCATATTTGGGCGGGCTGAGACAAATACGGATCAATGTATGCACATACAAAGAAGCGTTTGATCTGAGGGGAGGCTCCAAGTGCTACCTAAATTCAAAAGACATATAGATTATTATTAGATAGATACATACAAACATTAGGTAATACACATATAAAAACTAGGTAATATACATATAAAAGCTAGGTAATATATGAAAATGAACGCTCAGTGAGTCTACAGTGTGCAACAGATACATCATTTGAGAGTTCACTTTAACAACTAAAGCAGCATATTTAATCATACATCATTTGAGAGTTCACTTTAACAACTAAAGCAGCATATTTAATCATACATCATTTGAGAGTTCACTTTAACAACTAAAGCAGCATATTTAATCAATCAGAAATTAAAACCTTCATAAAGATATCGTGGGGTTCCCCAGGCTGGGTAGGCTTACAGTCCAAGATGACATTGGGGTCACTACACCTGACAAACACCTGGCTGAGACCAGCTCCACCTACTGGACCACCTGTGGGCACAATAAAATATATCTCAGCACATCCAGTCTATGAGATAGTGTGAGTGTGTGAAGTTTTGTGTTCAATAAAATATATCTCAGCACATCAAGTCTATTAGATAATGTGAGAGTGAAGTTTTGTGTTCAATAAAATATATCTCAGCACATCCAGTCTATGAGGTAGTGTGAGTGTGAAGTTTTGTGTTCAATAAAATATATCTCAGCACATCAAATCTATGAGGTAGTGTGAGTGTGAAGTTTTGTGTTCAATAAAATATATCTCAGCACATCAAATCTATGAGATAGTGTGAGTGTGAAGTTTTGTGTTCAATAAAATATATCTCAGCACATCCAGTCTATGAGATAGTGTGAGAGTGAAGATTTGTGTTAAAATTTCTATAAACTGTCGACATATGAGATTATGTGAGAGAGTGCAGTTTTGTGTTCAATAAAATATATCTCAGCACATCAAGTCTATGAGATAGTGTGAGAGTGTGAAGTTTTGTGTTTTTCTATAAACTTTCAACCAATGAGATAGTGTGAGTGATGGTATTAAAATATAACTTTACAGGACATAATGTTTACATGTCTTGATTCAATTAGACTGACAAGTTGGTTGTGTGAGTGATGGTATTACAATACAACTTTACAGGACATAATGTTTACATGTCTTGATTCAATTAGACTGACAAGTTGGTTGTGTGAGTGATGGTATTACAATACAACTTTACAGGACATAATGTTTACATGTCTTGATTCAATTAGACTGACAAGTTGGTTGTGTGAGTGATGGTATTACAATATAACTTTACAGGACATAATGTTTACATGTCTTGATTCAATTAGACTGACAAGTTGGTTGTGTGAGTGATGGTATTACAATATAACTTTACAGGACATAATGTTTACATGTCTTGATTCAATTAGACTGACAAGTTGGTTGTGTGAGTGATGGTATTACAATACAACTTTACAGGACATAATGTTTACATGTCTTGATTCAATTAGACTGACAAGTTGGTTGTGTGAGTGATGGTATTACAATATAACTTTACAGGACATAATGTTTACATGTCTTGATTCAATTAGACTGACAAGTTGGTTGTGTGAGTGATAGTATTACAATATAACTTTACAGGACATAATGTTTACATGTCTTGATTCAATTAGACGGTGACAAGTTGAGCTCACCTGGCAAGGTCTGGAAGGGTGGGAGGCGGACAGACTTTTTAAGAAAGGAATTTTCTGGGTGATGAAACCTGAAAGTCTGATCCACCACGTGTGGCTGTGGCTCCACTCTCACATTCAGAATGGCAACAGCTTTACCTTCCTCAGACCGGAAAGCAACCTAATAAAGAAATTAATACATCATGACTAACATTACCATGTAGCAGCAGTAAAACAACTGAGACATGTAGCAGTTAAAAAACAATCACACAGCAGTAAAAAAAAACTTATCTTGCAGGAGTAGCAGTAAAAAAAATGTATGATTTAGAAAGTACTTGCCCTGATGATTCTTGACTCCAGAGATTTGTCTTGTTGAGATTGTCTTGTATTTTTGTTGAATGGATTGGAGGGACCCTGAAAAATGATGCTCACTTTTAGGTTCAACCCCAAATTTTATTACAGGAAATTTCAAACCATGGGTAAAACAAAGAAACTTCACTTGATTCTTGTATCTACACTATAAGCTATTCTCCCACCTGACCAGAATCAACACACCTACAAAATGAAACTATACCCTCACCTGACTAGAGACACCTACAAAATGAAACTATACCCTCACCTGACTAGACACACCTACAAAATGAAATTATACCCTCACCTGACTAGACACACCTACAAAATGAAACTATACCCTCACCTGACCAGAATCAACACACCTACAAAATGAAACTATACCCTCACCTGACTAGACACACCTACAAAATGAAACTATACCCTCACCTGACTAGACACACCTACAAAATGAAACTATACCCTCACCTGACTAGACACACCTACAAAATGAAACTATACCCTCACCTGACTAGACACACCTACAAAATGAAACTATACCCTCACCTGACTAGACACACCTACAAAATGAAACTATACCCTCACCTGACTAGACACACCTACAAAATGAAACTATACCCTCACCTGACTAGACACACCTACAAAATGAAACTATACCCTCACCTGACTAGACACACCTACAAAATGAAACTATACCCTCACCTGACTAGACACACCTACAAAATGAAACTATACCCTCACCTGACTAGAGACACCTACAAAATGAAACTATACCCTCACCTGACTAGACACACCTACAAAATGAAACTATACCCTCACCTGACTAGACACACCTACAAAATGAAACTATACCCTCACCTGACTAGACACACCTACAAAATGAAACTATACCCTCACCTGACTAGACACACCTACAAAATGAAACTATACCCTCACCTGACTAGACACACCTACAAAATGAAACTATACCCTCACCTGACTAGACACACCTACAAAATGAAACTATACCCTCACCTGACTAGACACACCTACAAAATGAAACTATACCCTCACCTGACTAGACACACCTACAAAATGAAACTATACCCTCACCTGACTAGACACACCTACAAAATGAAACTATACCCTCACCTGACTAGACACACCTACAAAATGAAACTATACCCTCACCTGACTAGACACACCTACAAAATGAAACTATACCCTCACCTGACTAGACACACCTACAAAATGAAACTATACCCTCACCTGACTAGACACACCTACAAAATGAAACTATACCCTCACCTGACTAGAGACACCTACAAAATGAAACTATACCCTCACCTGACTAGACACACCTACAAAATGAAACTATACCCTCACCTGACTAGACACACCTACAAAATGAAACTATACCCTCACCTGACTAGACACACCTACAAAATGAAACTATACCCTCACCTGACTAGAGACACCTACAAAATGAAACTATACCCTCACCTGACTAGACACACCTACAAAATGAAACTATACCCTCACCTGACTAGACACACCTACAAAATGAAACTATACCCTCACCTGACTAGACACACCTACAAAATGAAACTATACCCTCACCTGACTAGAGACACCTACAAAATGAAACTATACCCTCACCTGACTAGACACACCTACAAAATGAAACTATACCCTCACCTGACTAGACACACCTACAAAATGAAACTATACCCTCACCTGACTAGACACACCTACAAAATGAAACTATACCCTCACCTGACTAGACACACCTACAAAATGAAACTATACCCTCACCTGACTAGACACACCTACAAAATGAAACTATACCCTCACCTGACTAGACACACCTACAAAATGAAACTATACCCTCACCTGACTAGAGACACCTACAAAATGAAACTATACCCTCACCTGACTAGACACACCTACAAAATGAAACTATACCCTCACCTGACTAGAGACACCTACAAAATGAAACTATACCCTCACCTGACTAGAGACACCTACAAAATGAAACTATACCCTCACCTGACTAGACACACCTACAAAATGAAACTATACCCTCACCTGACTAGACACACCTACAAAATGAAACTATACCCTCACCTGACTAGACACACCTACAAAATGAAACTATACCCTCACCTGACTAGACACACCTACAAAATGAAACTATACCCTCACCTGACTAGACACACCTACAAAATGAAACTATACCCTCACCTGACTAGACACACCTACAAAATGAAACTATACCCTCACCTGACTAGACACACCTACAAAATGAAACTATACCCTCACCTGAGGCTGGACGGACATATCTGTTTTAAATGTCTGGAACTTCAATGGAATGTTGACCTGCTCTTTAGCCCTCAAGAAAATCTGTGGTTTGCTTTGATCACTGCTAGCTGATGTAAACATGCCTTCCTCTATTGGGGTTGTCAGCTGGCAGAGCTGTTTGTAATGTCTCCACTCACGCGCATCAGTTACCAAGCTAGATTATCAAAGTTTGTTTGAGCATCAGTTACCAAGCTAGATTATCAAAGTTTGTTTGAGCATCAGTTACCAAGCTAGATTATCAAAGTTTGTTTGAGCATCAGTTACCAAGCTAGATTATCAAAGTTTGTTTGAGCATCAGTTACCAAGCTAGATTATCAAAGTTTGGATGAGCCAAGCTAGATTATCAAAGTTTGTATGAGCCAAGCTAGATTATCAAAGTTTGTATGAGCATCAGTTACCAAGCTAGATTATCAAAGTTTGGATGAGCCAAGCTAGATTATCAAAGTTTGGATGAGCCAAGCTAGATTATCAAAGAATGCTGCGAGACCTCAAAAAGAAATCACTTTTCTTTAGCTATATAACTAAAATCTGAACATATTACACTCATTTTAAATGATCAAACAAAGGATGAAGCAGGTTGCCAGAATACTTACAAGAGCTCTTGGTCATTTATTTCTATTGTGACAGTAGTTTCCTGATTAAATGGGTTCCTCAGGACAAACTCAAAAAACTCAACTGTGCCAAAGGAGGGAAATATAGTGTGCTCAGTGGTTATAGAGGTGCTCAGCATGTTGATGATTCCCTCACGCTTTGTTTGGTTCCTGTAGATATCCATGGTCTTAAAGTCTCGTGTTCTTTCTGTTTTTTCCTTCCTGTAACCCTGGTTACAAAAAATAGAAAAATTTAATTTATAAGATAAAAAATTGTCTATTTTTATTGATGAGAAAATAGGGATGGAGTGGCCTAGTGGTAGAGAGCTAGACTGTTAATAATGAGTATTAAGTTCAAATCAGGGGAACGTCCCTGAGTCCACCCAGCTCTGATGGGTACCTAACAAGTTAGGGAAACAAAGGCGGCTGGGCATAATGCTGACCACATTATCCCTTCATATGCTAAGTTTATTGTAACAGATTAACTCTACTTCATCTGCCCCATGTGTCTTGGGCATGAATGGGAAATGATGATTGATGAAAATGTGATTGGATCAGCTAGTTATTGAAATAAATTCTCATAAATCCAAAAAGTAATAAGACATATCATGGTTAATTCACTAAAAGTATGCACAGTGTAATATACCAGGATTGAAATACTAAAATATTTTCATCAACCTGTGACAGTTATGTTAAGTGATTGTACAACAGCAATGCCAAGAAAAATGTGCACATAGATATATTGGGCTTACAATGATTGTTGTTACAGCTTTGTTATCGTCTTCATTTTGCTCTATTGCCTTGACAGCTTGCAGCCTCGCAAGTTTTCGTTGTCGCTCTGCATCTCCTTCCCTGGGCATCACCTCCTCATCACCCAGCCCCTCCAGCTTTCTCTGCTCTGAGAACAGCAGTGATGCAACCTCACTGTTTTCTGCTAGGTGTTTGGCTCTTGCCACCCGCACTTTTCTAGTCCCTGGAATACAAGTATTTTGTCTTTTATGTCAAATCATGATTTTTTAAACTAATCAATTGCATTTTTTAAAATCATTATCAATATAAAAATTATTCAACATCAAAAGGAAGATAATGAAAATAAGTGAACAAGAACATATTAAATGAAGAAAGTGTGTGCCTGATACCACATACCAGTAGGGGGTATAACTGTTGTTAGACTTCCACCTTTATAGGAAGAATTCCCAGCAGTCTGTGACACAATGACCTGGGTTTTACTTGCTACAGGGATGAGGTCTGCTAAAATATGAACATTTTACTACCATTTTTTGATCAAATTTTCACATCTTAATTCAAGAATAAAATTGTGTGACTACATCTTAACAAGAAAACTTTTGTGGAAACATTTTAATGCAAGAATAAAATTGTGAGACTACATGTTAACTCAACTTGACTAAAGATAAAAACTGTGTGACTAAACTAACCAGATTTTTTCTTGTCCACGGGGTAGCCTATGTTAGCAATCCTGAAGTGAAGACGGCCACGGTTGAGACAGTTGACCCCCACAGGACGGATGCTCCCACCTCTTACAATTTCACCCGTCAGGGCCCCTGAGTCTTCCTGGTACTCTGTTGCTAGCACATCAAGTTCAAAGGTTGTCTGAACAGCTTCGTTACCCCCACGGAATAAGTACTAGTCATAGAGAACATCATGTATGGAAAAATATTTTTGTCATTTTTTAATGCAGCATAATTAAAAAAAGTTTTGTAACTTGTTAATTCTGCAACTTTGTGAAAAAAATTATTTTTAATAAATTTAAATAAAATAATTTTAAGCCTTTTAATTTGCATATAGTTTCAAAGCTACTTAAAATAAATAATAAGCTTTCCATGAAAATAGTGAATTTCTTGGAAATAAGTTTAGCATATTCTAAGTTACCCTTTGTTTTGAAAATGTAATTACTATCAGATTTCTTTGTTTCTGACACTATTTAACATTCATACAAGCATATGATCTGACTGTACCTTAAGCTCTACAGAACAAGAGCCAATCAGCAGTAAAGAATCTCCATCCCAGACATCAATGTGCATAGTTTGACGATAGAGATGTTTCCAAAACAAACTGATTTCTCCAGGTTTTAAAAAAGTTGGATCAATTGGATACTTTACCTAAAACCAAAAGAGTGAGCTTTTATTTTTAAAATGCTTAAATAGGAATAACAGTATGAAACATGAAACAAAATGGATGTTTTAAAATTTTTCTTACATTTTTTGGTTTATCATTCATACTGTACTAACGATAACATTAGACAATGATACTGATAAATCTAGAATTCGTACAATAAAGTTAACTAACTTCAAGTCCTGGGGGGCCTTCCATAATTGAACCATCTGGATTCAGCCTTTGGAGAACAAATGGCATGGCACTAGGGTGTGATGACAAGTCATTCTGTGGCTTGGACAAAAGCATTCTATGAAATTTGAAAAATTGTTTCATTAAATGTATGCAGGAATTAAAAGGGTAAAGATTTATTTTGAGACAGGAAGTAGACAGGAAGTAAATACCATTTTCTACACCCAAGTTAAGGCCCTTTGCTCTTCCTAAACACACAAACTGAAGTTTTACTATATTAAAATCTAGGCAACTGATCTACCTAATTAAATGCAAACAAAAAATAGCTGACCTCTCTGTTGTGACTTGTGGAAATCGGTAGAATTGGAATGTGAAAAAAACAGTTGAAGGTTGAACTGCGCCTTGTGCTGCTTTTATATCTAATATAGGCTCTCTGAAGTAAATATCAAAACAAAATTTGATAAGTTATCAGGAAAAATATCCTCTTAGCACAACATTTTAATTTCTTAAGGTAGAAAAATAAATATATTTTTTTATTGCTAATTCAAACAAATGTTTCTTACCTAGTGAATGCCAAAAACTGAAAGATGACCTCATTTGCTTGCAAGGGGTCCATCTGTTCTCTGGCCAAACTGACCAAATGCTGTCCATGTGGATCTATGACCTCTGGTGGGTCTCCATTACGGTCCAACAGGGGAGGGAATCCAGCAGCATAAAGTCGAGCATATGCAGCTCTTGAAAGCCCTCTACCACTATTATAAAAACAAAAAAACGTGTTAATACTAAATAATATAAATAATTTGTAAATTATTTTATGTAAAACGATAAATCTAAGGATCTATAAAAAAAACATTTGTCTCATTAGCTATGTTTATATGTTAAATCTTTAAGTGACAGAAAACCTCACAGAACTGCACAACAATACTACTATTACTACTATAGTGGACTATAAATATATAACCCTTATTTTTTTAGAAAAAAATATTGTTTTAAAAACAAGACAACCGATAAACAAGGGAGATCATGTTTACATTCAATCATGACTTGAAATGAAAAACTCCATAAATAAATGTCAGAACTTTACATGTACGGTGTAATTTAATCTAGTTAAAAAAATGATTTTATAAAGTATCTTTAGAAATGCAATAGATAATCAACCAGAAACTTAAATTACCCTTTGGGGTGTGAGCCTTCAGCAAGTACTAGTGCATGGACTGGGGTAAATGGCAGGTCTCGTAACTCTGTTGCTGCTGAGGTCTAGAAGCATTAGAAATTAGTTTTTAAAACATTGCTCCTCAGTATTCTCCCTTGTTAACACAAAAAATTAAAATTTGACTAAGTGAATGAACTGATCAATATCAGAAAAAAAAAATGAACCTCTTGCATGTGCCTGATGTCCACAGGATAGAGTCCATTGGTTGGTGTGTACATGTTTGGGTACATGCTGCTAACTGACATCATCTGTTGCTGGGCAACCGTCATGGCGGGCATGGGAAACATGTACTGAGGGATAGGGTTGGCGTTCATAGCAACCACAGGGACTTGAGGTGGGAGGGTTGACTGCCTGTGGGGAAGGGAAATATTTCAGTCACAATATCTGAGGGATAGGGTTGGCGTTCATGGCAACCACAGGGACTTGAGGTGGGAGGGTTGACTGCCTGTGGGGTAGGGAAATATTTCAGTCACAATATCTGAGGGATAGGGTTGGCGTTCATAGCAACCACAGGGACTTGAGGTGGGAGGGTTGACTGCCTGTGGGGAAGGGAAATATTTCAGTCACAATATCTGAGGGATAGGGTTGGCGTTCATAGCAACCACAGGGACTTGAGGTGGGAGGGTTGACTGCCTGTGGGGAAGGGAAATATTTCAGTCACAATATCTGAGGGATAGGGTTGGCGTTCATGGCAACCACAGGGACTTGAGGTGGGAGGGTTGACTGCCTGTGGGGTAGGGAAATATTTCAGTCACAATATCTGAGGGATAGGGTTGGCGTTCATAGCAACCACAGGGACTTGAGGTGGGAGGGTTGACTGCCTGTGGGGAAGGGAAATATTTCAGTCACAATATCTGAGGGATAGGGTTGGCGTTCATAGCAACCACAGGGACTTGAGGTGGGAGGGTTGACTGCCTGTGGGGAAGGGAAATATTTCAGTCACAATATCTGAGGGATAGGGTTGGCGTTCATGGCAACCACAGGGACTTGAGGTGGGAGGGTTGACTGCCTGTGGGGTAGGGAAATATTTCAGTCACAATATCTGAGGGATAGGGTTGGCGTTCATAGCAACCACAGGGACTTGAGGTGGGAGGGTTGACTGCCTGTGGGGAAGGGAAATATTTCAGTCACAATATCTGAGGGATAGGGTTGGCGTTCATAGCAACCACAGGGACTTGAGGTGGGAGGGTTGACTGCCTGTAGGGTAGGGAAATATTTCAGTCACAATATCTGAGGGATAGGGTTGGCGTTCATAGCAACCACAGGGACTTGAGGTGGGAGGGTTGACTGCCTGTGGGGTAGGGAAATATTTCAGTCACAATATCTGAGGGATAGGGTTGGCGTTCATAGCAACCACAGGGACTTGAGGTGGGAGGGTTGACTGCCTGTGGGGAAGGGAAATATTTCAGTCACAATATCTGAGGGATAGGGTTGGCGTTCATGGCAACCACAGGGACTTGAGGTGGGAGGGTTGACTGCCTGTAGGTTAGGGAAATATTTCAGTCACAATATCTGAGGGATAGGGTTGGCGTTCATGGCAACCACAGGGACTTGAGGTGGGAGGGTTGACTGCCTGTGGGGTAGGGAAATATTTCAGTCACAATATCTGAGGGATAGGGTTGGCGTTCATGGCAACCACAGGGACTTGAGGTGGGAGGGTTGACTGCCTGTGGGGTAGGGAAATATTTCAGTCACAATATCTGAGGGATAGGGTTGGCGTTCATGGCAACCACAGGGACTTGAGGTGGGAGGGTTGACTGCCTGTGGGGTAGGGAAATATTTCAGTCACAATATCTGAGGGATAGGGTTGGCGTTCATGGCAACCACAGGGACTTGAGGTGGGAGGGTTGACTGCCTGTGGGGTAGGGAAATATTTCAGTCACAATATCTGAGGGATAGGGTTGGCGTTCATGGCAACCACAGGGACTTGAGGTGGGAGGGTTGACTGCCTGTGGGGTAGGGAAATATTTCAGTCACAATATCTGAGGGATAGGGTTGGCGTTCATGGCAACCACAGGGACTTGAGGTGGGAGGGTTGACTGCCTGTGGGGTAGGGAAATATTTCAGTCACAATATCTGAGGGATAGGGTTGGCGTTCATGGCAACCACAGGGACTTGAGGTGGGAGGGTTGACTGCCTGTGGGGTAGGGAAATATTTCAGTCACAATATCTGAGGGATAGGGTTGGCGTTCATGGCAACCACAGGGACTTGAGGTGGGAGGGTTGACTGCCTGTGGGGTAGGGAAATATTTCAGTCACAATATCTGAGGGATAGGGTTGGCGTTCATGGCAACCACAGGGACTTGAGGTGGGAGGGTTGACTGCCTGTGGGGTAGGGAAATATTTCACTCACAATATCTGAGGGCTGTCACTGTGTCTTATTAGTTCTCATTTAGACCAGTCAGTAAGAAAATATTATATTAGGATGATCTAACTTGTATAATTTTAAAGGAATTTCTACCATTATGTATTATTAATCTTTTCTTTTTCTTCTAGTTGAGTGATAGTCATATAAATAAAAGGATATTTTAAGATTAGATTATATCTATATTTCAATTTTGTTGGTTAGTAAAGTTTATAAAAAAACAAAAATAAAAACAGCTAGAAGAGCCAACAAAAACATAATTTAAAAAATGAGAAAAGTACTTAAGCTGTCTTCACTTGAGAAAACAAGTTCAAGCTTTAATATTTTAAAAATGTTTTTAAAACAATTTGCTTTAAACTTTACACAGCAAGCTATTGAATAAAATTTAGTTATTAAATTAATTTTTTTAAATTAGTTGAATCAAGTACTTTTTTCAGATTATTTATCTGCAAAGTAAAACAAAATATTTACAAACCAATATAGAAAATTAAATCAATTTCGAATGTAGGCGCTAAAAATGTATATATTGAACACAACTGAATTTCTATGTTAAATTTCACTTTTGTATGTAGGGATTGTTTTTGCTAAAAGGACTACATGTCCCTTGGTCAGTATCCATTAAAAGTTCAAAATCTTCCTGATAATAAGGACTTTCAGAGGAGCTGAAAAAAATATAAAAATGAATTACAATTTTTTGATGTGAAGAAAGCAAGGTGCCCGAAACAGTTGATTGAAATCAGTAAACATCTACCTAAAGCTATTGCAAAAGTTAGGACACAAATACTATAATTAGAATGGTTTTTAGTTGCATCTTGATGTGAGAACTTAATAGTGTTAATTTAATTATTATATAACTAATAGCAGTTCATTTTTAATTTGAACAAAAGTGCATGCATCATCTGTTATTAGTTGTGATTTTTTTGTTTCTAAAACCACTACACATTAGTCACCATACAAAAAATTTAAATGAGTGTTTGGAAGTCAAGCAAAAACATAAAGATGTGCCTCGATGTAAACATTTTGAAGAAATAAGGACAAATTAAATTATTATTAACATAAAAGCCAGAAATGTCTAGTCTAAAGTTAAACAAGTTTGTCACACCAAAAAATGAAAACACACAGCCGTATAAAGAGCTGAAAACTGATTTATAGCTGACCCATTCTGAATGTAAGCAGCGGAGTTAGACACAGTTATAGCAGGCAAGCTCTGGTGACTTTTGGTGGAGATAACACTCTGACGATGCATGCTGCAAGTTGGCAACCAAATACTTGGATTAATACACCACAATTACTTAAATCTGTAGGGGGTTTTGTATCAATAAAGAGCAGATAACACTGAGGGTTTTGTATCAATAAAGAGCAGTGTGGGGGTTTTATACCCAGAGGTAGATTTCTAAACATAATTCTTTCTGTAAGCTGAGATTTCTAAACATAATTCTTGCTGTAAGCTGTTTCAATAAAGGAAAGTTAACTGTGCAAAAGCCCTAGTTATGTGTGTGGGATGACATTATAATGCCCATACAATACCTACATATCCCAAGGTGGAAGTAGCAGATGAACTCTACTTCATCAGCCATATGGTCCACCAGGTCAGAAAAAGTACTCTACTAAACTTACAGTTTAGTTTTCCAATTTAAGAAATGTAAATAAAGAAGTACTGTCTGGAGTTTTTATATCTAATTTTGAAGGTTACTTATGTATTTCTGTTTTATGGTCTAAAAAATCTTTGATCTTCCAACAAGTTGAGATTAAGTAAGAAAAATGTATTAACAATATTGGTATTTTTACTAGGAAGTAAATGGTTATAATAAATTACTATTATCATCAACAATGCTACATTTTTGTCTGTTTTCTGGAAAACATTTTAGCTGGGGAAAACTGAGTAAATAAGACAAATCTTATGAGCACGTTTTTCCAGGAAAAATAAGTGAAGTGAAACAAATGGTATGAACCTGTTTTTCCAAGATGGCGGCTTCCTGCTTGGGTAATCACCTGCAGCACCTGTCTCATACATTAGAGATTCACTGACATCACTACGTACTGACACGGCTGAGCCTTGAGGGCGATAGGTCGGCACAGCAAGGGTCACTGGACCAGCACTAATTGCTTCCTACATTCGTACACAAATAATATATATTGTATGAGAAATGGTTCATGTAAGGCTCTATCAAAGCAACATTCAATCTACATTTTGTCTTACATTTCTCAATAAGGCTGTTAACAAAAAACATCCAAAGTATTTATTTCAGATAATTTTTAAAAGTAAAAAATTTTGTTTCTGTACCCCATCTTTAGCCCATCTGAATGCAATAACCCCAGCAGACGTTTGCTCATTTTGCAGAGCTGTAGTGGGTATTTTGTAGACAAGAGCATCATCTGGAGATCTGAGAGGTCCGCCCATCAGAGCAACGTGAACTTCTTCTGTGTGGGGGTCAATCAGCGGGGCCCAGGCAGCCCAGCGAATGTTGACTGTACGGGTGTAAGCTCTGGTCAGGCTATGGGTTTGCTGGACAATAGTAAATAACATAGGGTTAGACTCTAAATAAACATTTGGTCAAAGTAAAAAAAAAAGTGAAATCTGAATGTTAACAAAATGCACATTTGTTATTTCAAAAATTGTGAAGATCAGTAAATACCTTTCCTAAAAGCTAAACCCAAACAGCACATAAATCTAACCTTTCTGTCTAAGGCTGACAAAGGTTCCCCAATCACATACTCCAGATCAAACACTACGGCACATAAAGGATCTTCTGGGAGGTCAGGTATTTCTATTTTACTCTTCAACATCAACACAGCACTTGCATTTGTTCCAGCTCTATAGAGATTACATCCAATTCATAAGGTGAGTTTTACAGAGATTACATCCAATTCATAAGGTGAGTTTTATAGAGATTACATCCAATTCATAAGGTGAGTTTTATAGAGATTACATCCAATTCATAAGGTGAGTTTTATAGAGATTACAACCAATTCATAAGGTGAGTTTTATAGAGATTACAACCAATTCATAAGGTGAGTTTTATAGAGATTACAACCAATTCATAAGGTGAGTTTTATAAACATGCATGTTTAAGTCATAATATTAAAGCTATATATAGAACTTTATGAACATTATAAATGTAGTACAAATGTGAGATAGTAAGACGTATCACAGTACATCGTAGACTTACGTTGATGAGCCGGTGCTATTGCGCCTTATATGAAATTTACTGCTGCGTCTTACAGTGGGGCTGGCTGTAGGTTTTTTGCTCATGTTGCCTGTCTGTTTTTCAAGATGGTAGACTGTTGGTTTATCAATATAACACCAGCCATTGTGGACACCAACCTGATTGGAGACAACAAATTCATAAAGTAAAAATATACTTTGTTTAAAAAATAAAAGCATCAGAAAAACAAGTTTGCTATTTTACCTTTACCAATATAATATAGCCTTTTAAAATGTGCCTCTCTTGTGTATTAGATTTAAAGCACTTGCCTGCAGCCTTCTCTCCACTATGGAGATCTGCATGTTGTCAGCCTGCCTGTTTTCTCTTAGGGCTCTGTCTTCTGTCATCAGCTCACAAAGCTCAGCTTCAAACTTCTCCACGTTGGGCTGGAGTTGGATGACCAGGCCATCAATGACAATGGGCACAAGTCTCAAGAGTTCAGGCCTCTTCAGCTTGTCTGGACCTGATGGGTCATGGCATTGTAAGCATTGTCAAATATAGCAGAGGTTAGCATTGTAAGCTTTGTCAAATATAGGCAGAGGTTAGCATTGTAAGCATTGTCAAATATAGGCAGAGGTTAGCATTGTAAGCATTGTCAAATATAGGCAGAGGTTAGCATTGTAAGCATTGTCAAATATAGGCTGAGGTTAGCATTGTAAGCATTGTCAAATATAGCAGAAGTTAGCATTTTCAACCATATCAAATACATATTAAAAAAAAAATTTATTTACAAATAGTTAACGATTAATTAAAAAAAAAAAGATGTAGAAAGTACTTACCATGACTATCCACAATGCCAGGTATGACATCATTAGAATCCACCAATGTGTTTTCTGGCAAAAGGTGCATTATCCCCCTTAGGACTTTATGGGAGACAACTGAACAACTGAGTTCACATTTTTCTATTGTTTTAAGCAGTGGATTATCTTTAAGCGAGAAAAATTTGACACATTAGTGAAACAGGTAAAACTGTATAAAATATATTACAAATATGCAGTAGATTATTTTTTGTTAAGTCAACAGCTTTCCGATTTTAAAAAAAAACTAAAATATAAGCCGACAGCTAGACTGCTCAAATTGTATTGTATTGCTCCAACAATATTGCATAATTAATTACTGATCCACCAATATCACATAATTAATTGCTGATCCACCAATAAAGATCATAATTAATTACTGGTCAAACAATAAAGAACAGCTAATCACTTACTTTCAATGGGGTCATCAAGAAAATATAAAGCCCTTGGAGTTCCGTAGTATAAAGGGATTCTGGGAACATTAATGAGCAAGTCACGTTACTTATAGTCTGATCAAACATATTGTCAACCAGCACATACCATACTTACAAAATCTTTCATTTATTGTTTTTATTATTGTTTAAACCCCCCTAAAAAAGTAAACAAATTTCTTGGCATCTCTGCTCACAGTTAACATTTCTAATGACCTCTCTACACCTCCTTAAATCACTGTATTTCACTTCAGTTCCTATTTTCTTCTGAATGGATTGATCATCTTTTTAAAGCTTACCTCTGGGGGATGGCCCCTCGTGAAGAGTCTGGTACCTCCCCATCTGGGCTGAAAGGTCGCAGAAAACCCCAGCCACACGACACTGTGTGGGGTCGCCCATCAGCCGCAACTGTGTGGGCAACCACCTCCACCACAGCAATGACACTGACATTGTTGATGCTAGTGTGAAAGTAAACACTCTGAAAACAAAATATCAAGATAGTTAGAACACTGACATTGTTGATGCTAGTGTGAAAGTAAACACTCTGAAAACAAAATATCAATATAGTTAGAACACTGACATTGTTGATGCTAGTGTGAAAGTAAACACTCTGAAAACAAAATATCAATATAGTTAGAACACTGACATTGTTGATGCTAGTGTGAAAGTAAACACTCTGAAAACAAAATATCAAGATAGTTAAAACACTGTCATAGGTGCTAGTGTGGACATGACACTGACAGAATGTGACACTGACAGACTGTGAGAATGACAGATTGTGAGAATGACAGATTGTGATGCTGACAGACTATGGCACTGACAGGCTGTGACATTGACAGAATGTGACACTGACAGAATGTGACACTGAGATTGCATGATATGGATCTGCAAATATATCATTTTAACTTTGGTAAATTAAAGCAATGCAATTCAATAAAAAATTAAACCTACATTTTTGTAACATTAAAAACCAAATCTTACTTTACTGTATGACATATGACCAATTCTAACTTTACTGTACAACACAAAACCAAATCTTACTTTACTGTACGACATATGACCAATTCTAACTTTACTGTACAACACAAAACCAAATCTTACTTTACTGTACGACATATGACCAATTCTAACTTTACTTTACAACATAAAACCAAATTTTCCTGTACAACATAAAATCTTACTTTACTGTACTGTAATTTATCTCCCCTTGCTGCTACCCTTGGCCCCTTCCACTGACGCCCAAAGAACTGCCTGTATGTGACGTCATAGAGGGAAACTAAGACTTGGTAGTGGATGTTGAACTCTTCCAGCTGAGGAAATAAAAACAGATTGTATCGGAATTCTATAACAAAAAAAAGTATCTGTAATCAGTGTTTCTTTTGGCGTCTCTCCGGTGAGGATGTTCAGGTGCAGCACGACCCCCCCCCCCCCCCGCGCAAAAATGGATGAAGAACGGGAAGAAACTCTGTAAAGGGTAAACAATCTAATATTATGGGTTACCTCTCTTAGTTTACTTTTTTTATAACCACGTTGGAGCGCCCACAAGACAAGTAGCCTACCCCTATTTTTAATATTGATATTTCACCTTAAAAACTGAGTGGATTGTCTCTTGATGCAGGCCATGAATAGAACGAAACACGACACGTGCTCCTTGAATGACACATTTTTTCCTACACAAGTGTGTTAGAGGATATTGAACTTGTTCGCAGGCCTTAAGCTTTTTAACGAACTCTTGATTCCACAGTCTAGTCTGCTTCATTGTCTTCTGGCTAACATTTCCTTCTACAGTCTAGTCTGCTTCGTGTTAACATTTGATTTTTTTTATATATGAGCGTAAATATTGATTGTAAATAAGCCGATCATAATAATGGGATGATTTGATACTGTTTACAATGCTAACCTCTGCTATATTTGACAATGCTTACAATGCTAACCTCTTATCACATTAAATTATTTACTCTTCAACACAGGCAACATTCACTGGAGTTTTGAGGTGCCGCCGCCCCAAGTCAGGCTAACCTCATCACGACATCGATTGATGTTATTTGTGTGTGTAGTTACACCACAGGCAAACAGGAGACCCGAAGTGTAGCACATAACCTGAAGCCTTAGGCCAGGCCCGGCCCACCAAATCATTATGGGAAATGATCTAGTTCACTGGACAAGTGATCATTATACGTCTCACAAACCGTATAACATGTTTTCTTATTAAAACGGGGGGGGGGTCCAATTTTTTTTAAATAATAAAAATAACAGCTGATTCACTAACTTCAATGTATTACACAATTTGTTGAAGTCACACTAAATCTATGCCTAAAACACTGAACCGTAAAGCACAAGTATCTCTGAGAAACTTCTCAGTGGGAGAGAGACAATTAGAAACCGAAAATTCGAAAAAAAAAGTAAACCTATTACAATATCCGGGTTTCATAAAACATGAAAACAATGAAATTAAGAACGGACGACTGCGATAGTTGGGTCATCTGGGCGGGTTGTTAAACTACAGAGAAGGGTGTGTGGTGTAGGGCTAGAACCAAAACCCAAAGAGAAAACTATCAAAAGGATGAAATGGGTAGATGATGTGAAGACAGCTGGGAACCAAGCCACGGAAAAAAGAAACAGCAGAGAAGTCTGAGTAGAAGAAGGTGGAGTAGCTGGTTAAAGACCTCCATCGGCTGTGATCCACAACAATGGGATGAATGCTCAGAAGTTACATCAATACAAACTGGCCGATAAACATAACTAAACCACCGACAAAAAAGTGTAAATTGCCGCGTTTATTTAGAGAGCTTTGTGTCCTTGTTGGTGTTTAACACAGTGTTGAAGTTGGTGTTGAGCTTTGTGTTAAAGTTGGTGTTGGGCTTTGTGTTAAAGTTGGTGTTGGGCTTTGTGTTAAAGTTGGTGTTGGGCTTTGTGTTTAAGCTGGTGTTCAACTATGTGCTTAAGTTGCAGAACTATAAACAACGAACTCCTAAGATGATTCAGTGTTGCCTTTTCATTAAAATAATCAATTCTGGGGCCGTAAATACAATCGATTTTCTGTCGTAATAAATAACAGCCAATCGAATATTATATATATATATATATATATATATATATATATATATATATATATATATATATATATATATATATATATATATATATTTAAGAGAGGGAGTAAGGGGAGTATTAAATGAGAGATAAGTACGAGAGAAACTGTGAGAAGTTGTGAAAGAATGACAGGACTGTTTGACACATCCAACGCAAACAAAGAAAGTATTGTGCACGTCTCAGAACTCCACTAGAACAAACACAGATTCACAAGCCACAATGCCATTGCCTGTCCCAGCCAGCGACTTTTATACCTCAGGTCGGCATGGTGTGATTGCCCGATCGATTCATGTTTACCTCGATAATATCGATACCCGTAAACTGGTGGGCTTTTAAGCTGTACTTTAGACACGGTCACGTGGCTATGCAGGACACGTTGGTCACGTCGCTATGCAGGGCACGTTATACTTGCCTGTGTCCAATCGTGAGAGGGAAGCTTCAAATTTAACCATAAACCACGAAATTATTTGACGTTAAACAAAGTGTGTGATTTTTTACAAATTAAGATCTCGTGGTTGTTGGTAAAATCCCATGTTACTATTTTTAAGAAGACAGCTTTGTCAACTAATGCTAATCATCCAACCATCATAAATAAAAGAATTTTGGGCAAAAATATACCGCTATATTGGCCATTCCAAACCTCTGTACAACTACAGTAAAAGTTAAACATAACATATAATATAAACCACCCCATTTGCGCTACACACACCGAGTCTACTATGTGCACCATCACGCTTATCGTCCTCGCGTGGCATCTAACGTAAGGTTTAAAAAACATGGAGGCTACATGTGAAAGAACGGAAACTAACACTTTAATAATCAGCCGACAAACACCTGTAAAACTGTGATAATTTAAAAAAATATATTTTATGTATCACGGACGCGAGGAGTTATCTAACTTGTAAACAGACGACCACGCCTATATCAGATTATGCTCAGCGGCATGAGGCAAGGGAAGTAAGTCATCATTAATTTAAAGTTGAACTTTAAAAAAGCTCACGTCGATAATCCCCTGCTCACATTTTATAAATAGAACTGAGCTATTTATATTCTGTTCCTCCGAGGCTGCAATGTATGGTCAACATTTGAATCACGTCCTTAAAATTCTTAGTTTAATAATTAAGTTTAGCAGCTCAGCGTGCTATAGGCCTTTAGATCTAGTGGATTGTATGAATTTTGTATGGTGTCCAGTGTTTTATGAATGCTAACGGGCGACTTATGGCTCATTAGGCTAACATGCCATGTAGTCAGAATTAAGCTGTGTATCGTGAATTATGTATAACTAAACAATTATAAAAATTAGAATTGTAAGGAATGCAACTGTCACTAAAATTGGTGTATGGACATTTTAGTTATGTGATATATTGGCTATTTTCAATTTGATATTCTTCAATGCTTATTCTTACACACTTTAAAATAGGTCACTGATAGATGATAACTTTCATGATTAATGTACTAAATAGTTATTAAAAGATATGTAAAAGTTTGTTGAATGACATTTTTACTAGTATAAAAAACTCTAGATATTTAAGTATGTTATTAATATTATTGAAGTTGAAAAAAAAGGAAGTAAAGTGGATTTTTTTTAGTTGGGTGAGTGCATTAACCTATATTTCTATTTTAAGGAGCTGTCTGGTGCTCTCTTCACTTGTGTTTTTAATTTAATTTAATTTTTAGGCATCCTAGCTGATACTTAATGTCATTATCTGTTACTTTGAAAGTAGACAAAAACTGTCCATAAAATATAATCTTGGCAGTGGTATCTGTTCCATGTGTATTAGAGAGAAAGTGATAGAGATAGTGTTATGTAGTGAAAGTGCAATCTTTGTTAAGGCATGTGAGTAATTGTAACACAAGAGAATATGTGTTTGATAAATAAATACAAGAATGTGTGAAGAATGACTGCAACAATTTGACAAGGATGAAATGTAATGATGTCTTTGTGTAGGGCTGTTATTGCAAGGATGAAAAATAAATGGAAATCTGGGATATGGTTTCTACCAATAAATTGATAATGCTTCTTCAATGTATCATCTTAATGCAAGAAACTCTGCTTATGAAAAGAAGTTAACCATTTTTTTTTTAAATAGTGTTTCTGTAAATAGCATCACAAGGTAAAGTGGACCTAGATATGCCCTAAATGTAAAAAAAAAAAATCAATTAAGCTATAGACTGCATCAGTTTTTAAGTTTATTTACTAGAAGCCTTAGTGTAAATGATCTGCTGTTTTTAAAATAATAAGTGCCAGCATTTAAAAACAAATTATATTTAATAGATTATTATGAATTATAAATATGATAGGCTATAGTGTATAGAATCTCTAAAGAATAAAATATAAATTATACCACTATGGCTATTATATTCTTTAGGACCTATGCCTCTAGCCTTACTTAATTATAAAAATACAAAATAATATTTATAAAGTCACTTTATACTATAACTTAACTATATAACCTATGGCAAACTATATTTACAAATAGCATAAATATTATACTTAACTCTAAAGTAAAAAAGAAGGAGAAGTAGAGTCCAACTGTTTCTCTGACCTTGGCATGTGAAAGGATAGTGTGGTCAGCACTATTCCCAGCCATTTTTACTTTCCCTTTAGATACCCATCAGAGATGGATGAACTAAGGGACATTCTGCTGACTTGAACCTGGATTTGAATTTGAGAATTTTGGATTAGCAGTCTAGTGCTCTATCACTAGACCATGCCATCCCATCAAGTAATACTTAACTATTACTCAACAGTTAACTGAGTTCTCTTAATTATAATTTTGTATATTACTTACTATTTAAGCCTCCTGTTAGATATGCCGGTGTTAAAGAATAATCCTATAACTATTAAAAATATGATATAGAATATCCTATAAAGCCAATATTTAACTAAATAGTGAAGTTTATGGAGGTGGGCCTTTTAGTATAGTATAGGCCTAACTATTAAAGTGGTATAGATTAATACTTAAGTACTAGATTCTAGTAGTAGACTAGACCATGTAGTTTGTTGTAGTTAGCCTAATAGCTTAATACAGTTCACTATGACTATCATCATTCAGGTATGTTGTATGTTGATGTCAGATATAGCTGAGCATGTAGGCCTCTCTTAAATTTTAAATCTTAAATCTCTCTTAATCTAAGTAATAATATATTAGAATAAATATAATAATAATATACTAGAAACAAATTAGATGGTAATCTATTGTTTTAGGTGCGTAAAATCTGCCGAGGATAGTAAAGTGTGAAAAAGTTGCCTCATTGTTAAGGCTTTAATAGAAGTACATTGTGATATATTTGTGTCAAATATTATAGATACCTGTATAATAAACCAAAATCAATGGCTAAATATATCAATATAGGCCAGAAATTAAACAGCAGTTTTTGTGAGCATGATTTGCTATATAAACAGTGGCCATCTGTAAGTTAGGGTGGTTTCCCCTAAATCTCTAACTATAATTTTACCAAAAGAAAAAACAAACAAGATGGCTGCTAAGTAAATGCGTTTGATTGCATCTGATGAAAACATCGCTAGTCTTTAATTTTTACTGAAAAGTTTTGATACAATTGTTTAAAAACATGTACATTAATGAAACTTTTATGAGTTAACTTTTTTCACATTACTAGTCTCTGCCCATTTTTGTACCTAAAAGTTTTAGGCAAAAACTATTGATTAGGCTACCAATTCAATTACAATTAGATTCTGATTTATTTTGTAGTAGGATCAGGTAGGCCTAACTATCAATCATTTTTATTTAATTAGGCCTATATATATATACCTATTATTAATTATTTAAATAAACAAACTAAATCTGATCAATGATCAGGTTTTAACTTGATCTGGCTCAGTACTCGATACTACTCGAGAGCTCACTCGGCTCAAACACAATGTTTACTCTCCAATAAATTATCAATAATTGTTTATTATGTGTACTTACCGGATTTAATAGTGCAGAAATTGATTTGAGATTAATACAAACACTTGTGCTGATGTCGTGTGCTGCATGTTCTCTGTCAAATGCAGCAGGTAAATGTTTATTTCTTGCATAAAAATCTCCCCAAGACTTTCTGTTTAAAACTGCAGCCATTTTGTAAACTATCCCATACTTCCGGTTGTAACCACGGTACTCGTACCGTACTAGTCATAAAGAGAGCCATGTTATTTCTTAATCAAAATACATTAACGTCATTAATACTATTATTTAGTCAATCATTATTTATTCTCATACTCTTCATCAATCACTATTATTTAAACGTAATAGCATGCTTGTATTTTTTTTATCTAAAACTCAGATATCGATTGTTATTGATAGTTTTCTTAAGTTTAAAGTTTAAATGTTTATAAAAGTTCGTTAAAAATGTCTTTCTTTTCTCATTTCTGTCAGATTATGATGATGAAATCAACGAATATTTCAAATGATAATGTCAACTTAAATCTGTATATTTTATTTTTGATAGTTAACAAAAGTCATCCTGACCACAGAACTTAATTATTATGTTCAGAAGTTAAGGAATAGCTTATAACTCCAAAACATTAAATTCTCTAGTCCACCAAACACTGAAATTGAAATTAAACTTCGTGTTTTTCTGCTTTTTGGAATTGTTAATTTTCAACTGAAATTATGCGGAAGGCGTGGTCAGGCGGAAATTTGTTGGACAAACGAGCATATGAGACTCGTTAGCAAATATCTAGCTCGCTTGGAGATCAGAGTTTCTTCCAGGCATCTCTTCGGGGGGGGGGGGGGGCCGAAGAAAGTCTACAGTGTCGTCGTCCGTCTCTTCCCCCCCCCCTCTTTTTCTAGCCGATTAGGGGTCGTCCGTAAATGATGTCACACTCGTAGGGGGGAGGGGGGTCCGTAATTTTGTGACGGTGTGTGATGAGGGGAAGGGGGGTTCTGATGGTGCGACGTCACACTTTTGCATTATAAAAAATAAATTTTAGACATTATTTCGCGTTTTAGAAAACTGTTTTAATAAATTGTAATAGGAATTGATAAAAATACTCGACTATTTTTGACAGAGTTCAGACTAAATTTTGGAAAAATATCGATGTTTAAAAAAAAATTCAACTGTAATTTTGAGGGGGGGTTTATAGGCTGAGGTGTGACGTTATTTTAGGGGGGTCTGGCTTTTTGTGGGGGGGGGGGGGGGTAAAAATCGTCAATAAAGGCCTGACGTGATTTATGGATGACATCTTTGGCGCCCTTTAAGGTCGGCGCCAGGGGCGGCCGCCCCACCCGCCCTCCCCTAGCTACGACTCTGCAAGAAGCGAGACCTCTCCTTCAAATGGCGATACAACTTTTCATCCAACAATTAAATAAACGTATTCTGTGTTCATAAACCATAGACAACATATACTTTTAGGTCTAAATTTCAGTGGCGTTGGAAAGGGTATACTTATAGGGGCATATATATATATATATATATATATATATATATATATATATATATATATATATATATATGGTTTATAGGCCAAGGCATGTTTTTTACACTCTCCCATGATACGACCAATATTATTTAAACGATATTTTGTGACCCTAAATAATAGCAGAAAATAATGATTGTCCCGATATTAAATAAGGCAAAATGTAGGAGTGGTATTTGCTTTATTTTAAAGAAAAACATCGTTATTGTCAAGCATTAACTATAAAGGGTGAATAAATGAACGAATAAATGCTAACCTACATATTTTACAGCGTCTTTATTATACACATTTGACTCCCAAAGAAATGTAAGTAAGTATCCAAAGGTTTTGGGTATTTCAAACCTTTCGACCACTCCTGGTGGTATAGAGCTTGGAATTACGCCTTAAAAATGACTGGTTTCTCATCCAGAGGAAACGTGCTATTGACTCACGGCATTTTTTCTTAAACTTTGTTGATTTGTTGCAGACATATGTGGGATAATAACACAACTTGCCCTCTTTACTAAGCATATTAGATTTCTAATGATAACTAGAATCTAGATCTTTTAAAAATCACACTAAAAAAAAGTTTTTATTAAGTGTGCTATTTTTGTATCTAGACTCTAGATTCTATTTATTTTCTTTGCATTTCTCATCTTCAAGTTTAGTATAGCATAGTTCAATTCCAAACTCCGTTCAATTAGTTTTGATAATGTAGATCTATATCGAGAGGTAGGGCCCATTTAAAAATAGCCGTGGTCAACTTTGTTTTCATGGGCGTGGTAGTGTGTTGGATCTGGATCTAAATATATATAGTAATAGTAGGCCTAGTGTAGTTGGACAAGGAATATCAGGATTGTAGATTAACAGAGACGTGAAAATGCTATCAAATATTTAAACATTTCGATTTTAAACTAGTTCTAGATGCTACATTCTGGAGGCTAATAATCTAATCTAGTAGGTTAGACTACATGGCGAGATTCTAGATTCTAGGTCTAGTCTACTACGGAATGCATAAGGGCGAGTTTTCTGCTTTTAAGCCAATCATTGCCCTCGAAGGATTTGTTACGATTAGTTGAACATGGGACCAACATGGCGGATGTTACTACAGTCGTAGAGGGGAAAATAAAATTTCGTGAAGGAAAAAAAGTAAGTTTGAAACAACATAAAAACCTCGTTTTAAATTTTTTATTAATATCAAAATGCGATGTTGAATTAGGAAATAAATTATAGGAAAAAAATCTATTCTGTTATTGTCTTTTCATTTTTGCAGTGGAAGCCTCGGTGGTGTGTAATGAAAAAACCATCTCCAGTGGCTGGTGAGTCAACTAAAAAGTCAAAATAATAATAAAATATTTTGCCTAGGCTTATCGTCAAGTTTAGTTGAAAAATTAAATACCCAAATGCTACCAAATAGGGTACTAAGATTACGGCCAACATTGGCTAGATGTTAATGTTTATTCGAAGGCCTGTTAGTTAAATAATTAATCAGGCATAGGGCCTAGCTAGTCTAGTAGCTAGGCCTATGATTTTCATTTTATTTTTTAGGCCAGTTTAGTTATTTAATTATTTAGTATTTACTCTCAGTTAGTAATGGACACCAGCGAGAAAAGTCTCAAAGGTATTTGAGAGGTGCATAAATTAATTTAAAAATCTTGCACGGCGTAGTTACAATTAAAATGGTTATAAAATCCTGTCTGTCTGGTTTTTTTCGGACTTTACTAAAGATTGGATGTATTTGATGTTTTTAATATTTTCGGTAACTAAATAAAAATTTAAAAAAAATCAAAAACAATTTGGTTTTCACGTGTAATGGCGACATAAACAATGGCCGCCATAAATTTTATTGAACACATTGTAAGCTAAAAATAGAAAAAATAGGTCATGGTGTTTAAATTTGCATAGTTATTTAAAAACTTGATCTGCAAAGTTTTGTAAACAAAATAACTATGAAGTGGGGCTGTCAGAAATCGATCACGGAGTTCCTTTACAGCCAATCAATGTTTGTCTTACGAAAGTGAAACATCGGTTTATAACTTAGGCTTGATGAAAATAAATAGAAATGTAGCCTTAAACTCAACAAATTATTTTCAAGTTCTCTGGATCTGCAACTTGTATAGCATTGATTCTAAAAATATTAAATTTCTGAATTAATTTTAGGCTTAAGTTTTTAATAAAATTTTATCATTTATTATTTTTATGGTCCTAAATCTAAAAAAGCACATTTTTATTCCATGTCAACAACATTACGGAAGGAATCTCGTCAACTCGCTGGTGTCCATTAATTAATTAGAAATCTAGATCTAGTTGGCCCTATTCATAATTCATTCGTTTATTTTAGTTTTTTACAACTTTAGTAAAGGACTTTTTAGAGTTTAGTACTTTAGAACTTAAGTAGTATAATTAAAAAAAATTATATTTAGTTAACTACCAGTAATCAGTAACCGTTTTAACTTGAAGATTCTATTACTGTGCCCCAGACTAAACTATTCGATTATCTGTAGATTACATCTTCACAGGGTTTTATTTCAGGCATCTCTCTTAGGGGGAGGGGGGAGCTGAGCACATTCACCCATTGCAAATACAGGCATACATACACACACATAATGATCTATAAATTATATAAGAAGTTTCAAAGATGTTCTAGATCTAGATTTTAAAGCTATGTTTCCAAAATGTCTTTGTTCTACTGTGAAAAACATTCACCCATCATAAATGCACACATGTAAGTATTTATGTCAAGTTTAAATATATACTTGTGTACTGTGGACTAAGAACATAAGGGCCTTATTACATTTTTTCCCCCAGATCGTTTACAAGTTATTTTATATAAAGATGTTGGTGAATCGGTTAAAGAAGATGCCAAGCCGAAATCTGTATTTTGCTTGGACGCCTTCTTTGGTCTTAATACAGATTTTAATTATGATAAGGAAACACATGTGCTTGCCATTGTATGCCACAAAAATATCACATTTATGGCTTTTGAACAGCGAGAAAAAATGATTGAATTTGAAATAAATATAAGACAAAGTCTCGGAGAAGGTATGTATAATTACATCTTTTTCTTTAACAAGGGATGTTAATTTTGTTAATACTAATTCTAAAATTTTGAGAGCATAATGGCATGGTTTTTTTTAAAGATGTGGTTACTATTCATCTGTTAAATATCCCTTTAAAAAATTCTATTTAACTATATTGATTACAGCTTCTTTTACTTTTGTATTTAATCCATTTTGTTTTAAAAGTTTCATTCTAATCTTATTTTAGAGCGCCAGTTTCCTGTGAATGTTGTCAAAGCACCTTCCAATTGTAAGCTTCCAAAAGAGCAGCTACGGTTAATGATTCATGACCTTAGATTTTGTCTTGTCGCTCAAAATCCACCAAAATTACTTCTCTCTTGGAACATAGAAGAGCTGCGTAGATTCGGAGCAAGAGATGGAAAATTTTGTTTTGAAGGTGGCACTCGATGTGGAAAAGGTAATCAAATTATTGTTTATATTTTTGACTTGATCTCCTCAGATAAGGTTTATAAAAACTTGATGAATGTTATAAAAAGTTTAGTTTTTTCCAGTGTTATAATTACATAAAGTCCAGGCTTAATTAAAATTCTGTGATTTTTTTTTTGTTTTTAGGGTCTGGAGTTTTTGCACTACAGTCTGAACAGGCAGAAGATATAGAGGAAATTATGAACTCTGCCTCAACTGGGAAGATGTCTAACTGTCATCGCAAGTTTAAGAACAGAAGTAAGTCCATAATTGTGTTTTAACATTATTAATATCCCACAGAGCCAAATCAACTTATTTTACACATGTTGTAGCCTTACATCTAAACAACAAAAATTTTTACTAAAGAAAAAAAGAACCCTATATATTTAACATTTCTTAAATATATAGCTGTTTTTCTTTTCACATAATATTAAGTAAAATATTGTTACTTCTTTTTATTAAAAATGTTTTTTTTTTTTTTTTTAAATTTTAAGAAAATTAATTGTAATTTAATCAATCTATCAACTACTTTTGTTAGGACCGTCAGTATTTAAATTAAAATTGTTGTTACATTATTGTAATAAATAAAGTAATGGTTATATGAATTAGAACTGACCTTCACATAGGATGAGTACTAATTAAATTTAGTAACATTTATTCGCCTCAAACTTTTTTAGATACTGATAAATGTTTCTAAATTTCTACCGCCCCTCCTATATACTTTCACAAGTCAGCCCTATGCAGTCTATACTCTATGTCAAGGTTCACCCATGTAGATTATTATGTACTTATAATTAAATATAATACTTTCCATAGTTTCATAATCAAGTATAATATAATGATTAGGCATAGGGTGTTAGGTTTAGAAATGAACTTTTCAGAAATTGATATTTTAGAATATTGCCAGCTGTAGACATTTACTAGCTCTTTAACAAAAGAGAGATAACTCTTTAGTGCTATATTTGGCATTATTTGGGAATAGCAATTCTTAAGTAAAACTTAATAATACTTATAAAAAATTATAGAAAATTATGTTATTCTTTGTATTGCAAATAAAATGTCTAAAAAAATGTTATTGTGTTATTTCATAAAATTTAAAAAGAAGTCTGAGGGAACACATTTTCCCAGATTGACCCTAATGATACAAAAATTTTGAGGCTCACAATACAGCATAGTAATGGTTAAAGTCAGATCAAATACTTATCTAACATGACTTGAGTTGTCTAAGGAGCTAACTCACTTTTGTTCCAGTCAACATAGCTTTACTAATACACTATAAAATTCATATTCAATATTTAACCCTCAAAATGTATAAATTTTGATATTAAGATAATCTAGTTACCTTTGGCCATTGAAAAATCAATCATTAATCTGATATAAGCATTTTTATTTTACATTTAAAAAAAAAAAGGAGTGGTCTTATTTTAGAGATGGAATGATTCAATAACTTTATCCTGTCATTAAGATTGTCTTAAAATTAACATTTTTAAAAATTGTTGGTTAAAATGGGTAAAGTGTAATCTAAATTACTTTATCAGACCTTTCATTATGTTGAATCCCCTATGTAAACACAATCTACTAGAAATTCAACAATTAGAACATGGTAAGAATCCTAAATGGAACTTCATAAAAATTACCAATGAAATAAAACTACTTAGATATGAGTAGAATCATTGCTTAAATACCATGTATGTAATTTCCATTAATACTTTCTGTTTACTCCTTTTGAACCATTGTTTTCTATCAGTATGTATAACAAACTGCTTTAAACAAAAACATTTCATGCTAAATATTTAACTCATCCAGTGATTTTATCATGATAATTAAAAAGAAAGTGTATGTTTGTGTGTATTTCAAATTTTCAGGCTCACAGATAGACTTGGGTACACATCTTATTAGAGATATGTCCCCTTCACTATCATCATCATCCATTCATCACCATCAAATAGTAGATACAAAGTCTCCCCCACTAGGAGCATTGCCTGTTACCCTTAATTGTTGTCATGACAACCAGACAGGAAGTGCTGATTCTGAGGACTGGAGTTGGTACAAACGTCATTCAGTTAGTGTTATGGATCATCATCGAATTGCAGCACTTAGGGAAAAAAATTACCCAGAAAATGGAGAACATCTTATGGGAATTTATGATGTACCACCAAATCATGGACGAAAACTTGAGGAAACATGTCCTGGAATGACAGAAGAATCCAATTATTCAATACCAAGGCGTGATTCTGAAAACTTGCCATTACATATATATTGCTCAAACTCTGTTGAAGATTATGGGAACTATAAAAGAATTGTACCTAAAGGGCAAGAATCTGACCAGGATGAGAAAAGGCATGTATTTATGCAGAAACGGCAGAGTGTAAGTGCTGAATTGTTTGACCTCAAAGTTAGCAATGTGGATGAAATGGTGGCTGCGGGATGGCAAGCTAACAACTCCAATAACAAACATTCACGTGAAGAGTCGCTGCAACGGCTTAAAATGCAAGAGTCTGACTTGCATAGAGAAATGGTCCTGTTGGATGAGATTTTACTCAATTGTTCAGGCAAGTCACAAGAAATGTCAAATGGGCAGCCTTCAGAGAAAGCTGAATTTTCTGGTCAAAATATGTCCAGTACCCTTTTATCAGGATTGGACAAGGATTTGGCAATTATCTCTGGAAACATTACACCTTTGCAACACAAACTGAACGATTTGAGCAATCCAAAAAAAGCTGACAGAATAACTGCACTTAGGCTGAACACCAGCATGCCAGAGGGAACTCCACTAAGTCCAATATTTCATACCAAGCTAAATAATATACCCATTACTTCTCGACTCAATGCTCCACTCCCTTATGTAAACTTGAGTAAATATGATGATGAGTCTAAAAGTCATGTATATCTTCCAGGAAGTGCTGATTGTATACCAGCTAGTTATGGTGCAAATATTGCAGGACCAAATATCAAACATGAGAGACCTTGTGGGCACAGCAGCAGTCTCACATGTCTCAATTCTCAAGCAGCCACAGCTAGCTTAATCAACCTCAGCCAAGCAGGGCTGTATCAGTCTTCATGTCGACAAATGGCACCTGGACAGAGATCACAAGAAAACACACAAGCTTACCCAGAGTATGAAAAATACAATGAACATCAGGAAATTTTGTTTGTGAAAATGGATCCAGATCCTGAGGAAACTAATCCCATAATTTATGCATCATTGCAGTGCATGGCTAAAGGAGATGATGATGTAAACAAACCTGGTTCAGAGTTAGTCAGTGTACTAACCGCTGATGTAGGAAAATATTCCCGTGAAGAAAAAAGGATAAATCAAGAAGATTTGTATGAAAATTTACCTGCAAGAAAAGCATCTACCCCACCACCAGAACTACCCCCAAAAGGTCCAGCTCTTCTTAAGAAATTAAATGCCTGCTCTAATTCTGCCATCCCTTCAAGTGCACCCTCAGAGTATGCCTGCAAGCAGAAGCAGTCTCTACCAGCGCCACCAAAAAATACAATTCACTGTAACACTCAGTATGGGAAAACTGCAAATGAAAATTATTTTACAAAAGAAGATGCCAAGGAAGATAACTATTGTATGATGGGCAGTCCAAAAATTCAGCACAAACGAACTATCATCCCGGATTCACCATTAAAATTAAATAGTGCATTTACTCCAACAGGTGCTAACAATAAATGTAAACCCATGAAGACCATAGTAAACAGGTGTGATTACATGGACATGGCCACACTTGGATTGGAAGGTGGGGAGGATGAAATATACTTAGATGTTGTGGAAAGCAAAAATGATTTGTATATCTCTGAAGCTGACTTAAAATTTCTGCCAGCACCCAATGTTGGTAAGCAGGTGTGTGAGAGTACATATATGGAGATGTCTAGTGTTTCTAACAGGAAAAGTGTTGTCATGCAAAACTTAGAGACCCTCCAGACATATGTTAGCAAAACAACAGCTTGGGACTCCAGCAAACCATCTGTTCGACCTAAGGTATCACCACCCCCACCACCACCATACCCACCACGGCCAATGTCATTGAAAGTGAAGCACAGTGGTACAAATGCGGTAGAATCTAAACCAGGTAATGACTTGAGACCTAATGAAAAGCCAGTAAAAAGTCCCACTAAAGTTTACACCAAAGCTAAAAAATCCCAGTCCAATCAGGCTTTATCAGAGCCGCCCATGCCATTTCCAAATTTGATTGAGTTCACCAAAAAAATGGGAGATAGTAGATCAACTTATGTAAATACTTTAATAGACAATGAGAAAACTGTTACCAGTCAAGAATCGTACACAGCCAGTGTTCCACTACCAGAACCTGTTACCAAGGAGGGTTTCCTGGCTCGTTTCAAGAGGCGTAGCTCCAAAGATAAGAACGCTGGCCCAACCCAAGAAAAACCTAGCAACAGTAAAAACAGAAACAGTGTGTTAGAGCGCAGTATGTCAGAGCATGAAACATCTAAGGCAGCAAAGGAAGAAAAAACTTCTAAATTAAAACTTGGCAGGAGGAGATCATCCAGCTTTCCCAACAGACTTAGCTACCAGGAGTCTCTAGATGGCAGTGATGTGGTCCATCAGATTGGATCATCTTCCAGTAGTTTTTCTTCTGGCTCATCTAAACCTAAGCCGCAGACAGAGAGCTCATCTTCTATTCTAGATGATTCTGATGACTCGGATATGTCCCCGCTGTTGAAAAGAGGAGAAAAGAAAGTGGATCCAAGAGCCATAACTATCCTTCATGTCCAGTGGGATCATTCTAAATCACTGAATCCTTACATGCAAATAAACAAGTCTCCCAACAAGCCAGGAGCACTGGCTCTAGATTCATCAAAGACTGATGATGAAAAATTAATAGACATGATCAAACAACAGAATACTTCCAAGAAACCTGTTATTTACCAGCGTTCTTCTTCTCTTGAGCTAAAACAGCCCCGGGAAGATCATGAGCAAGGGGTGAATTTAAAGTTGCCCCTGCACTCTGTTCAAAAAGAAAGGCGCCAAAGCCAAGAGAAGCTAAAAATTTGCTCAAGCCTGCTAGATGTTGAGGCGTCTAACCAGCAGGGATCATCGAGACCTCTTGATATCTCTAGTGGTGCCTCCCATCCAGCGCTCTCCTTGTCTACTTCCTCTGATACCCCACCAAGTTTACCACCTAAAACAAAACTGTATCAAGCTCTACTCTCCCCTGTCATTGAAACTTCACCATCTCTGTCATTCATGAATGAACCCCTGTATGTTGAGTTGGACGAGATATTGCCTGTGTCCTGTATTGAAGGAGCAACAAACATGAAAATGGATAACCACAGGCATTACTATGAACCAATAATAATTGACGAGGAAGAACAAAGTTCCCAAAAGGCAACTTTTGAGAAACAAAAGGCAGGTATTTTTCTGTTTTAAGCATCATGGTGCATTGGATGCATACAAGAATCATCTGATAAGTGCAACACAATAGAAATTTTTAAAAGTCTAAAGCATGTTTGGTATCTGCTTTAGTGTATTCTAAGATAGATAAGTGTACCTCCCAGATTGTTAATTGTCATGAGATGGTATTGTATATCTTTATACTTGAATTTCAGTGATTAACTGTATCAATGTTTTTGTTTGCCTCTCATCTCTAGTTTATGTTTAAAACATTTTAGTCAAACATTTTTGTTTTGCCATTCTGTTGCATTTTTTATTTTAAGTTTAGTTACTAACACCATCACTATTGAATTGTAAATCCTCCATCAATTCCATTTTGCTACATGCATGTTGTAATATAAATGTTGCATGTTATGTGAAGTTAAAACCATCTAATACAAAACTGTTGTTACAATAATTTGACAAATCACATTTTTATTTCTGACTCAAACTTTTGTTGCTGTTTCAAATTCCTTTATTGTATTTCATTTAAACACATTTTTAAAATTTTCTTTGCATACCCCACTTTTTTCACATTGTTTTTAAATGGTGAATTGACTTTTCTACCATGATGCTAATTTTTAGTCCATTATGCTTTTGGCTTTTTTTTTTTTTTTAAACTTAGATCTAAATAAGAATCTTTGAAACAATTTCTATTATTTTTACTGACATAATTGTCTAACATTGGAAGATATGAAAAATATTAAATTTAGTTCTAAGTTTATTATATTTTAGGGAATCAGGGAGTAAAAGAGAAAATTCTAAGATGTTTATATTTTGATATTCACAGGGACCTTGAACAATAGTTTCATCACTACAATATACGACTGATATAATTAATGGTTATAATTTTAAAATTAAGACACTGCTTTTATGCCATGCTTCCATTCTTTAAATCCTCTAGTTACATTTTAAATCTTCTAGAACAAAAGCTTAATTTGTGCTTTTTTTATATTTATGACTTTGTTTACACATTTTTGTTCTTATTTATTAGCATTTCATTTTTAGCACTGAAGAATGCATGTTTGTTGTGAGCCAGTTTTGGTTTAGCAAATTAAAACTGCTTTGTTGTGTTGGTTGTTTAATTTATAACATTTTTAAAAATAAGATGTTATTTATTTAATTTCAATAATACAAATATGATTACCTTCAAAAATTATTGAAAACCATTTTTAAAGTTTTGAACTGTATATTCTGTAGTATAAAGTGAAAAATAAAAGTAAATTAAATATTTTAATTTTTTTCTGTATGTAATTTGCTTGTCAAGTTACAAAGTTTAATCTGTTGTTTTAATTTTTCTATTTTCCAGGAAGATTTTCATTAGAAGAACCTAGGAATGAAACACCAGTAAGCGCTGCATCCTGTACATTACCTCTAGACATTTTGCCTAATGAAAGAGATGAATCCTCACCAACACATACTGAGGCTGCCTCCCCTTTGTTCCATCGTTTGTGTGATCTATCCAGCTCTTATCAGGGCAATGTAACTGATGATTATGAATGTATAAGCCCGGCGAAAACAATATTGCGGCCACGAGCAGGAAAAGAGTATGTTGTAATACAACGAAGGACACACTATTTTGATGCGGTATCAAACAACGAGCCTAACCTAAATGAGGAGTTGTCTATTTTATCATCCTTGCAATCATCACAAGAGCTTTCACCAACATTTTCTAGCATGGCAGATACAACCAAGTCATGCCAGAGTCTCCATTCTGATCCTTGGGAAAAAGACAACTCGCAGCCCTCAGTCAATAAACCATCTAAGTTGGTCACCAGTGCTTCTAAATCCCCAGTCATTCATCAGCCAACTGCTATAGGCACAGAGCACAAAACTAGTGCTGAGTCCACTGACCACAGAATTTTCTTCCCAATGGATCTTTCTTTTAATGCATCTCCTCCACCATCCCCGACCTGCCCAAGTTCCCACCACTCATCAGCTCAGCAAGTGTATTACCCAATATATGTCAACCAAGAGTTTATACCTAAACCCAGCACTAGGACAGTCAGCACAAGTAGCAGCCACTCTAGCGCCTCCCCCATCAGGACTGGTGTTCAAACACTCATGTCCTTTTTTTTCTCCCCGAAGCAAAACACTGCCAGTGAGTTGCAAACTAGTCGGAGCATTAGAAAAAGCAGGTCGAGGAATTCAGAATCAGATGCTCCTAAACTGGAAAAACACTCAGTTAGTCTTCCTATGACAAAAGTATTGCCACTGCCTGTTAATGTTCATAGATCACATTCTGATCCACGAAGAACTGAAACTGGAGACAGTGCAGCTCTGACATTAGCACCAGAGCCAGCTCTTAGCAGCTGGGATGACCAAAAGGTGCACAAAAAGGAGTTTGATAAGTTTGCTCAATCTAGTATCATATCTAGAAGAAGGCTTCAGTGTCCAGATCCTCACAGACAAAGTAAGAGTAATGATACTCTTACAAACAAGTCACAGAACCAGTCATTTGAACTTGTCAGCTTTTCATCAGGAAATCACTTACAAATTCCTCTACTTAAATCTAGTGGTTACAAAAATATTGATACTTTCAACGCTTTAGGGTCACCTGCACCTACTCCACAGGCTGCTCAGATACCTGAGAAACCGCCTGAATGTAATAAGTCTTCTGAAACCATCTCAGCATACAGTAAGAAAGCACAGTCTTTAGAACCCATCTCCCCGATTACAAGTCCAGTAGAGAAGATCTCGTCCATTTCTTGTATACCCTCTCCTCCACTACCAATCCCTATACGACGTACATCCTCTTCCACACCACCATCTTCTCAGTCATCTCCATGCCTGACACCTTCTGATATATCTGACTCTCCTCCTTCCTACTTTGCACCTTCCCCCCCACCCCCAGCACTCCCACCCAGACAGCCTCTGTTGCTCTTGCCTTGTCCCGCCTCTCCTTCTTCTCATTCAGAGTCTGAGCTAGAATCTGAAGAAGAGGAGCAAGAATTAAACTATATTGAGGTAGACATGAGGAAAACACCAGCGCAAGCAGCGCCCCCACCACCACCTGTTACTTATACTCGGCAGAGCAAACGAATCAGACAACAAAAAGAGAAAGACTATTCCAAGTCCAGGTATGTGCTGATTGACCATAGAGCAACAAAAGCTTTGCAGCAAGCCAGACAGGAGCATGTGCAGTCCAGGGATGGTCCTCAAACCAAGTCTTCGGGCCAGTTAAACAGAATCAACTCTACCCCTTCATCTTCAAAACGAAAACACCTTTCATTTATACCCAGAGAGAGAAAACTGAGTTCTGGATCTGTTGAATCCTGTTAATGTAAAAAGTTTTTTTTATATAAATATCCTTTAACCCAGACAGTTCTCCTCTTCTTAAAGCTTTTGTACAGCTACATTTTGATGTTGTGAAGTAGGATGGTCCTAAATATATGCAATATCTGTAATGTTTAATTTTGAGCACAACTTGTATCCTGATTGCATAAGTACACATAAATTTTATGTTGTTGTGGCTATAAAGCTTCTTTTTAAATTGTCACTGCAATTTTAAAAATTTTCTATATAGAATAAAGCCATTTTTAAATGTCTTTTTGATAGACCTTCAAAAGGTTGAAAATTAACAGTTGAAACAACAGGGGGGGGGGGGGGGGGGGGGAAGTTTACACATTTCTTTTACGTAAATGGCAATATTTTTTACTAGAAAAAAGAAAAATTTGAACTTTTAAATCTGGTAGTCATTGGATCTCTAGACCAGAAAGCTTTGACTCAATTTCTTGAGCTATTTTCTTATTACTCTTGACTAAATTTATCTGGCACTAGAAAACAGTTTTTTTACTTTAAGAACGAAAAATGATTTTCATATATAAGAAAAGACTATAAACACTTAAAACAAAAAGGGGTATTAAAATCTAGCAACTTTTCCATGCCCTTAAATACAGTTAATTGTGGCTTCACATCTAACCACATTTTGTTGTGAGTACAAATCCCATAAACTCTCATGTATATGTACACTACATTTAATTACTCTGCACACAAATCTTTGTGTTGAAAAAAAAACTAAAGAACATTAACCACCAAATTATTATTTTTTTGTTATTTATTACCTTTTATTTCTACGTGGTTCTCTAATTAGAAGTATCTGAAAGATAAATAATTCTTAGCAAAATAAAAGGTTTCATTTTTAGGGTTATATCATTATGCAGTAGAAATTATTTAAATTAGGGTAATAAGATTATAAGAAGGCTCCAAAAATACTTTATTTTAAATTATTGTCATTATACACACATTTGAAAGTAAGTTATTTCTTACACTCATGGCATGTATTATTGTAAGTACAGTGAAATCTTGTTTGCACCATAATGAGCTACCAACCTTCAAATAAATGGTCTTTTAAAAAATACTTTTGTCCAAGTATTTCCTCATCAACATCAAACTCTTTACTTCAAGTTTTTGCCTTGTAAACACAATGCTCTCTAATGCCAATAAGCTTTTTGGCTCAGCTTCTTTATGGGATGAATAAGCATCCATAAGAAATCCTTGATATCTAGGGCCATAGTTGTATCTTGTTTTAATTTCATTTCAATTTATTTAAAATGAAAATAGACTAAATGTAGTTTCATTCACCAAATAAACACAATCTGCGTTGTCCTTCAAAATCTTATACAAACATATGCGTTAAACAAGATTCAATTGAAATATTATCATTTGGTAAACAGTAGCTATTATTGTTGGGTTTATTACAATTGGCATTAAACTGGCATTAACTGATCAGTTTAAATAAAACAGTGCATGTATTCTGTTGTATTTAAATTATACCTAATAAAAAAAATGCAACCTGTAGAGTTATTACATAAAAAACTAAATGATTTAACATCGCCAATTCAAATGTTTTTAAAAATATATGCAGTCTGAATTTATAGCCACATTTTTGCAATGTTCAAACCAACGCAAATTTTCATTTTATAATTCATACAGCCAGTTTTTAAAAAGTACATTGTATTATACTAATTCATACATAAATTGTATAGAATTTCTTTATAAGAGCATAATGAAACCTAAAAATGTTTTAGCTTCATCATGTAGTACTTTTAACCAGGATGTTTTTTTTTAAATCTTTAAACAAGATAGCTTTATTTTTGCCTTCAACTTCAAGTCTTTCTGAAAAACATGTTTTTAAGATATATGCACTATTCTCTGCTTAAAAATCTTTTTTGAAATTTAAGCACACATTCCTTTTGGTTACTTTACTTATTTAGATTCAACAAACAGTTATTAGAGTTGTGAATGTTTCTATTATTGACTAGAACATGGTTGGTATACATTTTCTTTAGATGCTCATTCATATTTTCAAACTCCATTAATCATTGCATATTAATGTTGAATTTTAAAATTTTCTCCAACATTTTTGAGTTTTCGAAGAGATAATTTAAAATTTAATGTTAATTTTCAGTATATGCAATTGATCTTTTCAATATTATTATTATCATACAAGGATAACTATGCATGTTGTGTTTTAACTAGCAGTATTATTTTTGTTGATAATGTATTGTTGCACAAGTTGTGATGAGTATGGTGCATTTTATTTTCATTTTTCTATTTTGTGTTCCTGAACAAGTTTGTCAAAGCTTTCAAAGCATTAGGCCTGTATGAAATGTGAAAACTTGTATAATGGGATAATCAATTACAGTTATTAACAAAAATTTAATGATAAAACTGCCTTAATTGTTAAAATTGCTACACTTGTAATCATCAAAAATGTATTGGAACTTTTAAAAGTTTTAACCCTTTGAGCCCGCCAGGCCGGTAAACCGGCTTCAACAATAGGCATATATGTCCGAAAAGCCGGTTTTCCGGCCCGATGATATAGCGTCATATTCCTAGCGGTCGGTATACCGTCTAATTAAATATAATTAGCGGAAGACTGACTAAAACTGCGCATATGTCTTTTTAGTGTGTGATTATGATTCTAAAAATAGATTTTAGGAAAAGTGAAAGTGTTTACATTTCGTAGCAATGCCGCCGAAACGAAAAGCCATCGACTTCAGCATATAAAGTTGGTGCAAAAGATGAAGCAAAAGACCGAAATATCAACAAAAGAAGTAGAATGACTGCATCTCAGGCAATACAACTACTTATTGATTCTGATGAAGAAGATAATATTCCTGGTCTATAGTGTGATGATAGTGACGTTGAATTTGAGACTGAACTCAGTGACATAGAAATTGACAGTGACATTGTACGTCATGATGAACATGGTGCCAAGGACAAAGACTTGCCGAAACGAAAAAAACAACTGTTTACTGGTGCAAAACATGCGAAGTTTTTCTTTGCATCGGGTCCGGCAGTGATAACTGTTTTGAAAGTTATCACACAAAAGTGGACTTCTGGCTATGAACTAGTATGGCCAGGTATCAATAACAACAAAACAATTACTAAATGTAAATTTGTTTCTTCTATGGCCTATCAAAAAAATAATTACGTGTTCGTTTTACATACATTGTTCTGTTCATACATTGTAAACAAATAAAGAATTTCAGAATCTTGCTGCATTGTTGTTTGATCCTGAGTCTGGATACCAAATTTGGCTTGATTATCTCAAACGGTTCAAAAGTTATAGGCAAAGTTAGAAGCAGATAAGTAAAAAATTGGTTTGGCCCTGGGAGCTCAGGAAATGGGAGAAACTAGGCCAGGGAGGCCAGGGCTCAAAGGGTTAAATTTGAAGAGTTATTAAAGTAATTAATGGTTATTGATGATTTTTTTTTCCTTATTTTTCTCAATAAAGAGATAAATTAGCTTTAATATCAATCTATAGTAAAATACCATTATTAGAAGTTGTTACAATTCATGTTGTATTATACAACTACTCCATAGTGTATGTTTAGAGAATTTTTTTAAAATAATGCAAATGTTGAATAGTTTCTAAATGGTATTTCTATTAATTATTGTTGTGTTTTTTGAGTTGTGACTTTTAAAGCTTTTTATAGAAACTCTAATAATATAATTGAGTGAACAAGGTTGTGATCTCAGCTGCCTTCAGCAACCTTGTGTTAATATTTTAAAACTGAAGTGAGGGTTTTATATTAAACTCAACTCCAAATATATGATTATAAAAATTAAAAAGTTTAATCTTTGGAATACTTTATATATATGTGTATGTGTGTTTTAATACTTTTGGGAAAAGTATTTTTAAATAAAGTTCTTAGCATAGCTTAAATTGTTGTAAAGTGTACTTTGGTGTAAAATTTAAGTAAAAGTACATACAAAGCTAAATAAAAACATTAGATTTATTAATATTACTATGATTGCATTCTTTTATGCATGGTTACACATGGAAGATTTTTTACTCCATAGTGTTGTTTAAAATGGTATAAAATAAGGTTTTTAATATTTAGTTAGTTAAAAAATACTTTTTGCGAGTTATTTAAAGTATCGTAATGTTTTTTTTTTACTTATAGGTTAATATACCTATTTTACAACTGAGTTATAATAAGATTGGAAAAGTTCCCCAGTTTAGTTAGCATCCACTGTTTTGTATAAACAATAATTTTTTTTCAACGATTTAATTATTTTAGTAATATACAATTCATCATTTGAAATTGTAGTTGAACTCAAAAATTTTTAGTGTTGTTTTATCAAGTTTCTTTTTCTTTTTTTATCAACATTTCTTTTTTCTTGTAAAAATAGGTTGAGATACCAGCACCAATAAATTCTTTTTATTGTTTCTTTTTTACATTTGTATACACAAAATGGGATCAACTGAATAACTGCCCTCATACCACATGTGCCTTGAAGCAAGCCACAAATTCATTAATCATTCGAATGACTGCATTTGTTACTAAATGTTCAGATGTGGAAAAACAATACTTTTAGACACTCAATAACATGATGTAAAAGGTCTACATTGTTTTTAAACCTTTTAATAGCTATTGTCCAAAACATTAGTCTTCCTGAAAGCTATTATTATACATACTATTCTCTGTATATATATATATATTTTCTTTTTTTTAAATGTATGTATGTAAATACTCTGTATTAGACATTGTTAAATTAAAAGAAATAATAGGCACAATAAAATTGGAGAAAAGACTAGTATTTATAAATAAATTAAAAATATTTTTAGGTGTTTTTTTTTTTGTTTGTATTTTTGCTATTAATGAAACCAATCATAATACTATAGGTCAATATCTACTTAGCATAATAAGTATAAAGCTTCCAAGATTTGTATTTCAGATATGATTTTGTTTGTACGTTATTTTTAATACAATATAGTACCTTTTGTTTTAAGATGTATTTATTTATTTGAAATCCCAAAGGAAAAAAATAAAATGTATCTTTATTTTCTTTAATCCTAGAAAAGAAAAACTTGTATCACTTTTCTATTTAAATTTTTACCCTCAACAAGATTGCTGAAAAATACATTAGGAAATTTTCATGTTGGTATATTAGATGCGTCTTCTCAGTTGAAATGGCATTCTATTTTTGTATTAAAGTTCCCTTTCAAATCTGACGGTCTATGTGGCAAGTGAAGTAGAGTTCTCTTATTTCTGAGACCTCGGCATATGAAGGGAAAGTGTGGTCAGCACTATGCCCAGCCGCCTTTACTTTTGTATTACTTATGGGGAAAAAATTTTCTATCTATTTTTTATTAACCTTTAAATGTTACAATTAAAGCTTTAAATAATAATTTATTAATAATAGAAATCTAATTAGTATAATGTAGAAATGAGGAGAAAATAGTTGGGCAATGCTAACAACTAGAAAGGTGCCTATCAATAGATGATAGTATACTAGAAACCAGTAGATTAGAATCTACTTTTGTAAAAGAAACAAATTTGTTTTAGAAGTGCATTTCATACTACTGGTATGTATTTTTTAAATGTCTTAATATTTAAAGCAATCTTAAGATGAGGCCACAATACCTGATTGTCATATATGCAACCTTTTTATTTTACAGTACTCAAAGAAGTAAAATTTGCACATTTAATTTTGTAATTGTTCACTTTTATATTTAATTAAATGTTCATTTTAGTTAGTTATATCATTTATAATCAGCTCATATTTCATTTAAAAATGTCAAAGCTACATTTATTATAAGTTTGTAATGTAACAAGCAGCACATGAAGATGTTCTAAATTTATAAATTAGAGTAGCTCGAATATTTTGTATTTAGTAATGCTAATACCCACAATCTTTTATTCTGCATGCATTTTTCTTCATGCAATATATAACTTGTTTATAGACTGCATAAAATCATTGTTTACGTTATGTTTGTGCAATACTTTCCATAAATTAGTTTTGTTCTTTTATCTTTATGATTAATTTATGTAATACACTTTTTTATGCAATCAAAATGTTTTTGTTTGTATATATCATAAAAGTAGCTGGTATTCAAATATTTAAGTAAAATATGATTTTAAAAGAATGCTTTGCAAATTTACAATCAGTGTGAAGTAAAGTAACACATTTAAGCATAAGACATGACACACCCTCTACAAATATAACAAAATATCTTGAGAGCAGCTGAATAAAAGTTTTATTTCAAACAAAATGTACAATTTTACACCACACAAAAAAGCAATTTTTTTCACCTGCATGGATAATTGAGTTTTAAAAAAAAAATATGTGCAGCCTAAACTTAGCACTGCATGGCTAGAAGAACAAGTAAACTGTTGGGTTTTAAAAAGTCTATCACAGGACTAACAACACTTAATTACCGGTATGTATTAAGTGCGCTTTATCCAGGTATGTATTAAGTGCGCTTTATCCAACGGTGTAATGCCTAAGTAGGCAATAAAGTGCTTTTTTTTTTTAGGGAAAATACCAATGCTCTCTTCGCATTATCAATCTGGTTTAACAATTTAAAAAATTTATTTATTGTTCTACAACATAAGTACAAAAAATATAAACAATCTCATTAACAAATCATTAATGTCATAGTAATTGACTTGACATTAACAAAACATTATTTCATTTTTAAATCACAAACATAACCTTTCTTAACATCACACATTACTTATTCTCCAAAATTCAATATTTCTCTAATAAATATATTTAGGAACAAATTTAAAAACTTTGTAACAAGCTAATTTCAAATATCTGCTTGAAGTTTACTCGCAAACTATGATATTTTTTTTGTCGTAATAGCAAGATCCCGACAGAAGAAATCTATCAAGAATGGGCAAGAACTATTGGTCGTCAGTGAACCAAACGTACTCTTTACGCTAGTTCAAATTTAATTTCTCATAACAGTATTGAAAATTTTAGTGATGGAATAATATATTTAAAAATTAAAGAAGAGGTTGCTAATACGCTAATACGTTGCTCTATTAAGAATAGCTGTTACTTTATATTGGAAAACTATTGTTAACTAAATAAAACTTCCAGACAATTTTTTAAGATTAGTAACTGACAAGACCTAAAGATGTATTACATGCATAAATAATTTTACACATTGATTTCTTTGTAATCAAAATGTAAGTGTTAAAACAAAATTATATAAAAACATTCCAAACAATGAATCATATAATCCAATGTGTCTTTCATCCATACTTTTCCTTGTCCAACTCTATCTCCCTTTGTCGTTGAGCACGGATTGCATTTTCTTCCTTGATCTTTTGAATCTTGGCATCAAGATCTGAAGAATCTTCTGCTTGATAGAACATGACAAGGAATGATAATTTCAATTATTTACAGGAATGTACCATCAAAGAATTATTACAGACAGTAGGAATGCTTTACATCAAGAACAATTTTCATAGCACCAGTAAATGTCTTCAACAAGTCATTGAGCAATTTGTCATTAAAAACATCAATTGACTTTTTTTGTTGTTAAAATGATATTTAAATATTAAAAAAAAAAAAGATTTTTTGGTCATCTACATTATAAATTTAACAAAATAAAAATATTGTGAAAGTTTTTTTTTTGTTTTAAATTTTGCCTTAAAATGCTGTGGTCTAAAAAAACTACAGCAAGGATATAAAATGTGTATATAGAAATAATATTAGCAAAAACATTTAACAAGTTGAATTATATCACACATCAGATAGCTGCCTTGAGAATGAGTAATACACTTATATCAAATGTGATCTTTGAACTCTTCCATTTTTCAAAGGAAGAATTCAATTTATTTCTGTGGTAAATTATTGATGACATTTTATCTCTCAATAAATTTGGATAAATATCACGTGTTAATGAAAAACAATTTTTACAAAAACTTTCTATACTTTAAAATCATTGAACACCACTAATAAATAATGTATAAAACCTGCAGAGAACATTGTAATTATCAAGTACAAAAATTATTAACTTAATAAAAATGTTACCATGATATTACTATTTGTAGAGATCTGAAACAATGTAGGTAGATAAATAAACTTACGAGTAACATCTATTAGTCATAATAAGTTGTTAACCATTAGTTTGAAAAGGATTATGAAATAAAACATCCATAAAGAATCATGGTTATTTTATCACAATTAATGACTTTGGTAACTGAATAATCCTTAGGTCATTTATAAAATTTCTAAAAGTTTTTCAACTTCGTCTTACTGCAAATAAAAATCTGATAGTAAGTCAGTTGACTCACCTAAAGTATACATATTTACAAAAATAAAAAGAACACATTTAATATTTTCTTTGTATATCCTACTTGGTAAAATTTTAAATGAGTAAGAAAACACTATTTTTGACACTTTTTTAAGAGACAAAAGTCTAGTCAAAAAATAAAAACACGCATAAGATAGGAAACGTATGAAGCTGATTATAATAATCATTGTACAGACTGCAACATCTAAACAAGTTTGTGTTTCAGATAGTTAAATCATGTTTTGTAGTACTGTGCTGTACTTTGCTTTAAATAACACTGAGTTGGCTTAAGTGCAAGGGTAGCACTGGGAGAGGTTCCCCATCCACCCTCTCCTACCCACAAGTGAAAAACTATTTTTGATACCCACATGTATTGATTTTATCAATGTTTTCTTCTTAACTCCTCCCATCCCCTCGCATACACACACTCGAACAAAACAATAACACCATTGACAATTTTTGTTAGGAAAAAAAACCTTAGAATTTTTCAAACCCAATTTTTTTCTCTGAATAAGTGGCAAAAAAAAGGCAAATTTAAGCCATTCATTAACATCCTACTCTAAAAAGCATTGCTTCTATAGCTAATATAGTATACATTCCCGCACAATAAACTTACATGTGTATAAAGATAAAATATACCAAAACTATTACTTTATTAAAAGATTGACTAGTATTTTTGAAATACTTGTAACAAATATGCATATTGAAAAAGAATTCAAAATGCTTGCAATAAACTTAAAAATCACTTAAAAAATTGTACACTCCTTATGCCCAAAACATACAAGATGACTAGAAACCTTTTCCACAGTACTATTGCTACCATTACCTCAGGAGAAGACAATTCCTGAAAAATATTAACTGATATGCTCACCATCATTGGATTGATTTTTCTTCTTTTTCTTTTTTTTCTTCTCCTTGTGTTGGGTCAGGGGTACTTTCTTTCCAAGCCTATCATAAACAGATGGACGTGAAGGTACAGACGGCAGTTCCACAGATGCACAAGCTTCCTGAACTATAACTCCTTCAGAGGCAGGGGGACCTTCATCATCAGCGTCCACTATTTCTTTCAAATGCTTCTTCTTTTTTTTTTCTTTCTTTTTCTTTTTAGTTTTTTTTTCCAATACAGAAGAACTTTCTTCTTCCTGCTCTGCTTTTCTCTTAGCAGGGATGGAATAAACTTTAGAAAAATCTGGTTTTGTCTTTGATTTCTTTTTTTGCTTTTGTGCAGATCCTGGTATTTGCACAATTATTTTTTGCGGTGGATTGTCATGTCTGAAAGGTTTTTTTGTAACAACACTGCTGGTCAGTCTATTAGGCACACTTGCATCATCACTATCATCAGATTCCAGGTGGTTAGCATGCTGAAGCTTAGGGTAAGCTGTTGCACCAAGTCTTTCCCTTACTCTATGCTTCCTTGGAATAACAGGGCGATGAGTATAGCTGTGCTTTTCTTTACTAACTTGTACACGATCTAGACTCCCAAAAACAGCATTTGACTTGGTGAGTGTTAGCTGAGATGTTTTGTTTCCCTCCTGCCTCCAGCTTCTTGCAGTCTCTGAATCATCACTTTCATCTTCTAAGTCAACAAGTTTTTGACTTTCTTCAGAGCTTGATTCATTGCCTTTTTGCTCATGAGCTACCACTTCATCTGCATGCTTTGAATATTTTTCCTTAGAAAGCTTTTTGGGGCGTTTCTCAGGGAGTGGATCTTCATCTTTGGACTTTTTTCTTTTTTTTGAGCGTTCTTTAATGCTTTTTAGAGACACTTTTTTTGCAGGATCAATTTTGATCTCTGTGGTACTAAATTTTTTCATACGAGCTTCAATTTTTGCTCTTTCATCAGGTGTAAGTTTATTCAAGTCTAACTGTGGTATAGGTGGCTCATCTGATTTGGTCTCTTTAGATTTGGATCTGTTATTTCTTTTTTCAGATTTGTCTCTTCGTCCAGGACTCTCTTTACTTGATGATACCTTCTTTTCTCTGGATCTTGACCTATTTAATCTAGAGTCTCGATTGTTTCTTGTCAACTTTTCCTTTGATTGAGATAAAGATTTGGATTCAGAATCTCTACTGTATCTTTCTTTCTGTGATCTGCTGTCTAAATGTCTATCGGTGTAACCCTTGCCCTTAGCAAGTCTTCTGTCATCTCTAGCAGGGTTTCTTCTGTGAGGAGATATCCTAGGAGAATTTTGTCTAGGTGATTCTGATCTATTTGTTGGTGTCAAAGGTTTTCTTAAGGGAGAAGATACTCTTCTTGGTGGTGATAAGGGTTGCCTTGAAGGAGATAACCGTCTTCTTGATGGTGATACAGGTCTCCTCGATGGTGATGCAGGTCTCCTCAATGGTGACGTAGGTCTTCTCGATGGTGACAAAGGTCTCCTTGATGGTGATACAGGTCTTCTCGATGGTGACACGGGTCTCCTCAATGGTGACACAGGTCTCCTCGATGGTGACAAGGGCCTTCTTGATGGTGACACAGGTCTCCTCAATGGTGACACAGGTCTCCTCAATGGTGACACAGGTCTCCTCGATGGTGACACAGGTCTCCTCGATGGTGACACAGGTCTCCTCGATGGTGACACAGGTCTCCTTGCAGGCGACAAAGGTCTTCTCGCAGGCGACAACGGTCTTCTCACAGGCGACAACGGTCTTCTTACAGGCGACAACGGTCTTCTCACAGGAGATAAGGGTCTTCTAGGTGGAGATTTTGATGTTCTAGGTGGAGATGATCTTTTTATAGGAGAAAATGGCCTTCGCAATGGAGGTGAGCATCTTCTTAAAGGTGACTGTTGCCTTCTCAATGGTGATAAATATCTTTTAGGAGAAAAATGTTTTCTTGTTGGTGAGAGCGGCCTCCTGGGAGATACTGATGCATTTCTTGGAGACCTTCTGGGTGGTGATACATTTCTTCTATCAGGAGAGACTGACCATTTTGTTTGTGAAGGTTTTCTTGAAGGTGATTTTGATCGCCTAGGAGAAAAGGATCGCTGTAATGGTGATCGATATCTATATGGCGAAGTATAGTGTCCACTAGGAGATTGAGGTGACCATTGCTTTTGAGAAAACTGTCTCTGCGGTGAAGAAGATTTTCTGGGAGACACTGTATAGGATTTTGGTGAACAAATATTAGGAGAAGCAGATTTTCGTCTTAGACTGCTAGCCCCCTCAGGTGTAACTGATCGCTTAGTAGATACAGGTGATTGAGACCTTTTTGATGACCAAGGTGAATGATTTCTAGGTGATAATGATGTGCGCTTTGTAATATTTTGGGGTGAAGCTTCCTGTGAGATTCGATCTGGTGATAAAAATCTTTTGGGTGAAGTTGAATTATTGAGCAGTAAAGATAATCTATCTGGAGAAGTGGGTGTCAACTGTCTTGATTTACTTTGAGTAGGGGATGTTACTGGGGAACTTTTTAAAATTCCTACTTGAAAGGAATCACTTTGTTCACCAGTAAATGGACTTTTCACACTACTGGTTTCTAAATTTAAAAAATTTCTGTCCTTATCATCACCCTCTTCTTCACTAGAAGAATCACTAGAACTCTCAGAAGATGAGGATGATGAAGATGAAGAAGATTCTGTAAGATGCTGAATTGGCAATTCCTCTGTATCTTTAACAGTTATTGGTTCCAAGTTGTCATTAATTACTTCCTCTTTACTAATAGTGTCATCTTTTTCAGGGCTAAATGGTTTATCATCAGTATCTAGAAGATTTTCTGCCAAATCATCCAGTGATTGTTCTTCTCCAGCTAAAACATCTAGATCAACACTTTCATTGTCACTGTCAACAGTATTTTCTGGAACTGATTTTAGCAGGCTGTCTATTTTTTCCTCTTCATTGTCTGAAAAATCTAATTTCCGAACCTCAACTTCATAAGAGGTCTCTACAGTTGTAGGTTCTGGGACATCTACTGCATGCTCTACAACACGAGTGTCACAATCTTGTACATTATCCATCCAGTCGTCTTCATCATCTTCACTACCACTGTCATTGTAGCGGCTAAATTTGTCTGGAAGAACAATTGTACAATAGTGATATTTATATCCTTAATTTCATTACACATTAACCAATTAACAAAGCCAGCTCATTGTTAGCAATCAGCATAGGAGATTAAAATGCAAGATATATTTGGTTAGGAATGAGATTAGTGTGACAATTGATATAGTCTAACAGAATTACATTTATAAAATTAAGAGAGCTCTACAATTTGGTTGGAAGACAGGACCCACGACTACTAACCCGAGAATCTAGAGTATGGATACTGGGCTCAAATCCTTAGGTGTCCACCCAGCTCTAATGTGTGCCTTACATTAGGATAAGCAAAGGCAGGTGAACATAGAACTGACAAGGTCACAGAAACAGGTGAACTCTACCTCATTAACCCCATTAGTCGACAGATTCAATAGGGTTATTTCAAAAATATATATATTAGTAACAATTTTATATAATTTGCTGAGCAAATGCTAGTCGATTCAAATTTTCAGGGAATTCAATGCTAGACTGACATACTAGCTAACATATTAATTTAAGAATAGCAAATGCATCCTTTTATGTCATAATTTTTAGATAATTTATTTAGCTGCTGTTATCTTTAAATGTGAAGCATCATTACATCACTGGAATACATGTGTAGATGTTCAAACAGTATTAACTTTTAAGAAGTTTACAGCTTGCCATTGAACTGATTAATTTAGAGAAACAAATCTGCCTGGGGCTGCTAGTCTATAAGGTAGCAGAAAAAATTAGATACGGTTAGGAAAAAATTGTAACTGGAGTTATTTCAACTTTTTAAACAAGTAGAAGTAACGAACAAAGAAAACATTTGAAAAATACCTCGTGGCTTAGATTGTGGTGAACCAGTATGACTAATCTCAGTCATAGATGGCACAGCAGGGCTAGTAGAATGGTATTTATCTTGTGGTAGTATTAGCTTGGGTTTGGCATTTGTTTGATGGGGTGGTTGACTGTTAGAAATGAGTGAGGTGGTTTCCACTTGGCTGTCTTTACGAGCCTGACTTTGAGGGTTAATCACAATCAAGTTACCAACACCAGAGTCTGTGTCAACCAATGGCCCTAAGCCTCTTCCCCTTCCAGTTTGAAAAAACCCTCTGCCTCTTTCTGTAACATATCCTCTGCGTGGATATCTTCCTCTATCATTAATAGGACGTCCATCTCCAAATGATCTGTGATGAACTCTGTTGAAACCCCTTCTGTCTGATGAAAACCCACGTTTATGGAATACTTTATCCCCAGGTCCTTTAACCTAAAAAACAAAATTAAATCTCATCTTTTAAAAGTTATATTTACTTACTTGAAAGTTAAATCAGATACATAATATACATTTTAATATTTACATTATTTCCACAAATATACATTAAAAATATAGTGTTTCTTAAGGAAAATGATATAATTTCAAGCTCCAAAACTAAAAATAAATTCCAGGAGTTTTCCAGGAGTTTTAAATAAATTCCAGGAGATTTTAAAATTATGAAAGTATTAGTTCATATGAAGGAAAATGTTATAGACCTAGACCCGATAAGCTTAAATTAGAAGGGGTCTAATTATTTTAAGCGGTGTTTTGGAACTACTTGAAAAAACATTGGAGTAAAAAATTACCACCTTGATAATAAGCAAACCACATCATTATTTTACTTTTAGCCTAATTGTAGTAGTAGAGTCAGTAGACAGCTTTTACAATATGTCGCCGGTATATCCCCCACCTCTCACAAGAAACGGTACAAAGGTCGCAGTAAACTCATTTGAGGTCAGAATATAGTAGGCCTAGAGTGCACGTCACAGCAGGAATAACACTGCTATTTAAGATTGGCCATGACGTCATTTTTATTTTTCCTAAAACAAGCTGTATCGAATACAAACCGGGCTCGGCTGATGTATTTTTTCTTCAAAGAACGGCAATATTTTATAATAGATCTACTTTTTAAACATTTTTTTGCTAAAATATTTAACTGAAAACATCAGTGGAAAATTCTGAATTTTGAGAGTTTTTAAAAATTTCATGAGAATTCCTGGAGGTTTTTTTCAATTCTTTAAATTTCAAGAGTTTTCCAGGACCTCCTGGAATTTCAGGAGGCCGCATGAACCCTGTCAACATAAATCAGCTGTAGTCCAAGAATGAAACTGTTAAAGAGAACATGTAATTGGAAAAAAAAAGAACAAACCCCATTGTTGAAAACAGGATGCCATGGTCTCGCATGTGGATGAGGCAGTTGCGGTCTAAGTGCAGGTGGTGGTATAGAAACATCAAGAGGTAACGTTATGTCAGGTTCTGGCAAAGGCTCGGGTTGGTAGTGATACTGGTATAATAAAAATAAATAAACAATGCATTTCAACTTAAGACTAAAACACAATAGATGTAATATTTCATCAGTAAAAAGTATTAAGTGACAAAAAAATGCTTAATACTGAAACATATATACTAATAGTATTGATTAAAATAATTATCAAACACAGCACATAGTTTTCTCCCCCAAGTAGTACTTTTTATACAGCTATGATAAAACAGATTGAGATATTTTAAAAGTACAAGATGATAAACAGAAAGTAAAATAATGTGTACCTCTGATACAATATCAGCACTAGCTGGAAATTCATTCCAATGCAGACCTTGTTGAGGCCGAGTAACACCTGATATAACTTGCTGAATAGGCTGAGTTTTCTATTCAAGATACATGATTTATCACACAAAGTTGAAAAAGTTATAAAATAATATTGTAACTTTAAATAGAAATTAATCTCTTAAATTTCTAATTGATAAATTAATCCATTAAGAGGTCATCCACAAAAAATTGGTATTTTAGCCCCCTTTAATCTCTCATCTACTTTGGCAAACAATCTTCACCCATTCCCCTCTTTGGGTATCAACTTTACATAATTTTCTAAAAATACAAGTACAATATACAAAAGCATTAACATGAGATGCATTTGTGTAGCTTGTTATGCTAAACATCTGAAATGTCTATTATTATATACGAGCTGACCCGCTGTGTATCATACGCCGCTATTTAGTTTTTTTTCTTTCTACTTTTCAGTAATTTATAATTTGTGAATTCGACAGTACCAATGCTGCCACTGAAAATATTTGCTTAAAAACACTAACACCCCCCCCCCCCCCACGTGAAAGCAGCCTCCTCTTAGTTACCTCCTCTAAGTTTAAAATCGTTTCAAACTAAATTATCTGCCCCTAATAGCCGTCACCAAACCCGTCTCTATGATTGTAAAATGTAAACAGAGTGAACACCGCTCACCAGATCATGTGGGGGTGGGGTGGGGTGGGGGTGGTAGTGATAGAGAGGAAGAGAGGGGACTGCAAAGGCGCGCTTGCAGCTTGTTTTCTAACTGATCCCAGAAGAGAATTATATATACGAGCTGACCCGCTGTGTATCATACGCCGCTATTTAGTTTTTTTTTTCTACTTTTCAGTAATTCATAATGTGTGAATTCGACAGTACCAATGCGGCCACTGACAATATTTGCTTAAAAAAACTAAACCCCCCTTTCCCCCCCCCCCCCACGTGAAAGCAGCCTCCTCTTAGTTACCTCCTCTAAGTTTAAAATCGTTTCAAACTAAATTATCTGCCCCTAATAGCCGTCACCAAACCCGTCTCTATGATTGTAAAATGTAAACAGAGTGAACACCGCTCACCAGATCATGTGGGGGTGAGGTGGGGTGGGGGTGGTAGTGATAGAGAGGAAGAGAGGGGACTGCAAAGGCGCGCTTGGAGCTTGTTTTCTAACTGATCCCAGAAGAGAATTATATATACGAGCTGACCCGCTGTGTATCATACGCCGCTATTTAGTTTTTTTTTCTACTTTTCAGTAATTCATAATGTGTGAATTCGACAGTACCAATGCGGCCACTGACAATATTTGCTTAAAAACACTAAACCCCCCTTTCCCCCCCCCCCTCCCACGTGAAAGCAGCCTTTTCTTAGTTACCTCCTCTAAGTTTAAAATCGTTTCAAACTAAATTATCTGCCCCTAATAGCCGTCACCAAACCCGTCTCTATGATTGTAAAATGTAAACAGAGTGAACACCGCTCACCAGATCATGTGGGGGTGGGGTGGGGTGGGGGTGGTAGTGATAGAGAGGAAGAGAGGGGACTGCAAAGGCGCGCTTGCAGCTTGTTTTCTAACTGATCCCAGAAGAGAATTATATATAAGAGCTGACCCGCTGTGTATCATACGCCGCTATTTAGTTGTTTTTTTTCTACTTTTCAGTAATTCATAATGTGTGAATTCGACAGTACCAATGCGGCCACTGAAAATATTTGCTTAAAAACACTAAACCCCCCTTCCCCCCCCACGTGAAAGCAGCCTCCTCTTAGTTACCTCCTCTAAGTTTAAAATTGTTTCAAACTAAATTATCTGCCCCTAACAGCCGTCACCAAACCCGTCTCTATGATTGTAAAATGTAAACAGCGTGAACCACAGCTCACCAGACCGTGTGAGGGGGGGGGGTAGGGGGTGGAGGCGATAGAGAGGAAGAGAGGGGACTGTAAGGCGCGCTTGCAGCTTGTTTTCTAACGGCTCCCAGAAGAGAATTATATATATAGATAGATTTTTGGTAGAATCGGGAATGTGTGAAATAAATTAAATAAAATGTTTTTAAGTATTTGTTTTTTATTTTAAAAGCTTCTTTCTTTACCACATAAAACAATGAGCTTACGCAGAATATTAAACTTCTTTATTTCTGCATGGTAAGAAAAGTGTTATTTTCTGCATGGTAAGAAAAGTGTTATTTTCTACAGTATTATCTAGAAATAAAACAAGACAATGAGCTCCCGACCTTTACTTCTGTTTCATCACTTACAACAGAGGTATTACTTTATTTGGATACTGCTATTTAACTACCTGCTTCATTTGTTTTTCTTTAAATTACAGGCATTGTGTTTAAAATACATACATTTTGTATGGAACATTAAATGTTTTGTGTGTGCTGTATGTGAACACTAACATGGACCCGAACCACTACCCCCCACCCCTCACAAATGGAATTTTTCTGATCCCTCCCCTTTCAGTCTGGATGTCTTAAATGGATGACCCTAGAGGATAACGTAAAAACTATCTGCCCAGTATGCCATTGTATGTTTTTTTCAAATTAAATTTGAAAGCCTCCTCTTTCATAAAGAAATGAATAAAAAAAACACTTGCTGGTTTAAGGGTTGCCAAAGCTGCATTTCTAAGAGCTTCAAGATCATCATCCTATTAAAAGAAGATCAATGAAATTAAACAAGAAAGTGAATATAATTTTGTTTTTAATTTTTATAAAATAACTATGACTTTAGTTTATTTACAGGTGTAGCAAAATCAGAAACATTTCAATTAAATTCTGATCTAATAATTTTAATATTAAATTTACTAATAATATTTAAAATGTCAGTATTTAATTACATATCAATATAATATTAAATTCTATAAAATAATCCTTTGACAGAAGTAGATTGACAGTCTTAAGTAAAGAATTATAAGCTTTCTATTTGTACATAATTAACATGCCATGCTTTTTAAATTCAAAGAGGGTAAGTATACCATGTTACAAAAACTGCATTCTTAACTAATAATTCATATTTTCACTTCAAAAAATGAAAAAAATATCAACAATGAGGAAAGCGCAATGCATTCTATTTTTAGATATGACGCGACATGACTAATAAATTTAGCCAAATGATTGGATTTTAGCACGGCACACATTTTCACACACTGTTTTTTTGCAAAAGGTTATAAAATTTATAAAAAATGCATTTAAAGGGGGATCATATTTCTGGCATAGTGACCACATGTACGGACCTGAGAATTATTCCCAATTTAAACAAACAAACCCAGAACCTGTGAAAAGAACAGCCTACTACTAGTACTAGAACCATCAAATTTTGTGTCTGGTTTATATATCTATAGTTTTCATTGGTATTGTTTAAATTTAAGGGTCGGCGTGGTCGAGTCGGTAAAGCTCATGGTTGCTAAACCGAAAAGTCTCGAGTTCGAACCCTCGGGCAGATGAGGCTCGTTAGCTGGGGACAGCCACTCTTCTAGGAGAGACAACTCCAAAATTAAACAACTGCTGCCTTGTAGTTTGTTCTTGGTTGGACAAAGGCTATGGAAGCAAATCCAAAAAGAAAAGCAGGCTGAAATCGGAGTCAATGGCCTCTATGGCGCATAACCAGTTGACACGTAACGCTTAATTGTGTTGGAGGCGTGGTCGAGTCGGCAAAAAGCTCATGGTTGATAAATTCGAACAAAGTCTCGAGTTCAAACCCACTGGCAGATAAATCTCGATCCCCTTCAACATTAATAATTAAGAACGAAGAAGAAGAAGAAGTTTAAATTTAAAACAATAACTAGATCTAGCCTGATTTAGATTTACGCCTAAAAAGTACTAAAAATTGGCAGAGAAGGAAAAAGATTTAAAAGAAATAAAGTTCTCGCACTGGGTTAAAACCACGGAGCGGCCATCGCCTGTTTATCGCTTCTTATAATAATTGTTTGGATGCTTTATACAAAACTACCGATATCTGCTGTACGCATGTCCATTTTTAAATACATCCATGTCAATTTTATTTTTTTTCTCCTTCTGGAAGACGAGTTTTAAAATTTTCTAAGTTTAGGTATGACGTCAGCTGGTGATCCCAATTCCCCCGGATGAAAACAATAGGTACGGGATGAGATGATTAAAACCAGCCAATCAAAGCTTTTTATAACTAGGTTAACTATAAATAGCTTATACATATGTGCAGGACCCTATAAATACTATAGCTAAGGCTACTAAAGCAACCTGAGAGGTGAAATGGGGGTGGCCGCAGCTTGGGTAACGATTAGGTTGGTTTCAACTCACTGCGTAACCAATGACTTAAGCTAGACTAGCCTAGATCTAGATGCTCTATATTTCAAGCTAAGTCTGGAATCTATAGTTTCTAAATTTTTCTGTTGTTTTAAAATATTTTGATCATCTACTTCTAGAACTAGTTTGTGCCTCAATGAGTCTATATACAAGCATGTCAAAGCAAATGTTAGGTTATGACTTGTAAGTGATTGTTACATCCCTTGTGTTACGATTATTATAGTTGCGTCCCTTGAGTCATCACTGGGTCATCCGTGATGTGTAGTTAATAAATTTAATGAAAGTGTTTAGAGCCTATTTGATTTTGCAATCTATTAATTAATAATACAATAAAAAGCAGGTTTAAAAGTGTAAAATATGTACTTTAGTTATTAAAATTAGATTAAAACAAATAAAATACGATCATTACGCAAGCCGGTGCAGGCGGCCGCATGAAAAAAAAAGGGGGGGGGGGGAGTATCGCAAGTAGTGAAGTCACTAAAATCTATCGTTTTAGGTGCGTAAAATCGTCCGCGACTAGTAATGTGAAAAACAGGTGACTCCTTAAATTTTAATAATTTATGTACCTGTTTTTAAACAATTGAATTAAAACTTTTCAGTAATAAATGAGATTGCATCTGTTGGAAACATCGCTCGTCTTCATTTATTAGGGCTACTGAAAAGTTTTAATTCAATTGTTTGAAAACAGGTACATAAATGAAACAAGGAAACATTTTTGTAGGCTTTTTGATGAGAATTACAGAATGATTTTTTTAATTAAAAATGTATCAATAATAGCTAGAACACTAGTAAACTAAGCTAATTTAGCATATTTTAACTTTCTGTGCAAAGTCATTATTACTGAAAAAAATTCCAAAGTCAGGTCAGCCTGTGGCACCCTCCACTGAACGTGACAGAAGGAAAAAAACTTCACCCGTGACCTTCATTAAAACAGAATTTGCTTTTGTTTTTATTTTTATTTTTGGTAAACCTGTGCTTAATCTTACCCAATAAAGGATAAAAATTTGAAAATTAATTTTAATTACTGTTGTAAAGTAAGATAAACAGCTTAATAAACACATGCTTTCTTGAGGGGGTGTGGCCCGGGTGTGGCACATCGCAATTATAAATTTATATTTCTGTGTTTTATGACTGTATTTGTTCACAATCAGCATGCTATGTTTTTAAAATTGATAAAGGGTAAGTATACCAAGTTACAAAAAATTCATACTTTCAATTTAAAAAATAATAAAAACGATCATCAACGAAGAAAGCGTAAACATTCTATTTTTAGGTGTGACATAAAAAACAGTCATAAATCTAGCCAAATGATTGGATTCTTGCGCGGCACACATTTTCCCGCGCCTCGTTTTCACCAAACAAGAATATAATAAAATGGCATTATTACTTACACCCTCAAAAGCATTGTTGTCACCCTAATTATATTAAACAATTCTATTTTTATTTGATAGTAAAGATGTTATAAAAATTGGGTCTAATAAAAAAGTTATTGGATAACGCACCTGCTTTAGTTTATTCGACTTGAAACGCAAGCTAAGTAAGCGTGACTTTCTCTCGGCGGCCTCGTTAAATACAAATAAAGAAATTAGGTCAAAAGTACATCTGGGAATTCTTAAATAACAGACTGAAATAGAAACGGATAGTTCCGATGTCTAAAATTAACGATGGCCTCGTTATTATTAGTTTTATCCCTCTACCGTTTAGTGAAAGCGAAACTGGTCGCCATTTTGAGTAAGCGCATGAGCCGTGAGATGCCACAAAAATGACAAACCCGGAAGCGTTGAACCGAACGGCCTAATTTCTGTAATTTCAAAATATAAATTAGCGAGACTCACTAACTTAAAAGCGTCCTTGGTTGCTAACCAGAACATGGCTACCACACCTTGGCCTACGATCGGGCAATTTTTTCTGCTTTGTTCGAGAGACCACCTTAACATTAACTTTAAAAATAATTATCACGCGAAAAATGGCGTTTTTTAAACGTATTTTAAGCAATCTAATGATGACAAAGCTATTTTTGACAGATTTTTTTTTTTTTTTTGCTTCCGACATTGAAAGGTCAAACGTAAACATGGGTACAGTTTGAGTAGCTCAAAAACTTTAAATAATGGTCTCTAAGGTGTCAAAACTGCATGCCTAGGTCGAGTATTATTAGATTGATCGTTTAGTGAAAATAAATTGTAAATATTATGTTCGCCTTTTAAGAAATCGGCATCGCAAAAAGGTCACTGAAAGCACGTTATTTTTTATTGTGACGTCATCGCTATTGTTACGGAAGCTGTACAGTAGTATCCTCTCGCTGCTTATATAATTGTGTTTTCTTTTCACTTGACACTCTTTTTCAGCTTATTTTGCTAGCGTAATTAGACTAATTAAGCCTAATTATGGATATTTCACCTGACTTTTGGATTATACTATGACTCTAAAAACCCTTAAACCACAACGATCTGTTTTTTTTTTTTTTGTTGATCCCTGGAATTAGATCTAGATCTAGTAGTGAGCGTTGGTCTTTGTGTGCTTACTTAGGCTAATGACTTAGGCCTAATTATTTGTTTTCAAATTTGTTATAGCTTAATTATTTTGTCTTAATTCTTATTGATTTCATAAATTTTAATTAGGCTAATTATAATATTTTCACTGGTCTTCGTTGATACATTTATTAGGCTTAATAATGTTAATATTATTACGATTTTATAGGCCTGATAGATAAATTAAATGATTTTAGCGTTGGGTCTAAGTTTACATTACTAATTAGTACTAAGTAAACCAAGTACGCATGGACTAGGACATGTGTGCTGTGCCCGCGCTGTGGCGGGCGATGCCTCTCTCGCTGACAAACCAGCGCGAGCGAGCGAGTCGTTTGACACACGTGGTCTGTGTCGATGTTTGGAATGCATAGGCATAGGCCTAATTCTCGCTCTCGGGTGATTAATTTTTATGCGCTGACATTTGAAAAATCAAATAGACACACATCTTAATTAAATACATTTAATTTGAACTTTATATTAATCTAGACCTATAATACTAATTAGGGCCTATAACTTGGGATAACAAAGTACTTGGACTAGATTTAGCGCATGCGCACACTGTGCTATGAGTTTTCTCTCGCTGGTTGACAAAAGAACGCAGGCGGGCTAGCGATGTTTGTAATTTGCATATATCTTTGCTCACAGGCGATCATTTTAATGAGATTGGCCTCTTTTTATTTTATAGGCCTAATTAATTGTATTTGATAGGCTAACTTTTCTGGTTGACAAAACTAAGCGAGTGAGATGTCTGTCACGCGCACTGCCCGTGACGCTGTTTAGAATGTATTTCTCGCTAACTTGATGAATTTGAATACTATTGCAGTGTTTTTTAAAATAAATCAAATACTTACAAATCTTTACATTTTAAACTGAGCATAGACAAAACTTTGTAAATAACACACCTGTCCCAAGTCAAGTGAGAGAAGAGGGTTAGATTAATTTTACAATGACATCGCTATATTTTATGAATTGCCCTAATTAAGCATTGCTAAAACACTTACACTAGTTAATAAAACATGCATGGGATTGAATATCTTTAAAAAGATTAGATCTATACTATATATTCTTGAACATGTTTTTCATTAATTTGAATTTAGTTTTCCTTTTTAAACACCCTTCCATTTAAAAAAAATTAAATAAAAATATTTAAAAATTCTAGATCTAGATCTAATTCCATTACGTGATTTTTTATTCTGATGAAGACAGTGTACATACGAATAGAAATGCGGTAATAAAATCAAATGTACTGTGCATATTCTGCTAAAATCAAATCAGCTGCAAGGTCAACCCTGCAGAGTTCGTCTCTTCAGAAAAGCTATGGCGATCTGGTTGTCATGGATTATTTGGCTTGCAATGCTTGGAGTGGCCAATTAATAAAAATCAGTAATTAAGCTCCAAATGAGTTTATTTTCAACAAATTAAGTATTTGATTGATTAGAGATTGATCTCTAGTTTCCATTGGTAATGTTTAAATCGAAAAATAACGAAATTTAATAGGCCGGATTGTTGCTTATATGGCTGGATTGACCTCTGACCCTGAAACGTCACGCGTCGTTTTTTGACGGTTTTTACGTTTATTTTAGGGGTCCTATCCACGACAAATGAAAAAACTGCTAATATCGCAAATTCTCATCATTATTTTAATGCGATATGCTAAATAAATGGACGCCATGCCTGAAAATAACCGAAAAAATCGCCAGATACGTGGTTTTAATTAATACACGCTATTCTTGTCAAGTACTCTTGGGAAAAACTGAACTGCCGCCTTAAACGGCCCAGTACATGGTCGAAACCCCCTGGTACAAATGCAGAAATATATAATTGAGATATTTATAATGAGTAATTACAGTTATGTTGATTCGCCTTTTTTATATCGAATTTCCATATGAGGTACCCATGCAGACATTTCTGTCCGCTTTGTTTACTATCGTGACGTCATTGTTACGCTAGTTACCTCACAGAAACAACTCGTTTTTGTTTTTTGCGGAATGAACTGTTAAGTCTAGTATTTTAATTATAATTCAATTGTAGCGTGTGCAGAAAAAGTAAAATTATGGAAATTATTTTTGTATTAGTAATTTTATTAGTATATTGATTTTTTCTTCACTGTGGGCCGACAGTAGCTGCATTGAATTTAATTCGTGACCGGTGGTTAACCTCGTCAACGCTGCGTGGCCTATTCGTTTATATAATTAGTGATGCTCGTTCAGTGGCCTTTTTCAGAGCTAGGCCTAATTACGGGCGTTTTTTAGACTTAATTGATCGGCCGTTAGCCCTTTTCATTGCTGCGTATTTTAAAAAATGCTCGTTCAGCGGCCTTTTTTTTTTTTTTTGGCGCTAAATAATCTGTTTACGGGCATTTTAAGCGTTTATTTATTTTTTTAAGCTAGACGTAGATCTAGTTTAAAAAATATTTTTTAATACAGCTGGCTGCAGGGGGGGGGGGGGGTGCAAATCGAAAGTTTGAGGGGGTGGGTGCAAATCGAAAACTTGAGGGGGGGTGCAAATCAAAAATTTGAAAGAAAGTTTGTCCCCGGGAAGAGTCGCTACGCCTTTGGGGGGGGGGGGGGCTGACACCATTAAGTGCCGCACCGGGTGACACCCGACCTCGCTACGCCACTGGCTGGCTGTCTTGCATGCCTGATATGTGAACTTAAAAAAAAATGACCGAACTTTTAAAAAAAATGACCAGAAGTAGGGAAGTAGGTCTGTTTTTCAACTGGCTAGAGGTGGGGGGGGGGGGGGGGGGGGGGGGGGAAAGAGAGAGAAGTGAAGACACCGACCATCTCGTGTACGCGTGTTCATGCTATGACGTGTACTATAGGCCTGCTGAACTCACGGTGACCCGCGACCGTGGTGGGATTTTTCATCCACAGGATAGTAAACGTAAGCAAGCAATCACGCGAGTGACGATGTTTGGAGATTTAAAAAAAAAAAAATCACATACGTCATGTTTTCAAGATGAAAAAAAATGTAATGTAAAAAAAAAAAAATACCATGTATGAACCTCAGCTGCCACACTGTTGACTCAATATAATGTGAATTGAGTGTAAAATGTATTTGTATTTATAAACGATCATAACTGTTACTATCATATTATTTTAAGCATATTTATTATTTATTATTTAAAATTAGAATTTGAAATAAAAATATTTATTATGGTCATTTGATTTATGCAGGTGTTCATTACTTCATAAAATGGTATGAATAACATGTAGAGTAGAATTTAATAAATAATAAAATAACTAGATCTAGTTTTATTCTCAACCAGTTGCTTTTTGTTATTTTCCGGTGAGTAAATTACCTAAGCTGACGCAATTACCATGGCGGGAATTAAAAGCTCGTGTACACAAGTCGACGGCGTCATGTTATGCCAAGAACGCTGTTTTGTCATTCATTTTCAATTTTGATTAATTTTCAAATTCTCTCTTTTCTCGTCAACCGAGTAAGCTAGATATTTAAATGTGGTGTCAAATGTTCTCTTAAGGGGTAAGGAACTTAATGGTGTATTTGAAATAACAGAATATTTTATTTTAAAAAATCCATAATTTAACCTAAAATTTAAAATTAGTGAGTATCTCTAATATAAATCCTCCTCAAAATGTGAAATAATTATTAAAATTTAAGGAGTCACCTGTTTTTCACATTACTAGTCGCGGGCGATTTTACGTACCTAAAACGATAGATTTATTAGATTACCATAACTTCTTTTTTTTTCTTAGTCCTGACTCTTGTAAGTCTTGTTCGTTCAACTACAAAAATTCATGTTGATAATGACTAGGCTACTTAAATAGAATAAATAGTTCTAGATCTATAATAAGTAGATCTGTTTGTCAAGTAACATCTGTGTGTTGTGTCCCGAAAGGAGCTGATTATCGGAAGAATACCAAGTGTTTATAATTTATAAGTTTTTGTTTATTCTGCCCATCTTACCTCTAGTTCAGACGCCATTATTCCCCCATTATTCACTCCGGTACTGCTTTTCTAGTATGCATAGATAGAGAGTCTAGGCCCAAGTCTAAAATTTAAAAATAAACAGGTTAGATTAACGAAATAATTTGTATCAAACTAATCAAACAGGCACATCCTAATTACAAAAATGTATCAAAAAATAAAGTAAAACATAATCTAAATTTAAAAAGCTGCGGTAAATAAAATCACCCCTCTACCTCATACAGGCCAACACTTCTTGATAAAATGATAGCCTACTTAGTACTAGCTTACCGCTTCGCGTTTTGCAATAGTGCAGCTTTAGCCTGGACCAGATGTAAAAAAAAAATCTACCTGAACGACTTCTGAACTAACAATAGTGTTTTGTTTAATATTTTGTACTTCTGCTTACTATTAAAAATTAAATTTGTAGATTCTAGATATTTAAAGATAATATTAGTTAACTATCTTATTATCTCAAGCTGCGCGTATATTACTTTAAGGTAATAGATTTCTATTTGAAACTGATGTCTGGCGGATTTTCAAGATTTTAATCTGGCAACCTAAACTCAAAGAGGTAATTTCAAAACAACTTTGTTTTAATAATTTATTATTCGCATCATGATTAAAAGAATTCACAAGATGAACATTCAACATAGATCTAGATTTAGGTCTACTACTACTTTAATCTATTGAGTAATATTCAATAGAGCAATCAGGGTTAGGTCTATAAAGTCACAATAAAGTGAAATGTTAGGCCTATTTATTTTGTATTAAATGTATTTTCCTGCCTTCATTAAAAAAAAATTTAGTTATTATAAAAACAAGGTAATTAAAAAGTCTAGTGACAATTTTAGCGCAATTTCCTTATGTTATCTAAAAATAGCTCTGTCGTAGCGTAAATCAAGAGCAGGGTTAGTAAAACCATTGGTTAGTTATTAAAACGTTTTTTATTAATTTTTTCAGTATTTTACATGTTTTATTTACAATAGAGTTACATGACTAAAAATCATTGCGCGCCTACTGAACGTGATGGCGCAGCCATGGAACGCGATGGCGCAGCTATTGAACGTGATGACGCGTGTGGTTGGAAAAAATGCCTACTAATTCGGTCCAAATTTTAATTAATTCAAAATTTTTTTTTGTGACCGAACGAAAGGATATTTTTGAAAACTTTCTTCGGCAATATTGTTCTAAATTATAGCAGGAATCGATTGGTACATGTTTCAAAGTCGCTTAGTGGTCTGGTTGCCGAGATATGGGCCAAAAACTGCTTTTTTTCAAGGTTTTTTGGCTTTTCCGGGAAATCCGTGAAAGAAACCCGTAATTTTTATGGCCTATGTTCATCCTCGTAACTATCTTAACATAATTGCTTTTGGAACTAGTCATCGATATTGCTTCGTTGAGGAGGAGATACGACTTAAAGCTGCGGACACACATCCATCCATCCATCCATTCATTCATACATCCAGAAATGACGGGTTAATAAACGCAATTCTCCAGAATGGAAATTGCGCTAAAAATATAAATAAATCTAGATCTAGATCTAGTAAATTAATCTTCCTTTTCAGTTTCCCCGGCCTCATCTGCTTATCCTCAAATCTCAATAAGTAACACCCTTGGCCTTGAACTAAGTTGAACTAGTTCATCTGTCTTGTCTTCAAGGCCTAGATCAGACTAGATCTAGCTGGCAGCTTGTCAATAATTATAAAATGCACTGATTATTGATATTATTATTTGATAATTGATATGCTAACACTAACATTGAATGATTTCATTTTAAAATTTAATTCTGTTATTTTCATTTCAATAGGTCTTAGCTGGTTATCACAATTTTGGTTAAAGATGTCTTTGTTTCCAGAACTGAGAGGTCTATATCATTTACGGGAAACTATTGGATCAGGTAAAAAGGAAAAAGATGTGATGGTTTTGTTTTCGCTAGACAATATGTTACATGATATAAAAAAAATTATATTTTCACTTTAAAATTATGTAGGCCTATTTGTTAATTTTACCTCATGTGTTGTTACATGGACCTTCTTTAAAATGTAGATCTATTTCATCATTTAGGAGGCTTTGCAAAAGTAAAACTGGCTTACCATGCATTGACAGGGGAGAAGGTTGCAGTCAAAATAATGGATAAAAGAACACTAGGGGTAGGTTAAATCTCTTGTCGACAAAGGCAAGTTATTTTACATCCTTAAATTAATCCTTTTCTGAGATTTTGAAAGTTTTTCAGAGGAGAAAAACGTAGTTTTAAATGTACCTTTTTTTTGTTGTTAAAAAATGTTATAAAATAAGTCTTAGTCCTGACTATTAAGTTTAAATTTGATGTGATATTCAATTAATGGTGGTATCTGACTTTGGTCATGATGTGTAAGAATTTGACCAAAATGGCTATACAATGTTAATAGATGACCACATTTAAAAAATGCATTAAAATTTTTCTAGCTTAAGTGTGTCAGAAACATAAGTAATATAACATAAGTGTTTATCAATTCCTACTTAAAATCCAGTTTTCTACACTTCTAAAAATATATTTGATCACTTTTTATAACTTTCATTTCTTTACTTTAAAAAAAAAACATGATATTTTTGTTTTAAACAGGCAGAACTTCCTAGAGTGACCACAGAAATAGCTGCAATGAAAGAATTGTGTCATCAGCATATTTGTAAACTTTTTCAAGTAATTGAGACTGAAACTAGATTTTTTCTAGTACTTGAAGTGAGTATTTCATACGATCAGTTAAAAAGTGATACGAATATATATATATATACACATTTAAATATAGGCCTCTCTTTCTCTCTCTATATATATATTTATTTATTTATTTATTTATTTATTTATTTTTGTGTGTGTGTGTGTGCAACTTGACTTTTGTTTACAAGATACAAGAGTGTATATATGTATTTATATATATTTTATATATATTGACTTATTCACCATTTTACAAATTTTGATAGACAGATTATTTGTAATAGAGGGAACATGTGTATATATATTATATACATACATATATGTATTTTGATCCATGGATTTGCACTATATATATTATTATTTTCTGATAGTACTGCCCTGAGGGAGAACTTTTTGATTACATAGTTTCAAAGGATCGCTTGGATGAAGCAGAAGCTCGTGTATTTTTTCGACAAATTGTTGCTGCTGTGGCTTATATCCATGAAGCTGGTTTCGCTCACAGAGATCTAAAGCCTGTTAGTATAAATATAATATTTTAAAATTTTAGTCTAGTAACTGTCAGAGTGGTGTATTTGTCTAGATAAAGAATATTTGTAATAATTTTCTTCTTAATTTCAGGAAAATTTGTTGCTAGACGAAGATCAAAACATTAAACTGATTGATTTTGGCTTGTGTGCCAAACCTAAGGTAAGCTGTAAAAATAAAACAGTTTTGAATCAATGCTGTTCAGTGCTGTTTTTCTACCTTTTGAAGTTAAAATTTCCCATTGTTTTAATATTTTGACAGGGTGGAATGGATAGTTTGTTGGCAACTCTTTGTGGAAGTCCAGCTTATGCAGCACCAGAGCTTATCTCAGGAAGACAATATTTAGGTTCAGAGGTAAAAGTTATTTTTTGTGTGCTCATAATGAATTTTATTTTGCTTTGTGGGGGTATCTAGAATTAAATATGTAACCAAAATCTGCAAAGTTTTAAACTGCATTTACCACATAAATAAAAGGGATTCACAGTTTTTTTATATCACTATGGTCAAAGAGTGATCTCTCCCAGGTTTTCTTGTTTGTACTAGTTAGCATATTCTAACACTTAGAAAGTTATAACAAAATGTTTATTGTTATATTATTTGTTGCTTGTAAAAAAATACAAAAATTATGTTCTAGGTTGACCAATGGAGTATGGGTGTCCTGTTGTATGCTTTAATGTGTGGTTTTTTACCATTTGATGATGAGAATATATCACAGTTGTATAAAAAAATTAAGGCAAGTGAAGATTTATAAATCATACGCGAAGCAGTGTGGCTCAATAAAACAAATCTGCAGGATAGTGTATTAAAAAATGTATTAATTTAATCAATTTTTTTTCCACACATAATTACAATTTTCATCTCAATAACATGCTAATAAACTTTTCACCTTGATATGGGTGGTAATTTAAAAATATATATCCAAGTCACAGTATAAGGTTTTTTACATTTCATAAAAATTAATCTCTTAGATTAGTGTTTTAAAAATATATATAGATAAAAATAATTGTTTAATTTAAACAAACATTTTTGAAAGGCTCTTTTTTTTTTCACCTGAACTATTTTACAACTTTCCAGAGTGGGACATACACGACACCTGAGTGGCTTAGCATAGAAAGCAAAGAAATTATTTCCCAGTTGCTGCAAGTGGACCCTAAAAGACGAATTTCTATTCCTGCTTTATTAAAACACCCATGGCTTACTAAGAGCTTCAATGTACCAATAGAATGGCAAACAAAATATAAGGTAACTGTATGAAGAATCTATATCTCCCACGAAATAACTTATTGTAAAATGTTTTGTACATACTCTTGCTTTTCTTGGTCCCTCAATTAAAGAGCCTTTCTTTTTGGGGGTCTGCATGTTTAGCATGTATGACTTCTTACATTGTAATGAAAACTGTTTACAGCATTTAATTCATTCATGTAATTATTATTCATAGAAAGGTCTTGATGATGATTGTATTACTGAACTAGCTGTACATCATGGTAAGACAAGATCTCAGATGGAAGCAGAGATTTCTGAGGTATTTTAATTTTGCCTCTGTAGTTACATGGTCTTTCTATGGTAAAATCACTTAATGATTTGACTTTAGTTAACACTTTGTTTACATTGATGAATGCTTCCAACTTCTGAATAACAAAATAGTTTTGCATTGTTTTATTTATAATAACCTTTTTTGTGTGACTACAGTGGAAGTATGACTACCTTACAGCCACATACTTTCTTCTTCTTGAAAAAAAAATGAAAGGAAAACCTGTGAGATTGTTGTCTAAAGCAACATCAAGAACTGATAGATCCCGGGTAAGATATTTAGCAGTCAGTCATAACTACCTGAATTCATTCAACTTTGAGTGTGTAATAAATTTATTCCATCTTTAAATTACAAGTGAATAAGAACAGTAACTGATATTTTTTTCTTAATCCAAACAAGTCACGACATTACAGCTCTGAAGAAGATTTAGCTGGTGTTGACTTTAACAGTTCACCATATATATTGACACCCCAAAACAAAGATGGAAAAACAGCATGTCCTCAGACAGATAAAGCACGTGGACGTGTAAGAGAAAGACTAGATTTTAATAATCCTGTAGAGACTGCTCAGAGAAGAGCAGCCAACAAAGATGTGAATAAAATCAAGAGTGAGAAAAATGAAGTCAGTGGAGCCAAAGAAACCAAGCTAGAAAATAAAGCCTCTACACCACAGTCTGTCTATAAAGAAATAGCTTCACCTTGTTACAGCAATAAAGAAAACAGACCTTTGATGGAAAATGAAGCCAAATCAGAACCAGATAAAAGAAGTAAAGATGATAAAAATGAAAATGATAAAAACAGCCATCATAAAGAAAGAGTTGGAACAAAAGCTCATGTTTCAGAGCATAAGGGTACAAAAGGTGATGTGTACAACGTCAGAAATGCAGAACATTTATCAAAGCATCAAACCACTCCCAGAAAATCACCAATAAGACAGACTAATGTCTATAGAAAATCTAATTATTCTCAAACACCTGCTGTAGCAGTTAGGACACCTGGAAGAAGAGAAATGGCTTCAGAGAAAGAGAAGACGCAACCCAAACCAACAGTCCACAAGGAAAACCATTTTGTGAAACCATCCACACCTAAGCCTGGCAACAGTGATGAATTTGTTGTCCCACAGACACCAAGAAGCCGCGCAACCCCAGCTCGCACACCAAAGTTTACTGCTTATCCTTCTCCTCATGTTTCTAAACCTCAAGTCACATCTATGGATGATTCTTGTAAGTATCTATTGCTTATAAAAATGAGTTCATAAATCTTAAGTAATAAACAATATTTACCTTAAAATTTGTGAAGTATTATATTACATTAGTAATTTTAAATATGCTAAAACAATATAATTGCTGATTTAATTTTTTTGTAAAATAAATTTGAATTGTATTAATATTGTATTTTAATTTACCTTTTCAACTACAGATGTTCATGAGAAATCTGCTATAAATAACACATTCTCGCCATCCCGTTCTTATGATTCACAATTAAATAACTTGGGCGTAGAAGATAATCATTCACCAGTTAAAGACTCCTCCAAGTAATTGTTATTTTATTTTTTACCTTTTTCCAATAATTATTCTATTTAATATTTGTAGATTTAAATAATCTTATGAGAATTTGAGTAAATTTTATTGCAGATATTTAATACCTGTTGTGATAAATTGATAACAGTTTACTCATTCAAATGTATTTAGTGGTTGTTTTTATAAATAATGTATCTATTTATTAGGGCTGCATCTCGCTCTGTTGATGATGAACTATATAGGATGCACATGTCCGCCCCTGGCAGTGGACAGAAATCTGCTCGTAAGGGTGCTGTATTTGGAAGTATAGAACGCATGCTCAACATGTTGACTCCCAAAAAGAAAGGCTCTTTAATTGATGGACCAAGAAAAGCTCGAGTATGTACAACACATTTTACTATAAGTTATTTCGTGGGAGATATGCATTCTTCAAGTTTTAACTTTTGTCAGGAATGTGTGTTATATAAAAAAAATATTGTTGATATAGTGTGCGCAGCGTGTTAAATGTATTATTGGTAGAAATATATAAGCAGTTTGCAACTGGTTACTTTGTATAAGGCTTTCATTTTTAGAGTAATTTGGTTGGTTAGGAGTTGTTTGTTTTAAAACGACTTTAAAGCTTATCCTGTAATGTATTAGATCTGTTGGTTTCAATTTTGTTTAGGCTTTACACAATGTGTGTTTGACAAATGAACTGAGTCCAGACCATGTGCTGACTACTCTCAAGAATTCTCTACAGAAGAAATGTATTCCTTTTAAACAGAGCGAGTAAGTACATATTATTTTATTTGTAATTTTAATATTTAAGCGAAGTTTGTTTATTTGTAGTGTTTGACTAGTGGAGTATGTTGAAGAGCTTGATTTTATATTACATCTTAACAAACAACAGTGCTCTTTATTTCACTTCACTAATAAGGTCAAGTCATAAAATCAATGCACAAAGCTTAATATTGGTTTTTATAAGATGGTACTTGTTTTTGTTAGAAGTGTAGAATTTACCTTCATATTAATATTGATGAACTTTTACATATACATACAATTTTTTTAAATAAAATAATTTAATATCAACACTTATTAACACCTTCAGCTACTCACTTCGCTGCACTGTAATGGATGATTGGGGCCACACTAAGCTCGCTTTTGACCTGGAAGTCTGTGCATTACCTAAGAACTCCTTTTTGGGTGTACACCGGAAACGTGTGAAGGGTGATTTGTGGTATTACAAGAGGTTGTGTGAGGATATACTTCGCACTTCAGGATTTATTTAAAGATTGTTATTATAATATTTATTTCTATAAACTCTAAAAAAAAAAATGTGTGACTTTTAATAATAAATAATAAGTGAAAAATTAACTTAGAACTGCACATTTCTGAGGGAAAAAACTGCATGGTAAATTCTTATTTTTTTAATCATTTCTGTGTTATTTTAAGCTTTAGGCCAAGTTGTTTTAATTTTCAAAGTTTTTAATACTTTCTCCTTTTCTACAATTCAGGCAGCATACAAGTTTCCACTGAATTTTTTTTTAATCACAAACTTTGCTAGGTACAGGATGGTCAAATCAGTCCCAGGTTTACCCAATATTTTTCCTGTATTCAAATTTAGGAATATTTACATTAACTTTTTACATGTCAAATACTTTTCTTACGACATTTATAATGTGTAATATAATACTATCAAGAAATGATTGTCGAATAAAGGTGTGGGACCATGTGGTATAGCACTCAATAATTAACCCCCGTCTCAAGGGAAGTTCTCAGACTGGAGACTGTGGACATTTTAAGTTCACCCAGTTCTAATCATTGAGTTGGGGAAAGTAAAAGCCACAGGCTTAATACTGACCACTACTTCATCTGCCCCTGGACCTTTTTGTCTGAAAATGTACTTCACTTTTTACAGACACTATTAAAATAATTGGCACAATGTGTGCAACTAAATCATTTCAGAACTTTTTTATTGTTTCAGTGTGTTCAGAAAATATTAAAATAATTGTCCTATTTATAATATAATTATCTTAAATTGCAAAATACTTAACTTCCAGTTGTGTATTTTATCAACTAGAAAACTTCAAATAGGTCTTTATACATAGCAAAGGTTAGTAAACAGGGGTTGTGCAGAAATGACAACATTCATCACAGTGTTTTTTCAAAGTTTTAACTGAGTTCTCGCTTGCTGGCAAAACCAATTGGCACCTTGGGAGTAGTGGCCTCAAATCATATCCGTCTTGCAGTTACAAATACAATTTATTCATAACTTTTTCTCCTTTAAACATTGGAATAACACTGTTTAATATTGCTGTTTATGCATAGTAATTATGTGGTAAAATAGTTCATGCATGTAAAAAAGCAACAGTGAACTTACTTAATAATATTAATAGTTTGTATTTCATATAAAATGATGGAATGTTTAAATTAATGTATATTTGTGTAATGAATTGAACTGTAATATAACTTATAAGTAGTTAGTAGGAAAAAGTATGTATTATTAAAATTATGTACTAATATATCTATTGCATGCTTGTTTGTTTGTTTTTTGTAACCTAAAACAATCTTTTGTTGAAGCAACTATTCTCATAGATAATTATAAACTTTTTTAACATCTCAAATTATCAATAGTCAAGAAAACAGATGTCACATTATCTTTTGGACAATCAAGGAAAATATAATTTTTAAATGAAAGTTTTGAATAAAATAAATCTTGCATAAAAATTAGTAAGTAGTTTTTTATATATACAACTGTATTATGATTCCTAGCTCATTTAATGTACAGCACTCCTTGCTTTGCTAATGTTATTTCCTAAACTACTTTTTACTACGATTATGATACATTTTTCTGTTAAATATGCAAACTACTTTTCCTATAAAAGTGTTGTGACTCATTTTTACTGAAGTGTAGCTTTTTAAACATATTTTGTGCCTTAAAACTTTTTGTAATGCTACTGTTATTAAACATGTTAGTTAATAAAATGCGCTCCTAATCAATATAGTCTTGTTTTATTTATTAGCTCTTTTCTTTATAAATTATGATTTTTGTTTGTCAATTATCTGTCAGATTTGCTGTGTAAAAATTTTTTATCACACAAACCATTCATTAATATTTTTTTATTTAGTTTTACATCCATTACATAAAAAAACTTATGTAGAATAACTATTTTTAAAATGTTATAGTATACATTATTTATTAATTAAATACTTGTGTTAAAATACCCAAGAACGTGAATTGTATATAAAGTTACTCCTCACTTATCCATTTCCAAATACACAGGTCATGTAAAGTCCTTTTGGTGTACACATTTGTCATCAAAGATGTTGGACAACAGCCCCAAAAACCTTAAATACCACATCCAATTGCAATGATAAAAGGTGTAATTTGTGGCAAAAAATTAGAAATATATCTAGGTACATGATGTATTGTTTTTGATACAGCTTTGAAGCATAATGTGACATTATATATGTTATATAATTTTGGATATATTAGTTCAAGATCAAACTCAGCACCAGTTTTTCAACATAACTTTTTGAAGATAATTCATTCTTTAACATCACATGCATATGTAGAAAATGGGCTTATATACAAGCTGTATTTTAAAGTTTTCTGTTTCCTAAAATGCTGTATGACAAATACTTCATACTTTTTATGGCACATAAAAATATATATAATAAAAGATGGTATCAAAAAATCATAAATAAAGAGACCAATAAAAACATTGAGTAAAGTCATTCCACCATATATAGTGGCAAAAATTACTTAAATGTATCACACATTCAATACTTTGCTAAACAATGAAGGCCAGCCACATACATTTAAAAATAATACATGGTTATTATAAAATAAGAATGTTCTTGTATCACAGCATATTAAGATAATTGGATTAAATGAATTTGAATTCAGAATTTAGTGTCTGTAATTATGTGATTAATTAAGCCTTCCTGTCAACAGGGCTTCTGTATGGCATTCCTATATATTCAAAAATATCTTCTTCACAAGTAACAGGTAACGGTTCCCCTGGTACTCCTAAAAATGTACAGCATGTTAGTGATAGAATTTCTGAACACCTAGACTATAAGTTATTATATTTTAAAACTAATTTGTCATTCATATACAAAATAAGTCATCATGTGATACTTTATTATAAATTATCAGCAGTTAGGGTCACAACCTAATGTATCATTGTTCAGGCAAGCATGCTTGTTAATGTTTTCTAGTATAATTATTTATGTGGTTATCAAAGGGTCATTTAAATCACAGTACCATAATTTAATGTATTGTGATTATTATGAATGATATTTTGCTAAAGAGCACTTGATGTGAGCTACCAAAGTTGCTGATTAAAAATACTCTCTAAGAGTTTAAAAATAACTAAAATAAAATAAAAAGTTTACCTGTGCTGCCTAGTGGTCTGATTGAATATTCATTAATAGTAAAACCTTGTTCTAAAGCTTTACTTCTCATAATTTTATTGAAGACGTCTGAACCAGTAAAAGAGAGCAATGCACAGTAGTACTGGTCATGTGGAAGAAGCCTACACAAAATTTATTTCTTGATTAGTATAAAACTGAAATAAATATGATTGTTAATGACAAATGTGCAGCTCAATGATAACTATATCAGTAAAAAGGGGAGATAAATGTACAAAAATTGCTGGGTTTAAAAAAAAATTGAAGTTATTATGAATAATAAAAAAATGATTATAATGTAGATTTTTTTTTTTTTAATTTATTTCCACTTTTAAAGGCAAAAGTATATTTATTCAATCAAGACAGCACGTAATGTTAATGTGATGTTGCATTTACTAATTTCTAAGATATATCATGTTAATCTTCTTAAAAAGAAAGAATGAGCCAAAGTTTAGTATGTTTATTGTGTACTTAAAATTTCTTTAAAGCAATCTACAAATACAAACTAACCTAAAGTCTATTCTCCTGAAAGAAAATTCTTTTCCATCAGCTGAAGTGGGCAGTCTACAAACACCCTACAAAATAAAAAATATACTATTGCAACAAGTTTTAATTCCTTGCAACAAATTCATATCAAGCAAAATTTATTCCAGTTATTAATATTATTATTTTTATTCCTATTCCCAACACAGCTCAAGGCTTCTAAGTCCACTTCTGGAGTAGTCTTATCTGGTTCATTGATGTGATGTAACTATAGGCACATGCCTTGAGGTGATTTAACAGAATTAAACACTTTTAAACAGACTTTTCTCTTGGAAACTTTTGATTTAGCTCTTTTGAACTAGAGTGGTTTGATATTTCTGTGGGGTTGGTTGATATTTCTAAGCAGTTGGTTGATATTTTAAGTGGAATTTACTGAACTCTTAACTCTAAGAAACTGATTCAACTTTCTGGATTTGTTGAAAATCTTTGAGGTTATTGAATTAAGCCTTTTTCATAGCTGAATAATTTGAAAATGCTTGAGCAATTCAATGTAATCATGTTGATAGATCTGGTGATAGATCATCTTCCTGCTCCCATAATATTTCTTGAAGGCTTTTGTGTTCAGAGTTTACACATTTTTATTTCAACTTCAAGCACTTATTGCAACACTGTCCATCTTTAAGTAAGTTGAACACATCTCTCAATAATTGGAATCTGTTGAAAGGTTTGTCGACTTTAATAAAGTAACTGAGATGCCAATCCTATATGTATTTGTATTTATGTCTTTATTTCCAGTTTCTTGACTGAGAAAGCTTGAGCTAAATATTGAGAAATGATCGAGTCCCTAATTAATAACTGAGCAGGACTAATAATAATTAACACTTTCAATGCTGGTGTTACTACAGAAATGTAAAACAATCAAACTTTTACTAATTACTACATAACAATACACAGATTGCACAATTAATCATTTCTTACCAAAAATTTGGAATCTCCATGTGATAATGTGTCTGTGATAAATTTAATTTGTTGAAGTTTTTTTATAACATCGTGCAAGTAGACAGGCTGCAAAAAAATTATGTGGAAGCCAAGTTTATAATAAATTACTAAAATATTAATTTTTAAAAATTCTATATGCATACATGTGTACCTTATTTTTTGATGTTGTTGTGAAGTTAGGGTGTGTTAAAAGAAAATCTATATCACCACTACTTTCAGCACCTGAAAGAAACAAAATCCTAAATGAATAATACAACAATATAAAAACATGTTGAAGAACCTTTTTATTAAAATAGTTATAAAAGAACTATTTTAAAATAATGACAGGCTTATATCATGTAAACTCTATCCTAACTTTATAAAATCTCCTATTTCTTCCAAACATATCAAAACCCTAGGTGATCAACCAGATCAGTTTTCAAAAACTTAACTACAACTAGAACTATACTTTTAAGATGTATGAATGTGTAAGTCTCTTTAATGCTAACCTCTTCGAAAACTTCCACACACCTTGACTTTGTAATTGTTGTCCATTTTAAGTATTATATCTTTGACAAAATTCTGTTTGAAAATGATTAAATTAACATAAGTACCCTTTCAAACCTTACAGTACATGGGCAGGTGAAGTAGAGTTCATCTGTTTTAGTAACCTCTGCAAATCAAGGGATAGTATGGTTGGCACTATTCCCAGCCAACTTTACTTTACGGTAAAAGCTTTTGTAAATAACAAACAGATCTACTACAGTAGTGATGTTATACAGTAGCTAACACATGATGTTGGGTAAAAAAAAGATGTGCCTGAGCTGTAGTGTAAAAGATAGGCAAACGTTCAAAACACTTCCGTGACTTATTTCTCTTTTTTAAATAGTTAAATAGGGGTGCTCATAAGCTCCTTTTAATATATTTGTACTAAAAAAATTAAAAAGCAATTACTTCTCTTAATTATTATTTTTAAACAAATACATACTAAAGAATGACATAGCATAAAAAGGAAATATATTTAAAACAAATAATATAAATACGAAAAAACATAAAAATAAACATAACACAAGAAACCATTACACATACAAAGCTTCCACATTTTATATTCTTTTGACCGGCCAAAACTAGAGGGTAAGTGGTATTACAGCAAACATATAGAATAAACTAGTTTTAAATCTAAAAAAAAAAAATCCAAATTTGAAAAAAAAGACTTTTTTTTTTCTTCAAAATCCGATCAGGCAAGAAATGAGTATCCAATGTTTTTGTTCTGTGTTTGTATGTAAATATGTATGTGTATATATATATATATATATATATATATATATATATATATATATATATATATATATATATATATAATGGGGGGAGGGCCAGAAAATTTTTTTTGCGGGGTGGCCCTTTTTTTCTAGATCTGCCAATAACTGTCACTGATAATTGTTTAAGTTGATTTAAAATATCTTTGTATTTTTGATTTTTTTAAAAAGCTACATTGGTTCCAGCTTAGTTTCAGTTTGATGGGACATCATTTTTAAGACTAGGAAAACGTTGAAAAACCAGATCTTTATAAAATTTATGAATTTGTAGAAAACATTACAAATGTGTTAAAAAAATGCATTCGTTAACAATGTTTGGAAGATATGCATTCATTTTATGAAATTAATACTACTCTTACTTTTATTTGAATCATTTCATCCCTTGGTATTCGTAGCTGAAACTCTTCAAAATACCTGGTGTGATCAACAACAAGAGTTTAAAAATTTTAACTAAGAATGTTTAATTTCTTTTAAATTGTTTCTTACATTCTGTAGACAGTACAAATAATGGACATATTATTACTCTGCTGACAATAAATAAACTGTAAACAATCAAAAATATAATATATTTTTATAATCATATTGATTTCAATACTAGTATTTTTAAATTATTAGCAAACATTACTTTAATGTACCAAAGGTCTTTGCAAAAAAAACAAAAAAACAGGTTGAGATTTTACATCTACTTTGTGGACATAAAATTGATTTAAAAAATTATATCAACTTACTTGACTCCAATCTTTTGTTGATGATTCAGCTTATCTAAATTTTTTCTTAAATCTGTAGAAATTATACAACAAATTTGTTTAATTAACATTAGCTCACTGACTAATTCAAATTGTATATTAAATAGGTTTCTACCATGTTGTAAATATGCTCAATTAAATATTAACATACCATGTTATTACATTCCTATAATAGTAAATGTTGCTTAAAATTTTAAAAAATTGTGTTTATAAAGACTTATTATTTTTGCTTTACCTGCAACTGACTTAATACCTTCTTGGACAAAATCATATGCTGTTTTAGCCCTATAATATAATATGAAAAGTGTTAAGTGTACTTTAGTTACCAGTTTTAAAAATAATCAAGAAAATCATTTTATTTTTAGCTTCAAATTTAATTATAAAAAGAAAGTAAAAATGAAGTAAGATATTTGACTTACCCAATGCCTGTAACTTTAGTAAGTTCACTTATTGCCATGTTTGTTTCATCAACTCTAATCTAGAAAATCATCCAGATTATTTTTATCACTTAAAAAATACTTTCAATTGATATTACCTTAGGCCCTACCTATAAATTGAGTAAAATGTAAGGGGTTGTCCAATAATGACACCACCCGTTGGGGAGGAAAGGGGTCAGACCTTTTGTGCTGATGGGGAGGTTGAACAAATGTGATGTAACATTTGTACTCAGCAGACCTAGCCATATCACTATTTCTTTTTTTTAAAAGGGAAGCAACTCAGTATTTTGTAAAAAAAAATTAACCTAGTTTGGTGTGTAATATATCTTATGTTTTGTAAGAATACATGATCTTCAAGGGGTGGAAGAGGATGTGGGGGGGGGGGGGTAAAACCAGCAAAAAAATGCCACATTACCTTCTCAACTTTATCCACTTTTCCACATTTTATAAACTCATCAATTTTTTTGCTAATTTTTATTCCAATACCAGCCTGAGTAATAAAAAAAAATAAGTAAATTTGTTGTTTGGAGGAGCCTATCCATAAGCGCTAAATATTAAACTGAAATATAAAAACAGAACAACAAAAAATGAAAACGATGTTACAGAGTAGATTATGATTTTCAGTTTGCCACATATTAGGTAGATAGAACTTAGAATTAATAACTGGTTAAGAACCTTAATTTTCTAAATACAACTTTTTTTTTTTGGGGGGGGGGGGGGGAGGTTTCAAATAAATTAGATCTATAGTTTAAGTAAATATTTTAAAATGTAAGGATGTCTGATATAACATTGCTTTAAATATTTTTAAAAATAAAAAAAAATGTTTATTATTTAAATCTATTTATTGAGATATTTTTTTTCGAATCTTTTTAGCAAATCAATCATGACTCACTAGTTTTTTAGCTTCAGCTCCACTTTTTATCCTTACAGGATGCTTTGCAAGCACACTTGCTGCTTTACGATACACATTATATTTATGAATGGTTCTTGTCACATTTTTTTCATAATATGCCAGTTCTGTAATGAATGCATTAAAGAAACTATATAGATCTAGCTTGTAAATACATTTCGTGCAGCCAGATACATAAAATTATTATATACAAGAAGAGCATTTATTTCTATTGTGACTTATGTTAAATAAACTGCATCAGATATCAAAGCAATTATGTTTTACCCAATAGGAATTCACAAAAATCTGCATTAGGATTATCTGCTTCTCCTCTCCGCTTGCCCATTTTTCATAATTTTCTATTAGAAAGCAAAATAAAAACATAAAAAAAAAATAGGATGTTACTGCGTATTGTGAGAGACTTGAAGCAAGAACCCAAACCTCTTTCTAAAGTCTACCAATAACAATTATTATAATATATGCTGATAACATTTGGAATCATGCACTATTATTATCTAGAGTTATTAATTGTGAATGTATAATTCTATACTTAAAACAACTAATAACGTTTAAATTATTTAAATCTGTAAATTAATGAAAATGTGTTAAAATTAATTCTCTTATCATAAATAATAAATTCATAATAAGCTATTATAGTATAGTTAATACATTTTATCACACTCATTTTAGTTTAGACTCTATAGAATTAGAATAAAAATAAAATATCATTTAATATTCATTTGTTCTTGAAGAAAATTATTAGCTATTATTACAATTTGAACGTTTGGATTTTTTTTTTATTGGTAACCTTATATTATAAATGTATCTACAATAATCTACATTATTTAATATTATTTTACTAAAAATAAATAAATAGAAAATCACTAGGCTATATTATAAATTCTATTTTAAATTTTTGTTTTGTTTAAGTATTCATTAAATTTGCTTGTCCATGTATAAAATAAAATAATTGAATAACACGACACATAATTATCATCATTAATAATTTAACAATAGCACATTTTAATTTTCTTTTAAATTTATTTTCATTTATTTTCTATTTAGTAAAATCAATTTAGTTATATAACTTCATTTAATAATAAAATATTATTAATATTATATTAATAAATTAGATTCACTAAGATTCTAATACTTAATAATTAAGTTAATTAATAATTAATTGGGGGCCTGTGAAAAATAATTAATATAAAAAATTGTAAATACTTTAATTATTAATTGATCTAGCTAGACTCTCAGACTGTTAAAATTAAACAAGGTGAGAAAAAAAAAGATTGATTGAAAATCGAGAAGTGTTATTTTAATAAAAAAAAAAATAATTAAGAAAGCAAAAACTGAAAAACACCTAGATTCTAGATCTAAGTTCAGCTCTAAGTTTTAAGTTGTTTTTTTTTGTTTTTTTTTTTTTTTTTTTTTTTTAGTTTTGATTACTTTTTAGTTTAAAGTTTAAAACTCATAATTGTGTAATAATTTGAAAATAAAAGTATGTATTTCTAATAGATATTGCCTTATCAGCTTACTATGTTTTCTTTAGGGGTGAAAAATCAAATTTAGTCAGCTCTTAAAATATCGTTAGTAGATCTAATTATTTATATATTTTTCCTATCTTAGCTTTTCCCGTTGTTATGTGTAAACAGTTTTTAGGTCATACTAAAATACGAGAAGAGGTCCAAAAAAAAAATTAATTTATTTACAAAATTTAATTTTTTTTTCAAAAATCCAGATCCACTTTAGATAGACTTACAGTCCGTGTTTTTTTTCAAGTTTATGTTTAATTTTATAAAACAAAAGTATAATTATTAAACCTAATATTGTGTAAGTTATGTGTTGAGCTTCTTGCTTAAAAATATAAATTGTACAAAGAAATAGTAAAACAAATTACTAATTTTAGTTAAAGAATGTACATTATGTAGCATTAGTAATCAATATAAATGTTACCAACTTAAACTATAGTAATAAGAATAAGACTGTGGCTCTAAATCTGTAAATCATATACAAAAGGTATTGAAACAATAATTTTCATAATTTAACTTTAACAGTCAACAATATTCTAGTTTTAGCTTGTTTTACAAATCTATACTATTACTAGAAAAATAGAATAACATTTACCTTCTTCAACTTTCTTCTTTTATTCAGAAAAATTAGTTTTGTTTTATTTAAATGTTCCTTTAAGATAAATTACCATTACTACCCAAGTAGAGTATAACACAACCTCAAATGTACTGCAAATCTTTGCCATTGGTTGATCATCATACAATCCACTCTATGTACTAAAATACACAAGAACAACACATAATTTTTAGACTTAAAACAGATCATACTAACAGATCAAAACAGCACAGTTGTTGGACATTATGAAACCTGTACCTGTTGCGTGGCGCCAAAGAACACAGAACACATCCTGTAGGACTGTAGCATGTACAATCAGGTGCCCCAATACACCCCACTCAGAGAAAAACTAATTGGCATGCCCTCAAAATGGAGACCACCTTACTGTTCTTCAATGATGTTAAACTTGTTGTCGAACTTCTCTGATATAAATAATATTAAGAACGAGAAGAAGACTAAAATAGTTAAACTAGATACTTGTTATAATGATTGCTTTATTTTATCTTTAGTAAGGAAACAGCGTTTATTAGTATTAGCATATTGAAATACGAAACCCAAAAAATTTTAGTTTTTTACTCAATGATTTTTTAAAACTTTTTTTCCAGTTTATCATTAAATTAGAGAAGTTACCTGAACATATTTTACTTTCCTTGTTAATAGGTCATCCATAAAGTAATAAAGCACCTCTCATTTCTAGTATAGAAGGGAAGGGATGAGGCATTCACACATTACTAACCATTTGCTAAGTGGGGTGGATGTTTAAAAATATGAACTAGCATGAAGTTTGTATTTCTTAAATATAAAAATGATATAAAAAGTGCTAAAATTGAGTGTTGCTGAAAGTCATCACCCTGTGTTGGATGAGCATTTGAAGGGACTTGAATGTTTCTCAATATACTCTAACTATTAATGTTTAATCTACAATATTTAAATAGATCTACCTACTTTTAGCTAAAACTGTAAGAAAGTGGAATAAAATTACAGGGGAAAAGCTGCAACATGTGAGAGAGAACAATGAGTTAAAAAGTATTTGTTTATAAATATTGGTAAATTTTATCAATTTTAAAGGAAATAGATCTTGAAATTGTGAAAAATGTATTTTACTTTTAAAAAAAAATTAAATTGAGTGAATCTCTAAGTTTACTATTCAAAATGACATGGCTCACAACTCTGAGCAATAGCTTTCTTCCACATCCTGGTTTTCCATGCTGATCACCATGCAGATTTACACAGATCTCTTTCTGTGGCAATCTATATATATAATTCTCTTCTGGGAGACGCTAGAAAACAAGCTGTAAGCGCACTCCCTACCACCCCACCCCTACATGGTCTGGTGAGCTGTGGTTCACGCTAAATGTTTACAATCATAGTGACGGCTATTAGGGGCAGATAATTTAGTTTGAAACTATTTTAAACTTAGGGGAGGTAACTAAGAGGAGGCTGCTTTCACGGGGGGGGGGGGGGTGGTGGGGGGTAGGGGTTGGGGGAAAGGAGGGGGGGGGGTAGTATCGTTCTTAACGACCTACTGATAGTGTTTTAAAGCAAATATTTTCAGTGGCAGCATTGGTACTGTCGAATTCACTAAATAGCGGCGTATGATATGCCGCGGGTCGGCTCGTATCCAATAAATGTGTAAGGTTAGCAAAAAGAGCTTGTGAAGTTACAACAGAAGATTTAAGCCTAACTTCTTTTACAGGTAACTCCAAAATTGACACAGTGTTGCTTAACATTTGTACCAATTATGTATGATTTGCTGTGTATTTTATTCAGCAGCAATTGCCATGCCCCAATAAAGGCAAAACTATAAATTCAACTTCCTCAAGATTGAATTTGGCATGTTTTTATTTAACACAGACTAGATTACTTAAAACGCAATGTCAACTTTTAGAACTTTGTCACAATAGTCTAGTTACACAAAACATCAACGCTCATGCAATAACAAGAGAATTATATGAGCTAGATTTTTTTTAATGACAAAAATGTGGATTTAATAATAATCATTAAAAAAGTTTTAAAAAACCCACGTTTTCTGATTGAACTAAAAAGTAGAAAATAAATGCTATAGGCCCTACATCACAATAATGCAAGCGATCACTCTACTATAAGCGATGAAAAACGTGGGGCGCCGAAGTAAAAGTTATATTACTATTGATTAGATAATACTATTGACTTTTATTAGGGAGCTTGTAGAGAGTCAACAGTATTAGAAACTGTAAGAAAATCACGGCGCCCCACGTTTTTGCTCGCTTATAGTAGAGTGATCGCTTGCATTATTGTGATGTAGGGCCTATAGCATTTATTTTCTACTTTTTAGTTCAATCAGAAAACGTGGGTTTTTTAAAACTTTTTTAATGATTATTATTTTCTACTTTTTAGTCTTTGTCTGTTTGTTTGCATTAAAATCTTGCTATCGATTTTATCTTTTCACTTTTTTTGGGTAAACGAAGACAACTCGTAAAAAGACAACTCGTAAAAAGACAACTCGTAAAAAACACGTTGTTTGAATACGTTACTGACTAGAACACATAGATTTGAACCCGTGTCGAGTGGGATAGCAATCGTGTGCCCAACCACTCGACCATATCGTCTCCCCCAAACTGGCCTACCTCCTGTAAGTTTAAACTCGGTTCAAGCTAAATTCTCTGCCCCTAAGCCTGTGGCGACATGTGATCGTTCGCTTCACTGCGCGCGAGGTACGCGTCGCTGGTTTTTTTTCTAATGGCTAGCAGAGGAGAATTATATATATAGATTATATAGCGGTCTAAAATGCTCAATAAAATGTTTCCATTGATCAATTTAGTAATAATAACAATTGAATATTCAATGGTCATCCAAAAGAAAGCTTCCCTGAAAATTTCAGCGCGCTAGCTAACTGGGAAGTGCCAGAAATTTCGATCGCAAGATTTGATTGGAAAGACAAACAAACAAACAAAGACACAGAGAAAGCAAGTTAAAGAAAACGTGGGAAAAAAAAAATCAGATATAAAAATCAGAAATGTAATTTTTAACTGCAAAAGGAAACTAAATGAAATTTAAAATTTCATTAAGTGCAAACAGCTATTTAGATGATATATATATGCCCCCCCCCCCCCAGCATAAAAAACCCCTGATAAAATAAGAGTCTATGAATATTCACTACTTTATTTATTTTCTAGCAATTAGCAAGTTTAACTTTCCAACTTATTTTTTTGCTGAAAAACTGAACAATAATTTTATATTAAACTAACCCTTTGAACCTGTGAGTCTCTGGGGTATATGAAATAAATTTTATCTCTTTCTTCAACCTTGGTACAGGGTCCATAGCCAAATCCCAAAAGAAAATTCAAGGCTTTTACAAGGTTTTCAAGGTGATTTTGGGGGGAATTTCAAGGTATAAACTACCACTAACGGGCATTACAATGAGGGTGATGTATGTTTTTTGCACACACAATTTTTGAAATAATTTTGGTGTTATTACAAAATTATCTGTCAGGAGATTGTCTGAGAGTCCAGCATAATCCCTTTTGCAATCAGTATCTTTGGTGTCAAATGACACTCCTCCAACTTCTTTTTTCAGAAAAACCTCTTTCAACACTGGCTTGACCATGTGACAGAAGCAATAGATCTCTAACAATTTTCCAAATGTTCACATAAGAAATTTTGCTACCAAGCTGTTCTATGAAAAAAATGTCCAGCCTATCATGTTCTCAATTAGATTTAGATAGACAACCATTTAGAGTACATGTATCTATGAATGTTGAAAATTGAAACAGAACTTGGTCACACTCAGCTGATTCAGTTTCCATTTGTTGACTAGGATGTGAAGAATTCCCTTCATTTTTTTGGTGAACTGGCTCTATTTTTAAACATTTGCATTAGGCTAAGTCTCTCACTAATGACTAAAGTAATGGAGATTTCAACAAAAAATTTGATGAAAATCCTATCAAAGTTTTCTTACAATCAGATTTGAAATTGAGAATTTGAAGCTCACTTGCTTTTTTTATTTTTTCTAGTGACTTTATTAGAGAGTCAGCAACAAACCCAACTTCGATTGAATGACTTGTCAATGTCAAGTGATAATCAGAATCAGGTCATTATACATAAAAGGAAGCATTGGTTCGTTTGTCTGATAGTCCTTTAAAAAGGACTCTGCACACATATTCCTTTAAAAAGGACTCTGCACACATATAGAAACAAAAAAAAAAACCTAGCTATGCTTGTAGAAATTATCCTGCTTAATGTCATAAATGACCTCACGCTTTTTAAAAGATTATTACCTCTCCCCCCCCCCCCTCCGTCACACATCACAAAAAGCCAGGCCCCGCCCTCTAAAATGACATCACACCTCAGCCTATAACCCCTCCCACACCCCCCCCCCCCCTTGATTGCAGTTCAATTTTTCTTAAAATAGGATTTTTTCCCAAAATCTTGTCTGAACTCTGTCAAAATAGAGTATTTTAATCAATTCCTTTTACAATTTATTAAAACAGTTTTCTAAAATGCTAAAATTCGTTTTCTAACATTGCTTTTTAATAATGCAAAAGTGTGATGTCACACGATCTGACCCCCCCCCCCCCCCATCCCCTCATCACACACCGTCACACGATTACGGATCCCCCCTCCCCCTACGAGTGTGACGTCATTTATGGACGACCCCAATGTCCCCACCTATGATATACATGATGACGTAAAGAAATATCGTGTAAGTTTTAAGTTAGTTCATATCGCGGAACAACAGAATTAAGTTGTTTTTTTTTTAACAATTTCACAAGTAACTACACAAGTAACCGTAATTCCGCAGCTACGTTTCGCCCTTTTGTGTTTAACCCACACCGAGAAAATTTAATTTAAATAAATAGAAACCAACGCTCGCATAGTTCAGGCTATTCTTTTTTTTATTTAAACCTAAGGCTTATTTTCTTGAAGAAAAAATATTAGTTCTAGATGTAGGTTTAATTATAATCGAGATAATTTCCATGCGCGACCAGAATTTTAATGATTTAGGCCACATTCCAATTTTTTTCTTTACGGACATCACCGATCGGGAGACAACAGACCACTCGTTCGTAAACGGAGATACCCGAAAAACGATGCTAAATTTAGCCCTCGGCTATCGTTTACGTCACGATCTAGAATCTAGGTTAGGAAGAGCCTATGCAAAACTGGTCAGATTGAGGTCATACCGCGAGGCTCAGCGAAGGAGAGGGTTGGAAATATTTGGCAGGACTTTTCTTAAAAATTTTAATACACTGGTTTGTCAAAATTTTAAATCTGACCACTATTAAAAATAGTCATTACTGAATGAACAGCAAACAAGATTAATAAACTGCTTAAAAAATACCTTTGATTAACTGACTTAGAAAAATAAAAAAGTTCTTTTGAAAATTTGTTGTTCCACATGTAATGAAGTGAAGTAATGCCAAAAAAACAATAGTGCATATTTCTTCTTCACTAATTGTTTCAGTTAACAGTTACCTGCTTCTGAACTACCTAAACCAAATCTTTTAGTCCTTTTCTTTATTAAAAATAACATGTTAAAATAGCAGAATGATTAAACAAACCTCAAATCAAGTCTTCGAAAAGGATACTCCTTCCCATCTTTATCTTTAGACAATCGACAGACTCCCTGTACATTGTAGTCAAACTTTAAAAACATTTTTCATATTTTTGCAGACATTAATTGTGATTTTAATGTTGTTCTGTTCATTTAGATAAACAGTAAAGCAATGTCTATGATTTTCTAACCTACAATTGAATTTATTTTAAAATTTGTTTTTTTTTTGTTGCATGAGTTATTTCAATATTTGCAGTTAAACATTGAAGAAAAAAAAAGATTAATTCAAAGGCAACAGTGTTAAAATATTTGTATTTGTAAAGAATAAATTTCATTAAGTCAACTTCTTTATTTATTTTTATTAAAACTGTAATGAAAGTTACACCACAAAATCTAGTGCTTTAAGAAATATATGAAAAGCTTTAGTAAATAAACTTAAAAAAATAAACATTACCATAAATTTTGTGTCCCCGTGAGATAAAGTATCTGTGATAAGTTCTGCTTCTTCCAGCTTTTTAATGACATTGTGCAGAAGATGAGGCTGAAAAATTATTGACCAAACAGTCTCAGTCAAAAACCTAATTATATCTTAAGTAATTAGATTTTGTGCTTTGATTTGGATAGGCCATACATTAAGGAGAGCTGCAACAAGTCATTACTAGACAAGGATCAAGAAAAAGAGGGTGAGCTAAAAACACCTGGCTTTGCAATATTTAAAAAGACATGAAAATTGTTGGGAAAAGTTGGAAAGAAAAAAAATAGCAAAGGAACGAAAAGCATGGGAGGATGTTGTAAATAACCTATTCTCAACTGGGAGGTGAAAAAGGCAAAGAAGTATATGTGCTGCTATAAAATATCAAATAAATAAAGAAGTCAAAATATGAAATACTTGTTTAATCAGTTTTTTTGTTTATTATACAGGAATTTTGAAATAAGAGATAAAATTCTATTCCTACCATTTTTTCTGAAGTAGAAGTGAATTTAGGATGGGTTAGAAGAAAATCAATATCTCCACTACTCTCAGCACCTTAGCATAGATAAATAAAAGTGTACATTTAAATATTTTAAATTATGGCATTTTTATTATGTTTATAAATTATTAAATTATATAAATTATATTCTTTATTACAAAATCAAAATAAATAATTAAAAAATTGCATTTGTCTCACCTCGTCTGAAACTTCCACACACTTTGACTTGATAATCTTTATCAATACTAAGTATAATTTCAGTGACTTTGTCCTGCAGAAATTTATGATCTTTAAGAACTGTTTCTTCAATTCATCTATTTTAGCTAATAAATCATACATTTCTAGAAAAAAATTGAAGCTATTAATGACAAAATAAAACAATCCATTGTCCATACGATACAGGGATAGTTTATTTAGAATTACTTAATTATCAAATATCAGTTAAATAATATAACTTGTTTACTAGCTTTCAAATATTATTCCTAATTGTTTTTTTTTTAAATGTAAACATTCAAAATAATTAAAAAAAACAAATTCTACCTGTATTTTTATCATTTCTTCTCTTGGAATTCTTTTTTCAAAGTCTTCAAAATGTCTAGGGAAATAATTACAGGGATCTCACTTCAATTAACTTTTAACTATGACTATTTCAAATAAAAGCTAAGTTAAAATTTCAATTTATAAAATTATTTTAATTGTAATGCTTTTTGACTCTTACTTTAGCCCAATCTTTTGATGATGATTCAGCTTATCAGTATGTTGTTTCAAATCTGGGAAAGTTTTAAAATTATCATGCCGTTATGAGAAACAATTGTAGCCGAAGTTGTATTTTATGTCATTCACAAAACAATGAAACAGTTAGTTTCATATTTTATGATTTTACAACTGTGTAAATAGTATCAACATTCTTTCCAATTATGTGTCATTTCTTAATAAAGTTACCCTTTTGAGCAAGATGAGAAATAGTTGTACTGAAATGGTGTTCATCTGTTTCTATGACCAAGGCATATGAATCAATGAATAAAGTGCCAATCTGCCTTCTTTCCCTAACATGAGCTGCTGCTTATTAAACAGTAGCAGTAATATTTGAAATATCATTCAATATAGTGTGAGAAACATTACCTGCTATTGACAAGATTCCTTCCGACACAAATTTCTGAGCAGCTGCTGGTCTGCAATTTTTAAAACCAGAAATAAATAAACACACACAACTGCTTGTTTTATGTATAGAGCATATACATGTGTATAGAGCATACACATGTGTAGCTTTTATTTAGAGCATATACTGTGTATACATGTGTAGCTTGTGTATGGAACATATACATGTGTATAGAGCATATACATGTGTAGCTTGTGTATAGAGCATATACTGTGTGTATGATAGAGCATATACATGTGTAGCTTGTGTATAGAGCATATACATGTGTAGCTTGTGTATAGAGCATATACATGTGTATAGAGCATATACATGTGTAGCTTGTGTATAGAGCATATACATGTGTAGCTTGTGTAGAGCATATACATGTGTAGCATGTATTGGGATATAAAATAACAATAATTTAAACAATGAGTTTTTAAAACTGCAAGCTATGATAAAAAAAAATTAAAGGGGATTTACATACCCTATGCCTGTTACTTTGGTAAGTTCATTTATTGCCATATTGCTATCATCTGCTCTGATCTGCAAGCAAGAATGTAAAAGCAAGCTCTTCCTTAAGCACGTTTTATTAAAAAGGCCTATATAGATCTACAAGTTCAATTTTTAAAAATCTTATTTACTACAGAAACCTTGTCAGGAGTGTACTCAATAAGGATGGAAGGATAGAGAGAGGAACATTAGCCACCTAACTTTTTTGTAGCACAGCCTTTTAGCAAAATGCCTACATTAATCAATTACTAAGTAAAATGACAATAAAACTATAACCTTACCTTTTCTAGTTTTTTAAGCTTTCCTGTATTGATGAACTCATCAATTTTTTTAGATATTTTTTCGCCTATACCATCCTGTTTAAGTTCAATAACTTTTAATATAACTAACCAACAAAATTATTATTGAAGGTAAAGTTTAAAAAGAAATTTTAAAAAAAATTATTTCTCAAGAAAAAATAATAGTGAATATAAATAAAATGTATTTACATACAAGCTTTTTTGCTTCTGCTCCACTTTGTATTCTCACAGGATGTTTAGCAAGAACACCAGCAGCTTTACGATACACATTGTATTTATGAATAGCCCTTGTGACATTTTTTTCATAATTTGCCAATTCTGATTGTATAAATTTAATAAAATTTCATGTCAGTTGAAATAGTTTTTGTAGCATTTATGTTATTAAATAAACTTTTTATTGTATTTATTATTTAATTATAAAAAAGTAAGCTTAATCAATTAATGTTATAAATTTAAAACTGCTTAATAAAAAACCTAATGATAAATTGTTATTTATCCCTTTATCCTGAAAATAAGAATACTTTTTAAATGATTAATCACTTTTAACTTTCACCCACAAAGAATATTCCAAACAATTCAAACAAATAAAACATATGGTGACCAAAACATACCCATCAAAAAGTCACAGAAATCAGAATTAGGATTGTCCGTTTCTATCTTGCGTTTACTCATGGTTTTAAAGTCAGTTGCTAGTTACATCACTTTATTAAAAAGTTCTCTGTATCTGAAATAAAGTGAACAGAGGAAGAGTGATAAATTATTTATACAATACAATCTGAAGATTTTTTTTCAATAATTTTTACATATAAATTAATATTAGAGATTATTTAAAAACTAAAAAAAGTGGGGACCTTGTTTTTGGGAACCATAGACTGGTATATAACTTTTTCATTTTCGCTGAACAAAAAGTTTGTTAAGCCTGCAATGCTAATTAGTAGACTGTTCTTAATTTCAAGATGGGAAAAAATTCTAATTAAGTAGGCTAACTACTAGGTCATTTAATTTATAAAAAATGGGGGTTTTATAACGTGCCAACTGGGTGTGCACAACTAAAATATACTTAAATCAGATACCCTAACTGATAACTCACTGCCCTAAGCCAGGTTTAAATTAATTTATATTTATATATATATATATATATATATATATATATATATATATATATATATATATATATATATATATATATATATATATATATATTTATATATATATTTATATATATATATTTATATATATATATATATATATATATTTATATATATATATTTATATTTATATATATATATATATATATATATATATATATATATATATATATATATATATATATATATACAATATATATAACATGACGCTGGCGGTAGTGTGTCAGTCCGTCATCGCTATGTTATTTTACTCTTTCGCATAATGTGAATAAAATATTAAATACACGCACATTGCTAAAACATATTAAACGGATCAATGTCAAATAATACTTTCGATTAGATTAATAGAAAAATCTGATACATTTTAATAACAGTAGGGTAAAAAACTAATTGATTAAAATCTTTTATAATTTTGCCAAGGGAGGTAATTTAAAAAGAAAATTAAACTCACGCTAATTAAAAAAATGTGAATGCAAATTCTGCAGACGTGCAAGAGGACATTATTGTTAGAAAATTATAATTATCATGGATTGAAAAAATGCACTGTGGTAGGTAAAATACAAATATTTTAAATATTGCCTTTTGTTTATTTTATGGATCAGTTGGGGTGTTATAGTCGTTTACTAAGTTAAATCAGGCAGTTCCGCCAGCACCCTGGCCGGGTGCAATTTAACGCCCCTCGCTAGACTGAGCGCTATGTGTTTATGTTTGCATATAAGTTGTTTTTATGTTATGCATTGTCGTTATCGTTTGTGTTTTTTTTTGCATTTGAGTTTGCACTGGGTTTGTGTTGTGTTTGTGTTTTCTTTTGTTTTTGTGTTATTTTTTGTGTTTTTGTTGTGTTTGCATTGTGTTTTCTTTTGAGTTTGTGTTTAGTTTTGTTCTGTTCCCAAGTTGGTATATTTTAAAAAGATTCACCCAGGCGGAGCACGGGTATGCTGCTAGTATATATATAAAAAGGCCTAAATATTATTATTTTGTAATATTTAGGCTATAATTTGTCTGTATAATATTATTAGGCCTAGATAAAGTATATAATAATGGTTGTGTTATAATTAATTTATAGGCCTGCCTAGTCAAATTTAATAGTAATCAGTGTTTCTTCCAAACTTTTTTCTCTTTATATGTTTTTTTATATAAAGTCCATTTTGTTCGGGGGGGGGGGATAGACTATCTTTGAGGGGCAGAGCCTCTCTTCCCCCCCCCCCCCCCCCCCCCTGAAGAGATTCCTGGAAGAAACACTGATAGTAATAGTGATAATTTAATAAGTATATAAGACATTACAAGATAATTTATCGTTTTTAGGTAGATTACATAAATTTGCCTGAAGCTAGTAATATGTGGAGTAGATGTAACTAATGAAAAAACTTTAACATGAGTATATTTTCTGATATTTTTTAAAAAATATATAGATAATTGAATAATATATCATCATCAAGGGTAAGGGCTCCAGAAAAAAATCTAGAATCTGCTTCTTATAGTATAGTTAAATTTTAAAAGTAGTTGATACTTTTGTTGTTGAAGGCTTTAGGCTAATTTACTAGATCTAGTTGTAATTTACTAATTTACTAATTACAGTACAGTGTGTATCTGATACTGCACTGAGTTTAGAGTTTAGTTAAATTTAGAAGCAGATCAGTGGTACTGATTTCCCCCTTGTTTCTCTGATGCCTGAGGGTAATAATATTAATAAACTTTTAAAGCTTTTTGTCTGCTATTAAAAACTACCGGTACCCCATTCCCCACACTGCAAGAGACGATGGAGAGGTTACTGTGAGGTCACAGTAGACCAGTCTAATACGTCATGGTAAAATCACGATATAGCGTCGGTTATTATTCCGGAACTGTACAGCAGTAAAAAACAGTAAAACCATGGCGTAGTCTGTCGAGCCGTTCCGGAAACCACCGAAAATACTGTAAACCATCATTTATTTGCCGCCATATTATTTTTAATACATAATGTTTAAAAATGTGCAAGGATTGATTTTAGTTGCATTTTAAATACTGTTTTGCTAATTATTTTGTATTTCTAATTATTTTAAGTGTATGTGCTAATTATTGCTGCTACTAAACATTATTCCAGTTATTCTTACTACTTTCTTTAGTTAATCTAATCGTCTTATTATTTACTAACAGAACTAGAGCTGGCTGTCGCAAATCTTCTGCAGGTTTTTTCTGTTTCTTAAAAAAAATTAATTACTACACTCGATTTTATTAATAATATTTAGATTTTCTATCTGTTATTAATTTTCTGTCAATTAAACTGTAAATTAAGTTAAAACATTAATTTAATGTACTTGACTTTAATTATTATTTCACCGGTCAAATAAACTATGATTTACAGTAACGAATGTTACCGAAACTCAACGAACATTACCCAATAATTTCCGACGCTATATCGTGATTTTACCTACGTCATAGCATGAACTGTACTGTAACTTTTGCCCCCCCCCCCCCCCCCCCCCCCAATGATGTAGTAAATAAGCAATCAGGTTTCTTCTGCGATCCAGCGAAAAGCGTCATACCACAGCGTAGACCCGTCCAGACTTTTTTAAAGTCTGAAATTCAATTTTCTAAATTCCAGACTTTTCCTAGACTGCGTACGAACCATGTTAAACAATGTTTAGGTCTAGATATCTAGATCTAGATATAGTAACAGAAATATTTAGCAGAAACACTTTAATAACTTAAACTAGCAATACGTAAAATGGTACTCACGATATATAGATATCTAGCGTTGGAAATAATCTGGTAAGGTTTATGAGTTTATGTTTGTTAAGTTTTGGTAACATTCGTTACTGTAAACCATAGTTTATTTGACCGTTGAAATAAAAATAAAGTCAAGTGCATATTAAATTAAGTAATTTAATGTTTTATTGACAGAAAATTAGCAACAATTAGTAAATCTAAATATTATTAATAAAGTCGAGTGTAGTAATTAATGTGGTAAAACATTAGTATAGCGTTGGAAATTATCGGGTAATGTTTGTTGAGTTTCGGTAACTAGAGTTACGGTAAACCATGGTTTATTTGACCATTGAAATATAAATAAATTAAAAGTCGATTGCAGTAAATTGTTACAATTTTTTAATTTTAATTGACAAAAGAAAACAAGAATAAATATAATAGTAGATTAAAATTAGTAGATCTAAAAATAAAAAAAAATAGTAATATAAATATAAATAATGACGTCAAATGTAATAATTTAATGTTTTTTGGCTTGCAGCGGATTTGTGACCATAAATTAATTAGATCTAATCTAGATCTAGCTAGCTGCTAGGTCAAGTAAAAAAATCTAGATTACGAAAATAGTAAAAATGATCACAAAAATTAAAAAATGATTACAAAAAGAGTAAAAGTGACTAGAAACAGGGTTCACTATTTTGAAAATGAAACAATACCTTTGTAACCACACCATTATTTGTGCTTATAGCTGAGAAACTTTTGTCTGCTATTAAAAACTACCAGTATCCCCCCCCCCCCCCACACACAACACAACAAGAGACGGTGGAGGGGTCACTGTGAGGTCACAGTAGCCCAGTCTAATACGTCATATCATGAACTGTACCGTAACTTTTGTTCCCCCCTCACCTAGCCAAACAGCACCATCTACGTACTTGGGGTCACGGTGAGTTCATACAAGTTTAGATATCAGTGACCTGAGTTACTATGAGGGGCGGGTTAGTCTAGCCCTAAACGTTTTCACGGTCAGTCAAGCAACAACAACAAAAACATGTCTTACACTCTCCCCCCCCCCCCTCCCCCAATGACGTAGTAACTCTAAAATCAGGTTTCTTCTTCGATACCCAGCGAAAAACGTCATACCACAGTGTAGACCCGTCCAGACTTTTTAAGGTCTGGAATTAATTTGTCTAAATTCAAGACTTTTTCCAGACTGCGTACTAACCCTGTTAAACAGTGTTTAGTAGCAGAAATATTTAGCTGAAACACTTAAAAATAACTAGTTATATAAATATTAAGTAATAAAGCAGTATTTAACACGCAATTAAAATAAATCTATACAAATTTTAAACGTTCTGTATTAAAAATAAAAGATGATGCCAAACAAAGTATGGTTTACAGTACTTCCGGTGGATACCGGAACTGTGTGACAGACTTTGCCATTGTTTTACTGTTTTTTTTTACATTCTGGAATAATAACCGACGCTAAACTAAGGTTTTACCACGTTCTGTATTAAAAAATTAAAGATGACGCCAAATAAAGTATGGTTTACTGTAATTCCGGTGGATTCCGGAACTGTGTGACAAATTTTGACATTGTTTTTTACTGCTATACCATACCGGAATAATAAATTAATAACCGACGCTAAACTAAGGTCGCTAAATTAAGGTTTTCACCGTTTTACCCATTAAATTTTAAATATTAATTCATATTCCAACTAAAAAACTATTGCAGGCTGTTGAATAAATATAGATCTAATAATATATACTAGGCTATATAGAGATGGCTGGAAGAGAGGTTGCCCGAGTTGTGAATAGATGCAATGAAGCAAAAGAAAATGAGAATAAAATTCTTGGTAAAATAAAATTATGAACTTAATCTAGATCTAGCTACTAGCTAGGGCTAGGCTAATTTTATAATTATTTTAGTGTTGTAGTTTAAAAAAACCACTTAAATAATATTTTTAAAAACTTATAATTAATATAATTAAGCCCAATTAAAAATATTCTCCAAATTATTTAGCTAAAATTTATTTAGGACCCTACAGCACTGTATCTTATTTTAAAGTTTAATTAATTAGTAGTAGTAATTACAATACAAAAGCAGGTTTAATTTTATATCTAATATAGATTTCTAAACGTTTAATGCAGGGTAGGAAAATAACTTATAAGTCATAAGGCTATTTACTTTTTCATATTTTTACTGACAGATTTATCGCAATGTGAGATGACACAAATTCCAGATGCTGTGTATTTCTTAATGAATCATACAGAGATTGAATCATGCATCTTAGCACAGAACCTTTTAAAAAGAATCCCTGCCAAATTTATAACCAATTTTCCTTGTCTTAAAGGTAAGTAATAGGAGAACCAAAATTGCTGTCAGAAACAAGTGCTAATCAAAATGTTAAAGCTTTTCCTGTTTCAACAAAATAAGATACAAATTTAAGACAAAGTAGTAAGTAGATTTAATATACTTTTTTGCTTCTGACTTGGGTCAATCATATCATATTTTACTAGATTCTAGATACTCTAATTAGATGAAACAATAGCTGTTAAGTACTAAGTAGTGTCAAGTAGACAGTGAAATCAGCCAATGGGTGAAATAGGAAGCATGTACAAAGTGCTGCCTCAAAATAGGGGCCTACCTATCTTCCACCTCTTGAACAAGTTTGTGTCTAGTTAAAAGTCTAGTAAATTGTATATATAATTTAAATGCACAATAAAACCATTTAGGGTATAAGTATAAAGTTGAGTTGATATGATAAATCACCTGCAGATAAAACATACATGTTCTAATTTTAAGTTAATTTATCTTTTTATTTGCCCAAATATTTTAAACTAGATAAACTAGATATACAATGGGCGCTTGGTTGAAAGTGTTGTCTTTTTCTCTAAACCAAAATCAACACCTCCACTTTAAATTTAACATTTATCCAGAATTGGCATGTTAACCAGCTTTATTAACCTTGATCTACACGTAGTTACTGCACATTCATACTAAACATAGTCGTATTCATACTCCTAAACCTTGCACCTAAGCTCAAACTTGACAAAACTCCCATTCAGAGTTTCTTTCAGACAACTCTTTGGGGAGGAGCGGTGGGTGGAGCCCCTGAAGAATGTCTACTGCCCCAATAACGAAATAGAATTTATATAGAAAGTATACTTTACCAGCGTCCACACCCAAACCCTCAAAAATAGTCTGAAAGAAACACTGGTAACACTGACTGTGGTAAAAGTATACATTTTCCATATAAATTGTATCTTATTTGGTGGTGGTGGGGGGATGTTAGACGTTCTTTGCAGGGGTGAGCCCCCTCCCCATACCTGAAAGAGATGCCTGAAAGAAACTCTACATGCAGACCACTTTTAAGATCAGACAAATAAATTAGGGGGTTGCATGGTAGAGTCCGTAAGCTCATGGTTCCTAAACCAAAAATTCTTAAGTTCGAACCCTCGGGCAGATGAGGCTCATTAGCTGGGGACAGCCACTCTTCTAGGAGAGACAACTCCAAAATCAAACAACTGCTGCCTTGTAGTTTGTTCTTGGTTGGACAAAGGCTATGGAAGCAAATCCAAAAAGAAAAGCAGGCTGAAATCGGAGTCAATGGCGCATAACCAGTTGAAACGTATACTTAATTGTGTTGGAGAAGGATCCCTTCCAACACTAGAATTAAGAACGAAGAAGAAGAAAGAATTAGGCGGTAATGTTAGTGTCTGTATTATCAAGTACAGATGAAATCATTTATTACTGTGTATTTTTTCAGCATTGGATTTTTAATTCTATGTTTGCTCTAGAATCAATTATATTATTTTATTGTGTGGTTTTCTGGCTTTAGAACTGTACATATTTCATTTCAATTTGAAATCTTCCAATATGTTCCATGCGGCGTGCAAGTCATGGGAATTTTTGCTTTTCGTTTAACTGTGAAAGTTTTTACTTTCCTTGTGTTTCTCTATCACGTTCCCAACAGACAGACAGACAGAATAGTGTAACTATTATTATGATGATTAATTCTGGATTGTTTTCTTAATTTAACCTATACTTTTTTTTTAGAACTTTACATAAACAGCAATCATCTTGGTACTTTACCAGATGAGATGCTGCAGTTTGAAGTCCTTGAAACTCTTGACATATCTCAAAATGAATTTACAACTCTACCATCAGTTGTTTACAAGATGGGAAGTCTAAAAACATTAAATGCAGAAAAAAACTTAATCACAGGTATCTATAACTGCCTTTCATTGTTTTTGTATGGGAATTTTATTGCTCTTTAAAATCTAAATAATCTTAATGACCTGGTTTACAGATTTCAAGAAAACTACAAGCTTTAGGCTGTTGTTTTTTTAAATATTTAAATATTCTTCATTATTAATGTTATTTATTTTCTTTTGTAGAAGTGGACATCAAGGAATTAAAGAACCTGCCTAACATTTTAGAATTGAATTTTCAAGAAAATCCTTTGTTGCCAAGCATGTTGTCTGAACTAAAGTGCTTTCCTGAAAATATTAAAGTTTTTTTGACAGTAGGACCTAATGTTTAAATAATGTGTTTGATATTTTTTAACTTAAAAATAAAATAAAATATATAACTAGTTATGAAAGTGCAATATCATTATTGTTTGTGGAGTTCATAATAGTTTTCAAAATGTTGTTTTCAAAGAAATTATGTAAACATACAAATGTGTGCCTTCAATCTTTGTTTTTCTCTGTGATGGTCTAAAATATCAATTGATCAAAAGGAATCTTTATTTTTTATTTATTATACACTAATTATATTACTGGATTCATTGTAAGATTTTTATTAAGAAAATTGTCTTATTATGTTTGTAAATTAAAATAGCTGTTGTCTACTTTATGCTTATACGTTTGTGAACAAAATTATGTTTTGATAATTCCTTTATACTTTGTGCCTACTTTTTTCTGTGAGTTAGCACACTAAATTAAGCATAGGCTTATATTTTTATATAGATCTATTACTTTATTGCGTTTCATAATCATGATCAAGCTAAATTTATATTACTAACTTTTTAGATTTTAAATAGCAAGATTAACTACTGTTGAATTTATATATACTATTAGTATATCTAACGATTTTATATTTTAAAATAAAATTTCAATGCTAACCTAATGCTTGCACTTTACATGCAACACATCTTTAATTCAAAATAAATTCTTTAAAAAAAAAGACAATTTCATGAATCATATTGTTTGATTTCTAATTATTAAAACAAGAAACAAAGATTTATGCTGCATGCATTTGATAACTGGAGTTGTGATTAACTGCGTGACCACATTCTCTTGTAATTCTCAGTAGACACAAAGAGATAAGCTTTTAATTTTATTTGTCCTCTCACAGTCATATCCAGGATTTTGCACCGTTTCTTTTAGGCACCTCTTCATGGCAAACACCACCCCTGTATGAAAATGAAATAGGAATAAAAATGAATAAATGTAGAAAATATATACTTTTAGCAACGTCCGTTCCCCGGAAATTTTACTATTTTTAGTCCTCTCGGAGAAAAAAGTCTGGAAGAAAAACTGATTGGATTATTTTATCACTTGAATGTGTGAGACCATCCCAAACGCTTTCTTGCTTCCGAAATAATAAAAAAAATGAAGAAGGGCACTTCTTAAGAATTTATCCGGCGAAATCGCACGAATGGCGTTAAGCTGGACGCATCAAGGAAAAAGAAAACAGGTTAGGCCGAAGGAAACGTGGAGGCGCACAGCGGCATAACTGTCTTTGGGACTGCCATGACGCGCCTGATTCGATTTAGTCAAGGATTATGGTAGCCCCTGTGTGAACGGTACAAACGTATGCGCCATAAAGAAATCTAGTGCTCTCGGGGGAAACTATGTGATCGCGGGTGCGACTGGTGCAGTTTGACAGTTGAATCAAATAGTAGGCCTACCTCTAACCCCAAGTGCTAGACGCCCAATCAACACATGTTAAGATAGTCGCTGGGGAACTCTGGACGCAGAAACTTCCCAAGCATATTCTCACTAGGCCCTATTATAGCTTACAAATGTTATATGGCGATAGGATGAAAGGCGTAGTAATGCATGAAAACAGACCCAAAGACACACTTACTTTCATTTTTATATAAAACTAGCGTACCCGCTCCGTGCGTTGCTGCGGGATGACGCATTATTTTAAGAGGTGTTCATCAATGCTTACAAATACTAATCGTGTATTTTTAGATGTGTGACCTAAAATGGAGTTATTTAAATGTTAACAAAGCACCACCAGAACGGCCCCGACACAACGGCCCCATTAAAACGTCCCTGACATCAAAATAATCCAGACAAAATAACCACGAATTTTTAGTCCTCGTCAAATTGATTTGTGACATAAAAGCTTTGACAAATGGACTCACGAAAAATCGCCTGACGACGTATTGGCTCCAGACAAATGGGTTCACGGCAAAATTACTCCTGACTTATTGGCTCCAGACAAATAAATAATATGATTACTATTGGCAGATATGTTACCATTTTGTCCTATCCATTAACCACATGTAGTTCCTACCTCCACTGCCACCACATCCTCTGTTAACTGCCTTTTAAAACCTATTTCATGAACCAATAGCCATTCATATACAAATCGAGCTTTTAACAGCAAATGTGTGTGTATATATATATATATATATATATATATATATATATATATATATATATATATATATATATATATATATATATATACTAGCCGGCCAGGCCCTGCACTGGCCCTTGTGAAAAATCTATCTGTAAAGGACCATGACATGTGTGCTTAGTAATCAGCATATAGATCTACCCGGGTTTAGGAGATATATTACTTTTCGAATTAACCCTAACCACAACAAAACAAAACCAAAACATTTTTAAAAAAACGCAAACAACACAAACGCAATTATAAATGCAAACGAAAAAAAAACACACAAACACAAAGCAAGCACAAACTTAAAAGCAAACGAAAACAAACGCAAAACCAAACCCAAAGAAAACGCAAACATAAACGCAAAGTGCTCACAGTCTATCCCGGGGCGCCAAATCGCACAATGCTGGGGCGCCGTCAGAACCGCCTGTTTCAGCTTAGTAAATTATTCATAGTCTTTTGCACGCCCAGATTTTATTTAGTTAAAGACTATAGTAAACTTTCTTATCCATAATCTATCGCACTGTTTAAAAACGAAATTATGCACCATAGCGCTAACATTATAGCACAGGGCGCCAAATCGAACCCTCCCCGGGCGCCGGCGGACGCGCCTGGTTCAATTTAGTGAACGACTATAATACCCCCAAGCTTATCCGCAAACGGAAAGATAGAAGTAAACATAGAGGACATTTTGGTGCGGCCTGTAACTGTAGCTGATTACAAATACTATTTAGTAAACAGTACGCTCTGTTCTGTATATAAAATAAATAAAAGGCAGAATTTAAAATATTTGTGTTTTATTTACCACATTGCACTAGATCAACCTACGCTAATTATGAAATTATTTTTTCCCAACACCAAAACAAAGTAATAAAAAGTAACCCCCCCCCCTTGTGTTTTTTAAAGGGAAGTCATTGTGTTTTCCAAAATTAACAAGGGAAGTAATGAGTGCTAAACGACTAAAAGTAAATAATTTTCAGACACAATTAGAATTTTTCTTTAATTTTGTTTAATCTATTTTTTAAACTAGATAAATTGATATAAATAGAAGGCCTGTCGAAAAAGAGCTCCGCAGACGCTGTATATTATTTAAAGGTGTTGGCTAAGTTAACTCTAAAGAGTATTGATGAATGGGTCCTAATGGCAAGGATAATGAGGCTATTTCGCCAAGATACAGAAAATTCTACGGGAATTGTAATGACGGGTAAAAAGGATGGGAGCCTATTTGACATGAGTCGTAATGACGGGAGCCGTTTTGTCTGGAGCCTATTTCTCGGGAGCTCCTTTTGTCGGGAACCTAAATGATGGGTGTCTCTTTGTTGGAGGATTAAAGACGGGAGCATATTTGTCGCCAGTCTATATTACGGGGTCTATTTTCGCTTATTGCCTTTTTGACGGGGCTCTTATCGGTGCTGTTTGTCACTGGCTGTTTTGACGCGCAAGATTCAAGATTTCTTGGATCATAGTTGTTGGAGAGCGGGTTTGTCCACACTACAGCCCATGCTGTATGTTAATTATCCTCCGTAATAGTGGGCAGTGTTTCTTCCAGACTTTTTTCTCCGGGGGGGGGGCACTTGAAATTTTCGGGGGGGGGGGGGGGGGCGGACACTGTTAAAAGTGTATATTTTCTATATAAATTATATAAATTTCATTTCGTTCGGGGGGGGGGGGGGGCGGTAGAATTTTTTTTCGGGGGGGGGGGGGCTTCGCCCCACCGAAGAGATGCCTGGAAAAAACTCTGATGGTGGGGTAGATCAGCGAAGCCCGGTAGCAAAATGCGTCGGTGGGTCTGGGTGTTATCGGGAGCCACCGGTTACAACACCGCAGGGGCGCCAGTTACGGCCCCTGAATCGGTTTATACATGGAATGGCGGACGCGCCTGAATCGATTTTCAACGATTATATTAGCCCATGCAGATTTATATTATAAAATAAATTGGAATATTAGTTGTAAAAATACCTTCATGAATATCAATTAGTTATTATTAATAGACCTATGTATCTAATTAATACATTATTTTCAATCATATTTCTAATTAGGCCTAATACGTTTTTTTTAAGATAGGCTAAAATGTAAAACAATTATTAGGGCCTACATATAAAATTAATACATAAATGTAGCAAATTAGATATAGATCTAGAATCTAATACTAATATTACAGCCGCCAGCAGTGTAATGAATTTGTAACAATTTTGTCTCATCACCGGTTATTGGACCTTTGTTTGAGGTCAACCTGCTGTTCAAGTTGCATCAACATGGAATCTTTCGAATGTGATGTTGTTATTATTGGGGCAGGACTATCAGGTTTATCTGCAGCGTATTACCTCAATAAAAAAGACAGAGGCCTCAGGTTAGCTGTAGTTGAAGCTAAAGGTTAGTATTAGATTTTCTACTAATCTAGATCTAGACGTCTATAGACTATATTCATGTTTTAAAATTCAGAGTAATCAGAGTGGGATGATTTTAGAATTTACTAGTTACTAGTTAGTTACTGTTAGTTAGATCTAGAATCTAGATCTAGACTAGATGAGGCGTGATTTAATAGTAGATCTAGACCTAGACAATTCTAGTAGTAGAATCTAGATTTTCTTATTAAATTTTGTAATTAAAATTTTCTGTCACTTATAATATTAAATATATCATTACAAACCATATCACTTACTGATTAATTTGAGACCAAATTTTAATTTAATGGTCTAGCTCAGGGGTCGGCAACACATATTGCTGGCTAATGTCAATGTCAATGCTAATCCTAACCCCAACCCTCTTTTCCACCTTGACTCAACGCTCACTAGGGCTAATGCCGCTAATGGTACATCAATAAACGTCACACAGTCACACACATATAAGGAAAAAGGGGGGTGGGGGTATTTTACTCTTAAAAAGATTTTTTTTTTTTTTACAAAAGTAAGAGACCCCTCACCCTATTAACCTAATAGTCATAGTGTGATATCATTAATGGCTTACCCCTTATACAATGTGCAAATATATATTATGTAAGCCTACATTAATACATTTGTTTATATTACAGATAGAATAGGAGGTCGCACATTAACTAGACAGCTGACAGCTGCAGATGGCACTAAAGACTTTTGGGATCTTGGTGGTGAGTGGGTGGGAAGGTAAGTTATTGAGTGGTTTTAAAGTACTTTTACTTTTCTGAAAATATCGTTTTAAAATTTTCATCCATATAATGGATATAAGGCCACACATGTATATATACATATATATATATATATATATATATATATATATATATATATATATATATATATATATATATATATATATATATATATATATACACACACACACATACATATATATACATATATACACATATATACATATATATACATATATATACATATATATACATATATATACATATATATACATATATATACATATATATACATATATATACATATATATACATATATATACATATATTTACATATATATACACATATATATACACATATATACATATATATACACATATATACACATATATACACATATATACACATATATACACATATATACAC